TGTTATGTGCGAAAATACGACAAACCAATCAGAATGCGCGTATGATTTCAAGTTCTTCGTCAAAGAATCCCTCAGAAACAATTTATGATTTTACATATGTCTTGCATCTAAAAATATACCCAAGACACAGTTAAATGTGGTCAATCATATTGTATCAATCCGCATGTCCCGATGTGCTTTTAATTGCATCTGAAATATATATAATATATGGGGACATATATGTGAAACATTACGCAACGAGTTGACAATTGTTTTAGGTATGCCCGTTTGCGCTAAGACGGAACCCGGTCGCAAAAATGGCCATGAGCGAGGGGCACGAGTCGCTCGCTATTCGGCTTGTCTCGGAATAACACGAGTTGGTCACGAATGATTACAACCCATGGAAGAAGATTAACGTATCGTAATTTCACGAGGAATTCATCACACCTCTTGGTCAACCCAGTGTCACGATTACCTTATAACAATAACTTTTTGCATGGGTATATATTATCATATTACATAAATATTTTGAAGAAAATATCAATATGACACTTCTCGTGATTTTTCGATCATCCCGTGCATTAACTCCGTTCTATGTACATTCTAACATAATAGAATAGAACATAATACGCTGGACAATCGAGTGTGTCTGATTATTTTATATGATTGCGTTCCAACATAGGAAGAAACGAATGTTTTTCGTTGTTGCTGCATCGTTTTCGTTCTATGTTCAATATCATGTAACAATTTACAATTGAGTTATTCCGCCCTAGAGTCAGGTGTCATACGTGGTCTGTCGCACCGGAGTAAGTGTCTGCGAAAACCGGATTCGAAGACCGCCGTTACATGTGCATAGGCAGTTCAAAATACATGAATATGAACCAAAATAATTCAATTATGAGTGAGTGAGTGTGTGTGGCAGGCAGTTGTATATATTGTATATGTTTATTTCAGCTTTTTATTTTTTTTACTTTGGGTCCATTTCTGGTCGATGGTCAAGTACCACTTGGCTAGTTTTCATTTCTTCTCTTTTAGGTCTTAGGTATTTCAGTTTAAGGGTGAACAGGTTATTCCATTCTCTTTTCTGTTGTTTCTTGACCCGTCCATTGTTTAAGGCAATAGCCTTGTCCAGTCAGCTTGGGCTTATGCAACTTAACCTGTCTTTTCCACCTCTATGTTCTATGGTTTTACGCCGCTTTTAGCAATATTCCAGCAATATCACGGCGGGGGACACCAGAAATGGGCTTCACATGTTGTACCCATGAACTCAATTATGAACCAGTTACAAGAAACGTATGAACTTAAACTACCAATAATGTACAGCTGGAAGCTTTTAATACAATCTGCATATCGATAAAAAATTAACAGGCACACTCTCTATTTCGCTATCAAAAAGGTGTTTAGAGAAGTGTAGCCGAAAAAACGAGCATGTCTGGTATAAGGGAAGTAACTCTGTCCGCCTTATTTAGCGTGACATTCACTTGGAATATTGTGCAAATATTACTCACTTAGGTACTTACGCAATGGTGGGTTGCTGATGTATTATGAATATATCACTGTATGTATATGAGGTGTTAAAATGTCTTCATCTATTAAGGTCCGTTAGTCCTCGATAGTCACCGATAGTCCCCGATAGTCTCCGAAAGTACCCGATAGTCTCCGATAGTTATATCTATCTCAGCCACCAGGGATAATTGGTCCTCAGCAAACCATGCTTGTCATAAGAGGCGACTAACGGGATCGGGTGGTCAGGCTCACTGACTTAGATGATGCATGTCTTCATATCCCAATTGCGCGGATCGATGCTCATGATGTCAATCGCTGGATTGTCTGATCCAGACTCGATTATTTACAGACCGCCGACTTCTAGCTAAGATATTACAGAGTGTCGCGTTAAACAACAAACAATTAGGTTTTCCGCACGATGTTATGATGTTCGTTACTGAGCCAATTTATGTGCTTTATGTCTAGCAACAGGTAATGAAAAACAAGCATGAAGTTTTAAATATGGCTTCAATGCTAGGTTACCTGAAACAAGACGAAATATTGTGCATGGAATGTTAAAACGTGATAGTGATTTAAATTTGTAATATGTATTGGCAATTACCGTCATTGGATATGTAGATCAATCAGGCAAATATTGATTATTCTGGTGAATGGTTGTCATTGCTGTATCCTGTCCATGGGACTTCATGAAGGCGCCATCTTCGCTCACTTTGTCCAAGGCTAAGGGGGGTAAGAGATGAGGTGAAATGGGGTTTAACGTCGCGTCCAAGATTATTGCACTTATATAGCGACGTGCATGTACGTGTGTGTGTTTGTGTGGCTGCTTGTACTAGTCCGGACTGACGCCGATTTATAGTGCTAGCTCACTGAGATACCATGTCGCAGTTTAACATGAATATCCCACTTAGACACAGTATACTGACTCCGAGCCGACCAGACCTTGTTTTAGCCCCTTAATGCCGAGCGCCAGACAGGGTAACAACAAGTACCATCTTTTAACGTCCTTTGGTATGGCGCGGCCGGGGATCGAACCCCGGATCTTCCGCTCTCCGGGCGGACGCTCTACCACTAGACCACGGAGGCGGTTAAAGGGGGTAAGAGATAATGATTAGATATGTAATCACCGAAAAGATACTGGGGGCATCTACAAGCTACTACATCTAATTATTACTGTAGTGATGTCAGATGCCAACGTTGATTCCAGCTAAACGTCACCTCGGCAATAGCTCAGCTATACATCTTAAGTTAAACTGCCGGGCAGAAGAAAGTATACACACGTTTGATGGTGGCTAAAATGAAACAAACCGAATATGGTTATTCGATGGTGATGTATTTGATACAAGTATCATAGTTGCGTTTTGAACCTAACGTAAGCAGTGTTTCGGTGACTATTTTCAGCCTTGAGACGTTTTGAAAACATTTGCAATTGTTTGGTCAAATCTAAATTTCAAGTGTTTACTTTCAGTATATATAAAACGCTTTATATTACTTTATTTTTTAGGAAAGCCATTCGTGGCGCAGGTTTTAGTGAAACGAGCGTAGTCCTGGTTCTGGCAAACCATTTTTGGGTTGAATCTGCATTACTGACCTTCAAGCAGCGAATCCAAACACCTAGGGGACATAACTCTCCCCATTGCAGCTCTTACACAAACAACTAACACGTACTACCCTGCTTTATAGAACCGTATCTGACGTTAACATAAAGGCGTTATCAGCTAGTGCTGGGCAGGGGCGATAGTGCGTCAAAGTACATAGTCGACACACAAGAAGGCCTGCACGGATATGCAAACTTCGTCCTGCTTAAACGCGCACTTGAGGTCAAGGTCATTTGTTAAAGAAATCTTGCCACCCCCGGGGTGGTGTTGTCCAGGGTTCCTCTAAGGATCGTTACTTCACACCTTAACATAGATTTATAACAGTCTCGGTGCTAAGGTTGTTTTGTACAACGGAACCCAGGCCTGCAGGTGTAGCCGGGGTACAGATCAGCACTGCTGTCACACACGTTGTACACAACACTCACTGCTGTCACACACCCTGTACACAACAATCGCTGCTGTTACACACCCTGTACACAACAATCACTGCTGTCACACACCCTGTACACAACAATCACTGCTGTCACACAAGTTGTACACAACAATCACTGCTGTCACACACGCTGTACACAACAATCACTGCTGTCACACACCCTGTACACAACAATCACTGCTGTCACACACCCTGTACACAACAATCACTGCTGTCACACACCCTGTACACAACAATCACTGCTGTCACACAAGTTGTACACAACAATCACTGCTGTCACACACGCTGTACACAACAATCACTGCTGTCACACACCCTGTACACAACAATCACTGCTGTCACACACGTTGTACACAACAATCACTGCTGTCACGCACGCTGTACACAACAATCACTGCTGTCACACACCCTGTACACAACAATCACTGCTGTCACACACGTTGTACACAACAATCACTGCTGTCACGCACGTTGTACACAACAATCACTGCTGTCACGCACGCTGTACACAACAATCACTGCTGTCACGCACGCTGTACACAACAATCACTGCTGTCACACTCCCTGTACACAACAATCACTGCTGTCACACACACTGTACAAAACAATCACTGCTGTCACGCACGCTGTACACAACAATCACTGCTGTCACACACACTGTACAAAACAATCACTGCTGTCACGCACGCTGTACACAACAATCACTGCTGTCACACACGCTGTACAGAACAATCACTTCTGTCACACACGTTGTACGCAACAATCACTGCTGATTACTTAATGTAGAAGCATCCCGGTTATGTTTAACCAAGGCACTGTTTGGAGTCCTGTTTCTTAAAAGAACTAAAGATTCCTCACTTTGTACATTGCTTGAAGCCCACTCTTGATCTCCAACCAGGATACTGTTGTTATAATGGCAAACTTGGCCTTACAAGTAACTCACTCCAGTATAGAACTCAGAAGGGTTTGTCATGTGTGCCATCCAGCATGTGTAGTTCTAACCCACATTACCAGTACAGATCCGGGTTAGAACTGGTCTTAAGCAACCCATGATTGTCGTAAGATGTGACTAACGGGATCGGATGGCCAGACACACTGAGTTGGTTGATGCATGTCATCATATCCTAACTGCGTAGATCTATGCTCATAATGTCAATAATTGGTTTGTCTGGTCCAGACTCAAGTATTGCTGCGTACGGCGTTATACAACAAATAATAAAAAGCAAAGCAGTCAAATAGATAATACCAACTGTTGTATATGTCAACTATGAAGGACAAACTGACGCAAAATCAACTAGTCATTGGGTGTATGTAAAATGGCTGTATGTGCGTAGCTTCAGGGGAAACAAAATCCTACTTTAGATCTAGATGTACCACAGCGCGAAGGTCAATCACCCGTCTTCGTATGACTGACATATTGGCAAAACCCACTGAATCCACATTGGACAAACTCTGAAGTGAAGACAGCTACCTTTAAACATTTCTAATGAATGCGTAACGATTTTATCAAAACAAGAGATATGTTTCACAATATAGAACCCTATCTATTGATGAATATTCATGGTAAACCCATCCCTGCAGACGCTGTGTGTACCCTGGTCAGTCCAACAAGACAGGGTGGCTCTGGTTACAAGCTGGATCTATTGTTTTCAGAACTTCACCATTGATCCAGCAGCTATACACACATCTTTGTGATGAGAAGTATCGTATCTCTCTGTCTCGTCGCTCCCACAGCCGGTGTACATTATTGTGATAAGCATTGATTTGGCTCAACTGGACCAGTCTCCATTTTGTTATAACACGATGTAATTTGTCAAATTGTTTCTAGAACAATGATGTGAAATTGGGTTTAAACTGGTGTTCTGGATTGTTGCGCTTATATAGCCACGTGCGTGTACCTGTAAGTGTGGCTGTGCGTACTAGGTTTATAGTGCTAGTCCAATGAGATACCATGCCGCAGTTTAACATGGATACCGCATTTAGACACAGTATACTGACTCACAGCCGATCAGTCCTTGTTTTATTCCCTTAATGCCAACTGCCAGGCGTCTGTTAACGTCTTTTGGAGTGACGCGACCAGAGGATCGAACCACCGACATACCGCTCTGCAGGCTGACGGTCTTTCCACTACACCACGGAGGCGGTCTCTTTACACAGTTAAACAGAAATAAATGATGAATGTATGCGCCACTGTACCTGTCGAAAAATAAATACGCATAAAATATATTACCTGTTTCTGGTTGGATTGAATGAGTTCGGACGAAAGACAATTATATTATACCTCGGATTAAATGTATTATAAACATTTAGACTGAGTGAGTATGTTTTTTTTTACGCCGCTTTTAGCAATATTCCAGGAATAGCACGGCGGGTGACACCAGAAATGGGCTTCACACATGGTACCAATGTGGGGAATCGAAACCGGTCATTCGGCGTAGCGAGCGAACGCTTTAACCACTAGGCTACCCCACCGCCCCATAAACATTTAGAAACAGGGGTATGCTTTTTTCTAGATTATGGTATTCCCTATGATTCGAAGTTAAACATTTCAGCGTTCTGAACAGAAATATAATTACCAACACTAAATCATCAGTATATGATCATCATCGTCGTCGTCGTCGTCGTCATCATCATCATTATTTAAAAGAAGATGTATATGAGGATCACTTAGGCCTCAGGGCAGTCAGTGAGGACGTGTGAGCGTCAGGAAGGCCAACTCCCCGCTGTGACGTGCAGGTTTAGTGTTGAAGCACGTGACATGACAAAGTTCAATTGTGACTGCCCGCCTTGTCAACAAGAAAATACATGCCACTTGTGAAGACTAGCTAGACATTATCTATGTGTTTGTATAGTTACACAGACACGGGTGATGTTACGCATCTTAGAAACGAATGCATTAATTGGGTATAATAAACATATAACGTGGTAATACATAATAAAACTGACAGTACAGCAGTGGCTGTTAATGACGGTGAGCTCGATCTCGTGACCCAGTGTGGAACGTGGCACTACACCTGCTACACTTCGCCTACAGAAACAACCAGGTTTAGTTACATACATACGTGAACCGATGTCAAAAATAAGGTTAATGAGAAAACACTTCCTCGCGGTAGTACTTGCTGGCAAGAGAAAAGTTTAAGACGATAATTAATAACTCTGTCGGTATTTGCCAGGCTGCTGTAATACAGTAGACTGTGACGTGGTGTCAGCACTTAAAGGAGGTGTCACATTTCCTCGGAATTTAATACTTAATGGTCGTATACTGGAATACCTGCTAACCATGCAGAGAGTAAATGACGTTAGTCTGTGTATGTGGCCTTAGTCTGTATGTGTATATGGCCTTAGTCTGTATGTGTATATGGCCTTAGTCTGTATTTGTATATGGCCTTAGTCTGTATGTGTATATGGCCTTAGTCTGTATGTGTATATGGCCTTAGTCTGTATGTGTATAGGGCCTTAATCTGTATGTGTATATGGCCTTAGTCTGTATGTGTATATGGCCTTAGTCTGTATGTGTATATGGCCTTATTCTGTATGTGTATATCGCCTTAATCTGAATGTGGCCTTAGTATGTATGTGTATATGGCCTATTCTGTATGTGTATATGGCCTTATTCTGTATGTGTATATGGTCTTAGTTTGTATGTGTATATGGTCTTAGTCTCTATGTGTATATGGCCTTAGACTGTATGTGTATACGGTCTTAGTCTGTATGTGTATATGACCTTAGTCTGTAGGTGTATATGGCTTTAGCCTTACGTGTATATGACCTTAGTCTGTATGTGTATATGGTCTTAGTCTGTATGTGTATATTGTCTTAGTCTGTATGTGTATATGGTCTTAGTCTGTATGTGTATATGGCTTTAGTCCGTATGTGTATATGGTCTTAGTCTGTATGTGTATATGGTCTTAGTCTGTATGTGTATATGATATTTGTCGTATGTATATATGGTCTTAGTCTGTATGTGTATATGGCCTTAGTCCGTATGTGTATATGGTCTTGGTCTGTATGTGTATATGATATTTGTCTGTATGTATATATGGTCTTAGTCTGTATGTGTATATGACCTTAGTCTGTAGGTGTATATGACCTTAGTATGTATGTGTATATTGTCTTAGTCTGCATGTGTATATGACCTTAGTCTGTATGTGTATATGGTCTTAGTCTGTATGTGTATATGATATTTGTCGTATGTATATATGGTCTTAGTCTGTATGTGTATATGGCCTTAGTCCGTATGTGTATATGGTGTTAGTCTGTATGTGTATATGATATTTGTCTGTATGTATGTGTTTATGACCTTAGTCTGTATGTGTATATTGTCTTAGTCTGTATGTGTATATGGTCTTAGTCTGTAGGTGTATATGACCTTAGTCTGTATGTGTATATGGTCTTAGTCTGTATGTGTATATGGTCTTAGTCCGTATGTGTATATGGTCTTAGTCTGTATGTGTATATTGTCTTAGTCTGTATATGTATATGGTCTTAGTCCGTATGTGTATATGGTCTTAGTCTGTATGTGTATATGATATTTGTCTGTATGTATATATGGTCTTGGTCTGTATGTGCATAGTCCTGCTGCATCAGATGGATGTATGTATGTGTGAACGTGAGTGGGTTACATTTAACGCCACCTTAAACAACATTTCAGTTAATATGCCATGTGCCAGCTTTATTACAGAACTGGGTAGGTTTACTCTTGGAGAGTAGTTCAGTCACGGCGGGTCAGCCAAATGTGAGAGGAAAGCCCGACATGATGTGGATCTTAGACTTTTATAACCCACAAGCAGGGTCAAGGTGCTGACAAAACAAGAAACATAAGAGCAAAATTACGCTATCCTGTCTCGCCTAAGGGACGCAACTCTGCACATATATTTGCGAAATAGCTGGATCTCTCGTTTCTCTTTACAACAGGTAACCCCTTAACCACGTGTGACATGTCGAAGATCTAATCTACTAATCACACAAGCATTGAGCACTGGGGACCCATTCTGTCCTGCATAGCCCACAAGCATACAACACTGAGGACCTAGTACTGCAGGGGACTATTCTGTTCTGAAATTGCCCCAAGCATAGAGTACTGGGGACCTATTCTGTGCTGGAAATCCAACGAGCATGGAGTATTGAGGACCTATTCTGTCCTGGAAATCCCACGAGCAGGTATGACATCAATATCCATGCAGGTTAAGGTTAAGGTGACAACATAAGGCGCTAGTGTGTTAATGTACCTGTCATGTCTGCAACATTACGACATGCAACAGCTGCACATAACGACGACATCAACCGGAGGTGCGCAATGTGCATACAGCTTAGCACTGGGCCTTTAAAACCAAGTAATGCGCATTGTCAAGCTCGCGTTGTAACAATGTCGAGGTCAGTAAACTAGACCCTAATTCAGAAGATATTAACACACGCCATATGTTTACATTGTATAAATCAATCAAGATGGAATATCTCAGCGATAAGACCGGCGACGCCCCCTAACGGAAAGGGGTTTGAGATTGACACCCCCTCCGTGCACCCCCATCCTCCTTCCTCCCTCCCCCGAACAGTGTACCAGACCAGGGGCGCTGGTAGAAGACTTGTTGTAGCACTGGGCATCATTAACACATGCAGGGTCAGGATACTGAACACCCGTGAATGAACAACATGGCCAACGCGTGCAGAAAACAGTCATGTTTCAATCTGCAGAACTTTCCCATGACACGGGAATTCTTGGCGGAATTCCTGGGAACTTTCATCCTCCTGGTAAGTAGGTCAACTATGTTTGTGTCGTTATGTCTGCGAGAGTAATTAGAACAGTTTTGGAATGTGATTCACAGTCGACGCAGAGGTTAGGTTGTGTTGTCTCCCACGTATTACCTCGCCGAGCTGTAACCGTGTCCACTTGCAGGTCCGCTGTCCTATTGATGTTAAGTGGCATAGATGGTTTTTTTTATTATTACCCATTTAGTTTCATAGAAGGTTGGAAACTGCATCGTTGCCCGTCTATACTGCTAAGTGTTATGGTAACCTATTACGGTCGACCCCCGACTAAAGCATAGTCTCTGAAAATATAAAAATTTGACGGAAACAAACAATGCCATTTAAAATGAAAACGAGCCCCAATGCAATGGGAGAAGCTGTAGAAAATCTAGACTTGCTTCATTTAGAGCTGTAGCATTACAGTAGGGACTGGCCGGATAGGACAATATTAAGGTTCGGGGACTGTGAGAAAGACGACTACGACCTCCGTACCATGGCTCCACAAAAGTATTGAAGTACCTGAAGTATTGATTGTATGTTGGGCTATTGATGTTTGTTTCCTATTTATCTGTTTATCAGACACTTTCTGGTTTCGGGGCCAGCCGTTTAGTTCTCATATAGTGATAACGCGAATAGTTTATCTTTCAACTGATAACACCAATGCGCTAGTGTTATATGATGACACGCATCTCACTTGGCAGGTATGCATACACGTGTGTTCAATATAGTAAAGCTACCACAATGCAATGTTTTTGCAATGTCTATGAATATATTTAAGAGATATCCTGATTGTTTTCATTTTCAAGGATAAGTACGAATACTGTAAAGCCATCTCCAGGTAAACATTAGAAACACATTATCTGTTCCCGAAAAAGCCGGAAAGATATCATTTGTCTTCGTTCACGAGACATCCTGTATGTTGTGTAAAATATTTTATTGTGGGTCCCCAAAAATGTTTGGCTCAAGATTATAGGTAAAAAGTGTATGTTTGAAACTCTAACTGAAAATAGTGTATCAATTAAAACTACGGAAGCCATTTAAGACCATTTGTTTTTGTTTTTTATTGTTTTCTTGTAATTTCAAGATTTATGTTGAAATTTCAAGATACTAACTTGAAATTTCAAGATAATGATCTTGAAGATAATAAGTTGAAATTGTAAGATTATAACTTGAAATTTCAACTTATTATCTTAAATTTCAAGATACTAAGTTGAAAGTCCAAGATGCTATGTTCAAATCCATCTTATGCTAAGATCATATCTTGAAATTTCAACTTAGTATGTATTTTGAAATTTCAACATAACATCTTAAAATCTCAAGTTAGTATCTTGAAATTCTAAATAATGTTTCATGAAATTTCAAGTTAGTATCTTGAAATTTCAAGTTAGTATCTTGAAATTTCAAGTCAGTATCTTTAAATGTCAACTTAGTATCTTGAAATTTCAAGAAAAAAATCCAAAAAAAGTTCCGTATAAAACTCCCAATTAAATGGTCGTCCCTAACGCCCAATAAGGAGCAGCACAAGAACACCCAATAGAGCTGCGAGTCGAACACCGTGTTATCGTTTAACGAGAGTACAACCATCAAAGTTAAGTGCTCCACTCACATATATGAGGGTGACTCTCTTGCTCCCCTCTTCAGGAGCCAATGTAAGCTGGCGAAGCACCTCTTTGGGGTCACGGCTTGCAGTGTTGATATCTGAATTATAACCCACGGAAGATGTATGCAAACACAATGACTTCATCTCCATTGTGAGGGATAAAGAAGTGCTAAGACAGAATTCCATGTCACGACTGTTCGTGTACAGTGTATCTCAACACGAGGAGGGTGTGTTTGTGCTGCGGCCTATCCTGGAAGGTAATACCTGACACGGTACGTCGATACGTCTTGTGACGGTCGGTGTGGAGAGAAAAGGGATTAGGGCTTTGTAGCGAGCAGTTGGAGACAAGCAGGGATGTGCCTCACACGGCGAATTAGTAACAGCAAGACCGTGAAGACTATCTACCATCACAATGGGCCTTGTTAGTCCTGCACCATGATTGTGGAATATATTTATTTTATGAAAAAAACACAATCTAGAAACGCATACATAAGCATCAGTATAGGCAATTTGTTTTTAATATTTTTAGAGTCAAGAAGGATATTGTGTAATATAAGATTTCATAGACTTAATGTTAGTCTTTGGGCCTTATGTACACTAAGTTCCTCCATCGTCAGTGGGCCTTGTGAAAACTAAGTTTCCCCATCGTCAATGGCCTTGTGTACACTAAGTTCCCTCATCGTCAATGGGCCTTGTGTACACTAAGTTCCCCCATCGTCAATGGGCCTTGTGTACACTAAGTTCCCCCATCGTCAATGGCCTTGTGTACACTAAGTTCCCTCATCGTCAATGGGCCTTGTGTACACTAAGTTCCCCCATCGTCAATGGGCCTTGTGTACACTAAGTTCCCCCATCGTCAATGGCCTTGTGTACACTAAGTTCCCTCATCGTCAATGGGCCTTGTGTACACTAAGTTCCCCCATCGTCAATGGGCCTTGTGTACACTAAGTTCCCCCATCGTCCATGGGCCTTGTATGCACCTCGTTCCCCCATCGTCATTGGGCCTTGTGTACACTAAGTTCCCCCATCGTCCATGGGCCTTGTGTACACTAAGTTCCCCCATCGTCCATGGGCCTTGTGTACGCTAAGTTCCCCCATCGTCAATGGGCCCACTTCACGGTATTGTATGCAATACGTTCCCCCATCGACAATACAGCATGGCCTTACATACACTACCTTCCCACATCCTCAATAAATCACGGCCTTGTATTCAATACGTTCCCACATCGTCAATATATCACGGCCTTGTATTCAATACGTTCAAACATCGTCAATAAATCGCGGCCTTCTATACAATGTTTTTTTTCCGCCACCCGTGAATACATACGGCCGCTATGCGAGAAATAGTGGTGACGCGTGTCCATAGCACATATTATACATGTTGTAATGATAGGTACATTACCATTTGTGACCAAATATATAATACAAACAAACGAACCTGCGACGTATTAACGTAGGAGTAGCAAGGTCCCCAGTACTTCTTGTGAGCACCACTACACTGAATAGGGTGGTACCAAGGTGTGACCTTGCTGGCTGTGTCCGTGTACCTGGCGGGGTGGATTGATGCTCATGATATCAATCACTGGTTCTTCCGATCAAGACTCGGAACGGATGACCTAGTCTTCCCTGGCGCCACAATTCACAGTGCATGTGTACGTTAACGTCCCTTGGGCTGGACTGAATTAGTCCTATAATCTTGGGTTCGAATCCTGGATTCCATTTGAAAATGGTTCTTGGTTTATTAGAACCATAACAATGTACTAAACGTCTACGGCCTGATCCACAATAGGCTTTCCGCTGATATGATTTTACGTAGCTTGGTAGAACTGACTTGACCGATTCAGTGAACACTACTGCATCTGATGGAACGTTAAACTGGGCAATGTGTGAGTGAATATAGTTTTACGCCGCCTTTAGCAATATTCCAGCAATATCACGGCGGGGACACCAGAAATGGGCTTCACACATTGTACCGATGTGGGGAATCGAACCCGGGTCATCGGCATGACGAGCGAACGCTTTAACTACTAGGCTACCCCACCGCCCAAACGGGGCAATGCCTTCTCCTACGGTGCAGTCGCTAAACTACGAATTATGAAACGAAACTGGACGCGACTTGCTAATCTCGTGTTTGTCCATGTGACCCAATTCATACAGACTGGATATTGCATCATCAAGCAAAACAACATTTGGACTTCGTTCAGCAAAATGGTCTTATCGCTATTTTTATCAATGAAAAATAGGATGTCTGATCGTGATAGGTCGAAGGTTGTGAGTGGTGTATAGAGTTGAGACTGTAAACCGTTTAAAATGGGGCACATATATATCAGCTGATATAATCAGTTGATGACAGTCAGTGTCTTCCAACAGTTGGAAACAGCGGAACGTGCATACATGAGATGGATTCTAGTTGAGCTGGATAGAAAACAATGCACAGTTTTAACCTTTCACGTCCTAATATGGTTAGACGTTTCAGACTTACATATGGTCTATGAAATCGTTAATTATGTGGAATATTGCTGGTTCGATGTGTCTATTACATTCTTCAAAACAAGAAATGCATAGGCTTACTTTGAAATATGTTACTGTGTTCAATTAAATGTGCATATTTAATGTAATTTGATTAACACAAACATGAAACTTAGCATGGCGATAGTCACATGTTCTGGAGACAAACGGCAATACTAATTGTCCTGTCACAAGACAGTACGTCCTCGAGGGGGGCGTTCCGATCAGTACCTGGAGTGACCACTGTGGGCTGTTATCACTGCTCTACATCTCCCTGGCACAGACTGAATTAGTCTACGGATTCTGTCCTGTGGAATTCTCCTCTATTCTTCCTGCAAAACGTTGGTCAGTTGTGCAAGTGTCTGTGGCGTATGTTGACGTTGATGTACACGTCTATCGAGTTCATCCCACAGAAGCTCTATCGGGTTCAGATCCGGGGCTAAGGAAGGCCACGGCAAGACACTAACGTTTGAATTATGATAAAAGTCAGCGACAGGAGCTATGTGTTATCATGTTGAAACAACTCCCTCTGTCCGTTGATAATCGGAAGAAGGTGACGTTGAGAGTTTGGTCGATGTACCGATTTGCTGCGAGATTCCCCTGAACCACCACCAAGTCAGATCACCGTGAATAGGATATGCCTCCCCACACCATCAAACTTCCGCCACCGAATCTGTCGATCTGTCGAACGCAGTCTGGTGCGAAACGTTCATTTCGACGTCGGTAGCCCGCTGTCTTCCATCTCCGCGTTGGAGATGGAATGGTGATTATATACGTATCCAACACAATGACAACTTGGGCAGTTAATGAACAGCAAAAATAGTCACATTCTTCTCAGACTTTGGTTACTAAGATATTTGAAAGAAAGATGATGTATTGACTATAAATAACACTTAAATGTGTACATCTATTCAGATCCGGGGGCGGTCGGGTAGCCTAGTGGTTAAAGCGTTCGCTCGTCACGCCGAAGACCCGGGTTCGATTCCCGACATGGGTACAATGTGTGAAGCCTATTTCTGGTGTCCCCCGCCGTGATATTGCTGGAATATTGCTAAAAGCGGCGTAAAACCATACTCACTCACTCTATTCAGAGCCAATAGACAAGTGGTGCTTCACGACAGAACTTTCCAACAACAGAATGTCATTGTACTATGATTAAATATATATATGTGTCTGAAATAAATCTGCCTGTCTGTCTAAAGGACCCTTATACAACTTCGTCCCTTTTCTCTTCTAAATGTAATACCTTTTTACATCATCCAAAACATCACAAAGACAAACAGCATTAAGTATAAACGATAGGACACATGCTAACCTCACAGTATATGTAAAGATGTCTTTTATGATAAATAGCGTATACAAGAATCTTCTCCATATATGTTTGAAAAAGGGACAACATATGTTACGGCTATGGACTTCAGTGATAACATGGTGGAGCTGCATCTTCATCATGTAAATCCTCGTATAGCTCTCTGTCATGTCTCTCGTTCTGTGCCCTGCAGGTATTTGGTGAGGGATCAGTCGCCCAGGTGGTTCTCAGTGAGGGCAAGAATGGATCCCCCCAGTCCATCTACTGGTCGTGGGGGATAGGCGTTACCATGGGGATATACGTGTCGGGGGGAGTGTCCGGTAAGCATGTTTGACCCTGTTCCTTCTCTATTCGCCTACAGTGCATTTCTCCTGCAGTGCCGACCGCCTACAGTATTGCTGGTGTTTAGTGGAGCTCTTGCTGCTGCAGACCAGGTCACGTGATGTCCGATTGTTATTGTAGGAATAACCAACCAATCAGACCGAACTACAGATAGCAGGTATACTGGTGACTCGCCTACTCTATAAGCGTCATCCGGAAATATCCAATAACATGACAATCTCACATTATTTGTTTGTTTGATGTTTAACTCCGCCCTCAGCAATATTACAGCTATATGACGACGGTCTGTAGGTAATCGAGTCTGTACCAGACAATCAAGTGATTGACATCATAAGCTTCAATTCACGCAATTGGGATACGATGAAATTCATCAACCAAGTCAGTCTGCCTGACCACCCGATCCCGTTAGTCGCCTCTTACGACAAGCATAGTCACCTTTAACAGCAAGTGTGGGACCTGTTCTAACCCGGATCTTCACGGGTCCAATCTTACAATAAGCCTGGCAGTACAATAATTTGCCAACTGAAACAATATATTTTATAAATAAGACTAACATGATACGTTAATATGTTTTTCCCACATTTTGATAAGAAAAAGCTTTTGTATAACATCTTATCCCTGATTCGTCAGCGTGTATGCTCAAATGAAACTACAACTGTATATGTTCATGAGGTTATATTTTAAGATGTTACTGTATTTAAGTCATCATCCTGTCTATGATGACGTTGACTTCAACGATGATGACGATGTCAACACACCATGTGTTCTCCAGGTGGCCACCTCAACCCTGCCGTCACCGTGGCCCAGGCGGCCCTGGGGAGGCTGCAGTTGAAGAAGGTGCCGGTCTACCTCCTGGCTCAGTACCTAGGGGCCTTTGTCGCCTCAATCCTCGTGTACCTGGTGTATACAGGTGGGTGTATCCCTTGTGTATGCTATTAGTTATGGTGTCTTTAGTTGCCGTATACGGTGTCATATTACGTCAGCAGAAAAATAGCTGACGCCTCACCCAATATCTTTCTGCTAACCTAATATGCCGTTTACGGCAACTAAAGACACCATACGATTACGATTACACTATCTGGTATCCATATCGCACATGCCATGTGAAAATGAAAACTTGACACTTACAACCGTTGACGTTAAGGATCAAAGGGAGACTACTCTTGAAACCGTTCAGGCCAAATCTTGTTGATAATTTTAATTATAATCTTTATCACATCGATATTAATGATATAAACACAAAAACAGTGTCAAATAACAAATTTCGGTACTAGCATTTCCATGTGAGTGAGTGAGTGAGTGAGTGAGTATGGTTTTACGCCGCTTTTAGCAATATTCCAGCAATATCACGGTGGGGGACACCAGAAATGGGCTTCACACATTGCACCCATGTCGGGAATCGAACCTGGGTCTTCGTCGTGACGAGTGAACGCTTTAACCACTAGGCTACCCGACCGCCCCCATTTCCATGTGAAATATGTGAGGTAGGTGTTGGAAAATCTAAGATGGCTGTGATTGACGGTATACGGTCTCATATTAGGTCAGTAACAACCATCTTGGATATTTACTGACGCTATATGGGCTCATGTGGGGTCAGTAGTTCTGCTCTCTGATTGGTCAATCTCACTTTGAGGCAGAATAAAGGTAAGTATAGGCATGGTGTACGTGGTGTAAACAGTTGAGATTACTCCTCGTGTTCCTGGTGTACACAGGTGTCCGAATACACCTGATGTATCAGTTATCTACTGATGCTGGCCGAATACACCCTGTGAAACCGGTAAGCCTACGTTGTAACTGTTATTTACGCTTGTAGTCTGGCACTTCCCGTCAGTCGTGTCTCCTTTGTCGCCATGTGTACATGTAATATGTTGTTATCCGTCATGTATCTTAGACGCACTACATCACTACGACGACGGGGTCCGGGCTGTAGTCGGCAACGCCTCCACCGCCGGCATCTGGGCAACCTACCCGCAGCCCTTCGTCTCTACAGCGAACGGCTTCGGTGACCAGGTGACTAACCGCATAATTTAATCCATCTGTTACGTTACTTAACTCAATCAACTCAATGTTATTAGCGCATGCTTTCCATTTGACAACGTCATTTGATTGTATTCAGTGTGAGAGAGTGAGATTTAACGCCGCTTTAAACAGTATTTCAGTTATATCACGCCAAGTCAGCTTGATGTCAGAGGGAAGCCCTAAGTGGCGCAGGTCTTAACTGTTAACGAGTACGGCTGTGGTGCTGACACACCTAGAAACACAACCAGGGCATGGGTTTGAACCTACGATGACAGATTTCTGGCATGCCTAAACGACGCAAGACTAGCCGACTTGGTCACCGTGTCCGACTGGATTCAAAATAAACTTAGCGATGTTGTCAGAGAGCTTGAATGTCTTCACTACGAACTCTGTGATAATTACATCCTCAGCCAGTAACTCCCTGAAATATGTTCGACAGTCTTTGCAAAAAAAACGGAAGCCTTTTAGGGCCATTTGGTTTTTTCTTGATATTTCAAGATACTACGTTGAAATTTCAAGAGAAATATTGGCCCTGAAAGACTTCAGTAAGAAATAGAAAATAAATATTACGCTGCAGGTTTTCGGCACTGCGATCCTGCTGATATGTGTGATGGGAGTGACCGACCCCCGGAATATGTCCCCACCCTCAGGCCTTATCCCTATCAGTGTGGGCTTGATCGTCGTGGCCATTGGCATGACATTCGGCTTCAACTGCGGGTATGCTATCAACCCGGCAAGGGACCTCGGACCGCGAATCTTCACCGCTTTAGCAGGCTGGGGATCAGATCCTTTCAGGTAGGTGCAACAAGGCGCCACAGTAGCCGTGTAGCAGGCTGGGGATCAGGTCCTTTCAGGTGGGTGCAACAAGGCGTCATATTGTCCGTGTTGCAGGCTGGGGATCAGGTCCTTTCAGGTGGGTGCAACAAGGCGTCATATTGTCCGTGTAGCAGGCTGGGAATCAGATCCTTTCAGGTGGGTGCAACAAGGCGTCATATTGTCCGTGTAGCAGGCTGGGGATCAGATCCTTTCAGGTGGGTGCAACAAGGCGTCATATTGTCCGTGTAGCAGGCTGGGGATCAGATCCTTTCAGGGAGGTGCAACAAGGCGTCATATTGTCCGTGTAGCAGGCTGTGTCAGGTCCATTCAGGTGGGTGCAACAAGGCGTCATATTGTCCGTGTAGCAGGCTGGGGATCAGGTCCTTTCAGGGAGGTGCAACAAGGCGTCATATTGTCCGTGTAGCAGGCTGGGGATCAGGTCCTTTCAGGTAGGTGCAACAAGGCGTCATAGTGTCCGTGTAGCAGGCTGGGGATCAGGTCCTTTCAGGTAGGTGCAACAAGGCGTCATATTGTCCGTGTAGCAGGCTGGGGATCAGGTCCTTTCAGGTAGGTGCAACAAGGCGTCATATTGTCCGTGTAGCAGGCTGGGGATCAGGTACTTTCGGGTGGGTGCAACAAGGCGTCATATTGTCCGTGTAGCAGGCTGGGGATCAGGTCCTTTCAGGGAGGTGCAACAAGGCGTCATATTGTCCGTGTAGCAGGCTGGGGATCAGGTCCTTTCAGGTAGGTGCAACAAGGCGTCATATTGTCCGTGTAGCAGGCTGGGGATCAGGTCCTTTCAGGTGGGTGCAACAAGGCGTCATATTGTCCGTGTAGCAGACTGGGGATCAGGTCCTTTCAGGTGGGTGCAACAAGGCGTCATATTGTCCGTGTAGCAGGCTGGGGATCAGGTCCTTTCAGGTAGGTGCAACAAGGCGTCATATTGTCCGTGTAGCAGGCTGGGGATCAGGTCCTTTCAGGTAGGTGCAACAAGGCGTCAAATTGTCCGTGTAGCAGGCTGTGTCAGGTCCTTTCGGGTGGGTGCAACAAGGCGTCATATTGTCCGTGTAGCAGGCTGTGTCAGGTCCTTTCGGGTGGTTGCAACAAGGCGTCATATTGTCCGTGTAGCAGGCTGGGAATCAGGTCCTTTCAGGTGGGTGCAACAAGGCGTCATATTGTCCGTGTAGCAGGCTGTGTCAGGTCCTTTCGGCGGGCGCAACAAGGCGTCATATTGTCCGTGTAGCAGGCTGTGTCAGGTACTTTCGGGTGGGTGCAACAAGGCGTCATATTGTCGGTGTAGCAGGCTGTGTCAGGTCCTTTCAGGTGTGTGCAACAAGGCGTCATATTGTCCGTGTAGCAGGCTGGGGATCAAGTCCTTTCAGGTAGGTGCAACTATATGTTATAATGTCCGAGAAGCAGGCTGGGGATCAGGTCCTTTCAGGTGGGTGCAACAAGGCGTCATATTGTCCGTGTAGCAGGCTGGGGATCAGGTCCTTTCAGGTGGGTGCAACAAGGCGTCATATTGTCCGTGTAGCAGGCTGGGGATCAGGTACTTTCAGGTAGGTGCAACAAGGCGTCATATTGTCCGTGTAGCAGGCTGGGGATCAGGTACTTTCAGGTGGGTGCAACAAGGCGTCATATTGTCCGTGTAGCAGGCTGTGTCAGGTACTTTCAGGTGGGTGCAACAAGGCGTCATATTGTCCGTGTAGCAGGCTGGGGATCAGGTACTTTCAGGTAGGTGCAACAAGGCGTCATATTGTCCGTGTAGCAGGCTGGGGATCAGGTACTTTCAGGTGGGTGCAACAAGGCGTCATATTGTCCGTGTAGCAGGCTGTGTCAGGTACTTTCAGGTGGGTGCAACAAGGCGTCATATTGTCCGTGTAGCAGGCTGTGTCAGGTCCTTTCAGGTAGGTGCAACAAGGCGTCATATTGTCCGTGTAGCAGGCTGTGTCCGGTACTTTCAGGTGGGTGCAACAAGGCGTCATATTGTCCGTGTAGTAGGCTGTGTCAGGTCCTTTCTGGTGGGTGCAGCAAGGCGTCATATTGTCCGTGAAGCAGGCTGGGGATCAGGTCCTTTCGGGTGGGTGCAACAAGGCGTCATAGTGGCCGTGTAGCAGTCTGTGTCAGGTCCTTTCGGGTGGGTGCAACAAGGCGTCATATTGTCAGTGTAGCAGGCTGGGGATCAGGTCCTTTCAGGTGGATGCAACTATAAGTTATATTGTCCGTGTAGCAGGCTGGGGATCAGGTCCTTTCAGGTGGATGCAACTATATGTTATATTGTCCGTGTAGCAGGCTGGGGATCAGGTCCTTTCAGGTGGATGCAATTATATGTTATATTGTCGGTGTAGCAGGCTTGGGAACAGGTCCTTTCAGGTGGATGCAACTATATGTTATATTGTCGGTGTAGCAGGCTGGGAATCAGATCCTTTCAGGTGGGTGCAACAAGGCGTCATATTGTCCGTGTAGCAGGCTGGGGATCAGGTACTTTCAGGTGGGTGCAACAAGGCGTCATATTGTCCGAAAGGTGCAACAAGGCGTCATATTGTCCGTGTAGCAGACTGGGGATCAGGTCCTTTCAGGTAGGTGCAACAAGGCGTCATATTGTCCGTGTAGCAGGCTGGGGATCAGGTCCTTTCAGGGAGGTGCAACAAGGCGTCATACTGTCCGTGTAGCAGGCTGGGGATCAGGTCCTTTCAGGTAGGTGCAACAAGGCGTCATATTGTCCGTGTAGCAGGCTGGGAATCAGATCCTTTCAGGTGGGTGCAACAAGGCGTCATATTGTCCGTGTAGCAGGCTGGGGATCAGGTACTTTCAGGTGGGTGCAACAAGGCGTCATATTGTCCGAAAGGTGCAACAAGGCGTCATATTGTCCGTGTAGCAGACTGGGGATCAGGTCCTTTCAGGTAGGTGCAACAAGGCGTCATATTGTCCGTGTAGCAGGCTGGGGATCAGGTCCTTTCAGGTAGGTGCAACAAGGCGTCATATTGTCCGTGTAGCAGGCTTGCGATCAGGTCCTTTCAGGTAGGTGCAACAAGGCGTCATATTGTCCGTGTAGCAGGCTGGGGATCAGGTCCTTTCAGGTAGGTGCAACTATATGTTATATTGTCCGTGAAGCAGGCTGGGGATCAGGTCCTTTCAGGTGGGTGCAACTATATGTTATATTGTCCGTGAAGCAGGCTGGGGATCAGGTCCTTTCAGATGGGTGCAACTATATGTTATATTAGCCGTGTATCAGCCTGTGGATCAGGTCCTTTCAGGTGGGTGCAACTATATGTTATATTGTCCGTGAAGCAGGCTGGGGACCAGGTCCTTTCAGGTGGGTGCAACTATATATTATATTGTCGGTGTAGCAGGCTGGGGATCAGGTCCTACAGGTGGGTGCAACTATATGTTATATTGTCCGTGTAGCAGGCTGGGGATCAGGTCCTTTCAGATGGGTGCAACTATATGTTATATTAGCCGTGTATCAGCCTGTGGATCAGGTCCTACAGGTGGGTGCAACCATAGGTCATATTGTCAGTGAAGCAGGCTGGGGACCAGGTCCTTTCAGGTGGGTGCAACTATATGTTATATTGTCCGTGAAGCAGGCTGGGGATCAGGTCCTACAGGTGGGTGCAACCATAGGTCATATTGTCAGTGAAGCAGGCTGGGGACCAGGTCCTTTCAGGTGGGTGCAACTATATGTTATATTGTCCGTGAAGCAGGCTGGGGATCAGGTCCTACAGGTGGGTGCAACCATAGGTCATATTGTCAGTGAAGCAGGCTGGGGACCAGATCCTTTCAGGTGGGTGCAACTATATGTTATATTGTCCGTGAAGCAGGCTGGGGATCAGGTCCTACAGGTGGGTGCAACCATAGGTCATATTGTCAGTGAAGCAGGCTGGGGGCCAGGTCCTTTCAGGTGGGTGAACCATAGGTCATATTGTCAGTGAAGCAGGATCGGGGCCAGGTCCTTTCAGGTTGGTGCACACATAGGTCATATTGTCAGTGAAGCAGGATGGGGGCCAGGTCCTTTCAGGTGGGTGCAACCATAGGTCATATTGTCAGTGAAGCAGGATGGGGGTCAGGTCCTTTCAGGTGGGTGCAACCATAGGTCATATTGTCAGTGAAGCAGGATGGGGGCCAGGTCCTTTCAGGTGGGTGCAACCATAGGTCATATTGTCAGTGAAGCAGGATGGGGGTCAGGTCCTTTCAGGTAGGTGCAACTATAGGTCATATTGTCATTGAAGCAGGATGGGGGCCGGGGTCCTTTCAGTTGGGTGCAGCCAGTGGTCATATTGCCTGTGAGATAACATATTGCCAGTTTTCCTGTACATGTGTGTCACAATTCCTTTTACTGCAGCTTCCGTGACTTCAACTGGTTCTGGGTGCCTATCCTGGGGCCCCATATAGGTGCTATACTCGGGGCCTACTTCTACCAGGCGTGTGTAGGCTTCCACTGGCCTACTGAGGTCGACATCTCCTCTGACACCAAAGACGTAAGCAAGGAGACGGGGCATGTGAATGTTGGCTTTGGTACGTAGTGTAGCATTACCCCGGTGTGGAGCCGACAGAGTCAGCCTCTGTTGTACTTGATCCAATTTGTCATTGGGCAAAAATAAACAGATTCAATTTACACCCGTTCTTAGACTGACGCTGAGCTCTGTCGCGCTAACACTGCATGTAAGGAGGGTTGTTGGTTTCCGTCGCAGTCAACAGTATGGCAGTTACGTCGTGGCGGTTTGTAAAAAGAAAACGTTTGTTGCATGAGAAACAATATGTCATTGTTTTTCGACACTTGAAACACGCATGAGTTGGTTGGGACTTAATCATGCACACGTCGGCATCATTACACGTACACTCCCGGGCAAAAGGAAGTATCAACTTGAAAATGGATTTGATGAAAAATATAAACGTTATCAAAACGTTACTAGGCTGAAAACAGTCGCCGAACACTGTAGACTTAAGGCCCAAACCACAGTCATGATACCCTGTATCATGCACCATCATCTAATAACCATTTTAGCCACCATGAAACATGTGTATACTTTCTTCTGCCCGGCAGTGAATAAGACCCGTAGTCAACATTGTAGGGGTTTTAGATGGGAATATTCAATATTTCGACTACTTTAAAAATTATAGAAATCATTCAGATAGAAATCAAAAATTATCTGGTCAAGTTAAAAGAATTTCACATACATCAAAAGTAAAGGGTTTTGGCCTTTTATACTAGACATTTAATATCAATACATGGAATTTGACAACAGCCTAAATGCTTCAAATTATTCAGGAATAAACAATACAGTGTTGGCAGACACCGGTTCGTGCGAGGTGTTAAACCCAAATCACTCACTCACTGCATGAATAGTATTACCATAACTTGGCTGGAAACATATTGCCAATCGAGCAGGGGACTATTGCTGAGCGCGGCGTTAAACAAAAAAACAACTGAACTCACTACTAAATGAAGCAATTTGAAATTCAAGAACAACTCTTGTCCAGTAAAGAGTTTACATCTACACAACCACGAGACTCGATCGAGTTTGCTACGTGTTGAGAGAGCACACTTTTTTGAAAACATATATTTGAATAATTTCCAAATTATGGGGAGACAATTCATTTTCAGTCAGGTTATGGTTTGACATTTTTTCATATATACTCTTCAAAGAAAGAAACGCAAAGCCAGATGTGAGGTAGGAAAATACATTTATACGAGGAACAAGGTATTTAGCAAAAATGTTGTGGAGAGAACACTTGGTGATTGTAGTCAACTCAGTTATCGGTACATAGGAAAAGTCCAAGGTGAAGGTCAGCTACCATCAAAAACGCGTATGTCCCCCGTTGGAATCGATAGCGCCCTGACATCTCCTCCCTATGGAAGAGACGAGTATGCGAATCACATCAGGGGGAATGGTAGCCCACTCGGCCTGCAACGCAACAGCCAACTGCTGCAACGTCGTGGGTTGTGGTTGACGTCGGCGTAGCCGTCTATCCAATTCATCCCGCTGATGCTCCATCGGGTTCAAATCCGGGGATCTTGAGGGCCAGGGGAGGACTTCAACGTCGTTGTTGTGTAGACAGGCTCTTGTGAACCGTGCTGTATGCGGTCGAGCGTTGCCCTGCTGGAATACACCGTTGCCGTTGGCTGCAATTGGGAGGACGTGTGGTAGGAGAATTTCGTTGATGTATCAAGATTGTAAGGTTGCCCTGGACATGGACCAAACTAGTCCTGCCATGATGAGAGATAGCCGCCCACATCATAACGTATTGCCTTTCTTTTTTTTTTGAAGAGTATAGTAGAAAATAGAAATAGAGAGGATAATACTGAAGTAAGAATCTATGTCGAATGAATTATGCATGATTGTGCATGTGACGTAGAGGCTGTACAATGCACGAAAGGTACTTTTCCTGTACACTCTAGTGGAAAGGCATGGCATGTTGATTCATTAGCACTGCACCATCACGATGTGGACAATAATTGTGTGTTTGTATATTACTTTGATGCATGCCCGTGTTAAATGGATGAAAACTGCAACCGTTTTCTTTTTTTTATTATTGTACTGTCATGATTGTTTTCATAAGAAATAGCATTTTGATATCTAAACAAATATGCATTTGAACAAATTGTAAATTTAAGAGAGCCTCCGTAGTGCAGTGGATAGAGTGTCTGACCATGAGAGCGGAAGATCGGGAATTCGATCATAACAAAAGCCGTGCTACTTGATCTTTCCCTGCCTGGCGTTCGGAAAATAACAGTGCGGTTTGAATCTTAACGGCAGAGATTTGTCCAAAGTGAGACCAACATTCAATTTATGCAGTGGTGTATAAATATTACTTTCGATGACAGCATATCAGTAAAGAACTCTACACAGGTCATTTTGTAAGTTTATTCAAAATATCAGAATATTATTCACTAAGGATGCATAGTCTATGGGGAATGTGACATACATTTATTATGTTAAATATCATACAAATTGTATTAAATTTTAGTTGACATTACAAATAAAGGCCACAAAACCCTGTCCATCGCCAAAAGAAATCTCTGCTCAAAGCAGAGTCGATTGTACGATTCCGATAATACCATGAATATGTGTTTATGAATCACTATCAAATAGTCATGATAACATCGCCGACTAAAAGATACCCCTACCCATGTTATCGAATGTTAACGTGGATATGGTAAGACAGATATGTGACCGTAAACATCCCAATTGACGTCTCATGTCAAACGTTTATTATGTCCCTGTGGATTTGGCCATGTGTGAGTTTATCATGGGGATGGAGGTAAAGGCATATTTTATAATACGTTTCGACAGAGACTTACTGACATTCAGAAGTACCTGGTAGAAAGTCGTTATACTTCTACTCATGCTTGAAATGTACAGTTAAGTCGGAGTTATATTTACACTGTAATAAGAACAATAAATTGAGAGTGAGTGAATATGGTTTTACACCGCTTTTAGCAATATTCCAGCAATTTCACGGCGGGGGACACCAGAAATGGGCTTGACACATTGTACCCATGTGGGAAATCGAACCCGGATCTTCGGCGTGACGAGCGAACGCTTTAACCCACTGCTCCAGTAAATTGCTTTTGTTGAGAAGCCCCTTTACTATACGGGAAAACAAAATGTTAGAAGAGATCTGTGTCACACTGAAGGTATCGAGGCAAATTGTTTACTGTGTCATGTCTTTGGAAATGGAAACATTTTAACTTGCATTGTACATTTTATGGTGAATAACGAACTCCTGAAATTATAACATTACGTAATAAGGTTGTACCCTGTTTCAAGTTTATATCACACTAATGGATTGTTCATGTTAGGAAAATATTTTTATTGTCTTAAATATTTGTACTGATATGATGTATTATAGTGTGTATGTTCTACAAAATTGTTCTATTAAGATTGTACGGATTATGGATAAGTTGTCTTTGAAGCAAAAAACATTGATTGATTGATTGATTGATTGATTGATTGGTTGGTTGGTTGGTTGGTTGGTTGATTAATTGATACCAATAAACCACGTGTTTCTATGTTAAGGATACATGAATGTTTATGAAGCTAGTTATTCTCTATTTCGTTGACTTCCAGAGCTCAATTGATCATTTCGATGGCATGGAACAGATGAATCTCGCCAGTTGATGCGGCTCGACCTATATACTCTCGTTAGGCGGCGTTCAGTGACTCGTCTTTGCATACAACGTTGTCTGCTGTGTTGTTACAACGCTCAATCTGTTTTCACTTTCTTGTGACATTGCTACCTGTTGCCACGTCTTTGGTTGGATCAAAAGACGTTGTCACCTTGGTATGGTGTTGTAAACCTTCGTATTTGTTATTGCCTGTTTTTCATCTGTTATGCTGGTATTCTTGAAACCTCGAGAAGTCCCGTACTGGCGTACTTAATGTGTCTTAAGGCAGTCATTGTTAGTTCATTTGACTGTTATAGTAATCTCATTCACACGATCAGGTGGTCAGGGTCGGTGACCTGGTTGACTTCTTGTCATCGTATCCTAACAGCCTCGATGTTCATGATGTCAATCACTGATTGTCTGGTCAAACAAACATGAATCCCTTATACCCCGCCACGAAGAAAACGACTGCAAGTGGATTTCTGAGCGGGGAATGAATCCATTATACCCCGCCATGAAGCAAAAAGCTATAAGTTGTTTAGCAGTCAGTGAAATAATCTCAGCTCAATCGAACAGCTGTCGTCTATTAATTTTCAATTTGTTTTAATTCTTTTACAATTGCAGATTGAAAAATCCGTGGTAGCAGTATCACGAGGGGTATATGTGGTTTTATTCGTCCATCGTTTGGTTTCATAGAACTCGTCTCCGGCTCGAGGTATAAAAGCTAACGCGGGACGCATAAAATAACATGTACCCCGTGATACTGCTTCAGCTTATATTGTTTTATTAGAATGTAGTCTTATGATAATAAATATCAATATAACTAGACCAGTGGTATTAAACTATTTCGGTTCAGAAATCATGGTGGTAACAAACGGAAAACAAACTTTTAAGTATTTCATTGAAGTGCTCCACATTTTGTATTCTTTTTAACCTTGGATCGGAAATTCAGATATAGTTGTTTAGGATTTTCTTATGAGATATGAAATCTATTCCACATAGTCAATCTTTACATGCATACAGCGAGGTCTTTGAGTAATTCATCTTTTCAAGTACTCACGGGCGGCGGGGTAGCTTAGTGGTTAAAGCGCTCGGTCGTCATGCCGAAGACCCGGGTTCGATTCCCAAATGGGTACAATCAGCCGTGATATTGCTGGAATATTGCCAAAAGCGGCCTAAACCCATACTCATCACTCTCAAAGTACTATTTTTACTTAATCGATATTCTGTCCGATGGGTCAAAGTCGACCTGAATAAAGAGATTTGTATTGTTTTGGTTTGGGTCGGCGATATACTTAATTGGGCGACCTGATTATAGACAGGCCCTAGTCATTGAGTAGATGTCATAATGTTTGGTCTAAATATTGTACATAATGTTATATTATTCGGTTATTATTCCTACTCATCAATTACGCTCAATTGGCCAGTTGCTCTTGGCGCATAATAAACATACCTCACAGAAGCATGTCTTTAGTTGTATAGTTTCCACGATTAGGTATATACCATGTCATATTCAATAACGTTCAATTATTCAACACTATTGAACACTTGAAATAAACTATGCCGTTTTTATACCTAATTTGTATAGAAATGTGATAAATGTCGGAGCTGAAGCATTTTTCGAACAGTACCCCACTTAAATAATCCGGACTGAAAGACAAACAAACAACTCTGAGCAACAAGAATACTGACCTCGCTGGAGTACCATGTCTTATGTGTCATACATACGAGGGGCGTTCAATAAGTTTTGCAACTTCAATATAAGACCAAATCGCAGAATATCTTTTGCACTTTTATTTTTCAATATAATCTCCATTCACCTCAGTACACTTATTCCATTTGTCCTTCAAGATTTTAATACCGCTTTTATAGAAATCTGCAGATTGGCCCTCTAACCACGCCTCTGTGGCAGCCTTTATGTCCTCGTCATCCTGGAAGCGTCTTCCACGTAGGGCAGATTTCATTTGCCGGAACAGGAAATAGTCACTGGGGGCTAAGTCTGGGCTATAGGGTGGGTGTCCTACCTCCCCCTTCCCTTTTGAAAACCAAATGTAGTATGTTTTAGGCAGTAATATTATCTGAGAGAGGATATTGATGTTTTGGACCCCTCCCTTTTAAAAATGCTGGATCCGCCTTTGCATTGTATATGCTTTCTGTCACAAGTCTGCCTGGATTCAAGTATTTACAAGTCACTATAATATAGCTCGAACATTGCCGGTAGCGTTAAAAAACCATCACCACTCACTCACTCACTCACTTCTTAACCATGTATATCCATACATTTCATCCTCTAGCGGAATTGAATTATCATATCCCAATCGTTCTCGTCTGAATTGGCCACGTTGACACTATTATAATACCGAACACAGCGGGCGTGTTACCGCACATTATTCAATAAAGTTCCCCTATCTGTTGTATACAGCGAACCCTACACACAGATGTTACCTACTCTGGCTCGATCGATTACCTTCTCATACCAGACCATTGAGGTATGACTACAGCGACGACCAAGTCATAAAACTTCTATCGATTCTATCGATTAACTGATATATCTAAATTAATCTGTAAAACCTGTCTATGTGTGTTCTAATTATTATGTGTATCAGCACACACCATGTTACAATGTTAAAGTATGTTTGTTCTAAGTAATAACCGAGGAGGGATCATTCATTGTGGAGTTTTTGTTGTTCCAACATCTGTGCCTCGAGTTCCGCCAGCCGCCGTCAGCCCTGTATGTCAATGAGTAGTGCTTGCAGAAAGGGGACATTGTACGTGTTGATGGCGTACATCCTGATGCTGTCAACGTTGCTATATCCGAGGAAGGAGTTGTCTGAGGAGATTACATATTGTGGTGGCTGGAACAGTAGTGCTGTATACATATTGTGATGGCTGGACAGTGATGCTGTATACATATTGTGATGGCTGGACAGTGATGTTGTCATGGTCAATATAATGTGGTTACTATTGTAACACAGTGTCCCAGCTCGGCCACATAACGGACTTGTGACACGCTGACCGACTTAAGGCAACTCCAAAAAGGATGGAGACATGCATTGGGTGCACTGAGTAACAAGATCACGTTCCGTTGATGAACGTCATCTACATACCTTACGGCTCCAGCTACGTTTACAAGTTTCAAAAATCAATTTTACAGTGATCGTGCACCCCGACTTACGACACATGTTGAAACAGTTAACATCTTCCTCCGGAGAACAGGTCTAGCCATTGAGGTCTATTGTGGTCAGGTGCTCTGAATGCATGGTTCTACCATCAGTGGGCTTCGTCGTATATGCGCGATGGGTTATTGAACGACTACCGTATTACATATTTGGATCGTATTGCTCCAATTTAAAATGATGTCACGGCTACTGCCTTGAGGGAGAAGCACAAGCTTGTCCCTGATATTGATGGTTTCAGCAGTATGAAGATGTAAGGAATAAGATATCATCATCCTCATCTTCATCTTGGTCAGCTGTCTCTTGTGATGGTATAACATCATGATAAACACCATGAGGTTCCGTGCCAAAATATATACACTCTTTCTCCATGTGTTTCTGTGCGGACTTTTCTTCAACTGGATACTCGGGTCTTTCAAAACGAAGGCACGTGCACCTGATCCGAATAAGGGTTTAGATATCCAGGTTCAGGGGTGGAAGAATCCTGGTTTAAACGCGAATGGGGAAAACGGGAGGGGCATGACGTTTGTGGGGACGGAGCTGAAGCTGGCGGAGCAGTACATGGAGACGTTTAAAGTGAATGTTCTGGCCAGTGATCTCATCGGCCTCAACAGGAGCATCCCGGATACTAGGTTTCCAAGGTAGGTCTCCCCACCACTGCAAGGTGAGTGAGTTGTGAATAACACCATTCCAGTCGCCATAGGACATGTCAACACAATCTGACTCAGATCTCAGACGGTACCGGACCGCCTCCGGGGTCTAGTGGTAGAGCGTCCGCCCGGAGAGCGGAAAGCCCGGGGTTCGATCCCCGGCCGCGTCATACCAAAAGATGTTAAAAGATAGTACTTGTTGTTACCGTGTCTGGCGCTCGGCATTAAGGGGCTAAAACAAGGACTGGTCGGCTCGGAGTCAGTATACTGTGTCTGAGTGGGGTATTCATGTTAAACTGCGGCATGGTATCTCAGTGAGCTAGCACTATAAATCGGCATCAGTCCGGACTAGTACAAGAAGCCACACAAACACACACACGTACATGCACGTGCAATGCAATAATCTTGAACGCGACGTTAAACCCCATTTCACCTCACCTCACACCTCAGACGGTACCACTTTGAAACCTAAAAAACAATTGTGTGGTTTTTGACAGGGCAATAGCTATGTTTCTTGGATTAAAGAGATTCCAACTCAAGTTCAGCGTTTCCTTTAACGAGTAAAGGACGTTCACTTCCACAGCGTAATCCCGGTGTCACACACAAGGACTATTATGGATATCAATATCTTTATTTTACATACACCTTCTTTATTATACATATACAAACAGACAGTTGTTATCCAGTGCATATTAGTAGTACAACATGTATACAATAATAGATAAATAGTTACATTGCAACCTTGACATTATAAATTTATTGTATGAGAAGGGGTTTACAATAAAGTATTTCATATGTCTTAACACTCATGTGAAATACATGGAACAACAGTACAGAGAGCTTAAACAGCATATCCAACAGCATATCCACATCATCAATTTGGAGTAGACAACATATCACGTTATACATATACATGACCTCAGCTGAAGAAATGTCCACACGTATGTATAATAATTAAGTTTTCAGCCAGAGTATACAATTCCTTGTTATGATTTAAAAAATATTATTCAGTGAATCTGGATCGGTACACAAGCCAAACGGCTTATGTCAATTTCTCCAGTACAAGTTATGCAGGCATTAAACAAAACAATACATGATGATACACTAAATACGTTAACAAAAGCATGGGGTCATGGTCAAAAGGTTTGATGTAATGATTAGAAGATTGATATACATGCGGGCGGGATTTATAGTCTCACGTTAGCTTAAACCTTTTGGAATGAAGTATGTATGAATGTACTGATTTTAAGATATCTAGATTAGTAGTTTTTGTGTGTAAAAGTAGCATTACCATTATAGTGTTAAGATCAACTCCCCTATAGTGTGGATATCCAACTTCTAAATGCCTACAAAGGCCCCGAAACAGTCAATGATACCTAAATTCATACTAGCATGCTACTCACGAGATGCATCTGTCATACCATTATAAAGTTATATCAGTTGGCACACCCATGTGCAGCTAAAAGCGCCCAAACCCTTTCCATATTCATAAGAAATCTCTACTGAAAGCAGAGTCGATTGTACGATTCCGACTCCACCATAAGCACACGTTAATGAATCACTATCAAATAGTGATGATACTACCTGTTCGCGAAAAGGTGAGCGTAATCTGCCCCACCGGTGGCTTCCGTCACAAACACATGCAAAGGCAAGTCAACGGTCAACTGTCAAAGACACGGGAATATCTGGTACAATTCAAAATACGGAATTGCATCGGACGACATTTGTGTCAATGATGACGTCAAATTAGGAATTATCCTGTATATGTCTCCATAAAACCTTGTGAAAGCTTCATTGAGGCCTTGATCGAACAAATACTGAACAAGAGTCGTATGACGGTTTTTGAAGCCATAGTAGAAAGTGAATGCACAATTGTACCTCAAAGGCTGTGAAATGTAGACACCAAAGGCTGGAGCTGCTGGAATATCGCTCGACACAAAGAGAAATTTGACTATTGGAAATGTGAAGGCATCTCTCCTGTCATGCACCCTCGTGGAGTGTTTCATGTCAGTCTAAATCGTATGCATATATCTCAAAATTAAATAGACAAGGCAGGTTAGCTTGTCCCTTTTATTTCTACTTCATGTTGGGAAATCAGTGGAAGGGAATTGGCCATTTGACCGTTATTGAACGATCCCTCAGAAAACCGTTATGGAACAAGCTTTTTAAAGGGTTGTTTTGGAAATCTGTTATGCTGATAGTTTACAAGGGAAACGTTCCTGTTCGTTTGAAAGTATAGTTTATCTGTGAAGCTATTGTCGCCACATAATAGACAAATGTTTCTCTTGTATGGATCACATGATATCCACCAAATATTCTTTGACAATGACTCTCTGTGACGAAATACAAAAATATTGATTATCGTTTTTTAAGACATCAATCGTCTTGTAGCATATCCTCCCGTGCTTTTGTCAGATGAACACTTGACTTGCCTTTGTAAGTGTGTGCAGGAGACGCTCACCTTTTCACGAACACCAGGTGTCATGACTATTTGATGGTGATTCATAAACACATGATCATGATATAATCTGAATTATACACTAGGCTGTTTTAGCAGAGATTTCTTATGAACATGGAATGGGTTGTGTCGCTTTCATTGTATTGCTTTCAAAATGAAAATGAACACAGAAACGCGATGAATGAACAAAAACTACTTCCAAAGACCACGTCAATATACATGTACAAAAAGTGGGGATCTGTAATATTGAACAAATATTTATAGCTAGTCACATACGGCATATATTATATACAATTGAATACATGACACTTGTTTATGGATAGTAACTTCTTTTATTCTTTGTACGACATTCAGAGCTGTAAACGTTTTGCTCCGTCATCAAGTGAATTATCTGATGAAGGAGCAAGAAGTAGATCTGAAACGTCGTACAAAGAATAAAAAAAGTTACTATGGTCCATAAACAAGTGTGATGCATTCATGTTCTCCCAATTTCTAAATGCCTATCAAAGAGTTCTATAAGAAATGTGGCATAGAAATGTACGTCCAGCTCCTTCCTATCCAGCTGTGGCAGCGTGATATACCCCGTGTCTCAGCTGCCAACAACCAGTGTCATCATCCCCTTCCATAACGAGTGGCGCTCACTTTTACTGAGGACAGTCTACAGCATCCTCACCAGGACGCCGCCATCACTGCTGCAGGAGATCATCTTGGTGGATGACGCCAGCAGTCTAGGTACGGTTTCCAAGGAGAAGCTTTACAGAGTTTCAAGTTTAGTTCTGGATCATGTGATAACCGCAATGTGTTACATAAAAGGGGTGGTCATTAACTCCTAGATCAATACACTTCATAAAATTTGGAGTTAGCAGATATCCTGTGTGTATTCTGGAATATTCGAAAGGGTTCCCTTAAATCCATGTTAGATCGTGGTTTGAATCATCGGCATCAAATTGGGCACCAAGTTGAATATTACCTCGTGCCTGTTACCTGATCACCAACTTTAATCCATTACAGAAATGGCTTCAAGAATGGAAACACGATTCTAGTATTACATTTAAAATAATATGTGCTCAATATTCAGATGTCTTGAAAAAGCCACTGGACCAGTACATCGCGGACCATTTCCAAGCCGGAAAGGTAAAGGTTGTGCGCATGCTCGAGAGGGTAGGCTTGATCAAAGGGAGGCTGAGAGGATGGCAGGAAGCCAAGGGTGATGTGCTCGTCTTCCTCGACAGCCACATGGAGGTTCAAGTTGACTGGTGGGTAGTGCCAGCCATTGGTCCAATAGTCCGATAGTTAGCGGGGCCCTTACAACCACCAGGAATACATTAACACCACAGAACATTGATGAAATTAGAAACGTTGTTTGGGATAAAGTATACAATACAAACGACGAACGGAATTTCTTACGAAACATTTCTTACATTTATGTGGGTTTTGATTTGGTATTTCTTTTTGTATTGGACACATACGCTGGCAAACCGGATTGATAATCGCAATTTGTTGAAGAAACATTAGGACTGTTCGAATCTTCACGTGACTGTACTATCGATACTTTATTTCCCATAGTCCTCATATCAATCGTTTCAAACATGTAGCAGTGCCCTCCGTAGAAAAATAGTGAATTAAGAAAATATATATCTAAAATTGTAATGTAAATTATAACTTTTATAGAACCGAAGTGAATCGTTTGGTCCCAGGTTACCTCCCTTGCTCAACGAGATCCGGAAGAACAATAAGACGCTGGCAATGAGTGTGCTGGACAAGGTGGATGCTCGGACACTGCAGTACAACGTGGCTGAGGACAACGTGATGAGATACGGCTTTCAGTGGAAACTCGGGTTCTATGGCCTCGGCTTCCGACCTGAACAACTAGGAGAGCAACGACACAGCCCAAGAAGGTAGCGCCTTAAGCCTGACATGACGGACTATTCCCTGGCGATGTCTTGAATAGTTCAATGAGGCAGTGTTCGTGAAAATGTGGATCTTTGACAAATTGGGCTTTGATTTTGATATGTTGATATAATAATGTGATTATAGTCGAATATAACCGTTCTCTTGGTTTGGCAGGGGTGTGTCAATGGTTGGAGCGGCCTATGCTGTGGACAAGGCTTACTTCGCGGAGATCGGTGCCTATGACGAGGGGATGCAGATCTGGGGCGGGGAGAACATTGAGATGGCTTGGAGGGTGAGGTCATTCTCCTGCTAGAAACGTTGTCGGTGGTATTATCATCATCTTCTTCATATGACTTTAAATCGTTCGTTCGTTCTTTCTTTCTTCGGTTCGTTCGTTCATCCACAGTATGAGTAAAACATATTCACAAGTATGTATAAAGTGTAAGGAAATAATCCTTTTCCAGGTGTGGATGTGTGGGGGTCAGCTGCTGCACGTGCCATGCTCGCACGTGGGTCACATCGAGCGTCCCCAGCCTTACACCTTCCCGGGAGGGGGCAGGCACGAGATCAAACTGGTCAATTTTAAGCGTGCAGTAGAGGTGTGGATGGGGCCGTACAAGAGATTCGTGTATCGGCAGTTCCCGGAGATGGAGGTGGGTATTCAAGGTCATCACAACACGTCGAAAGAAGCGACTAACGGGATCGGGTGGTATCCCAATTGCATGTATCGATGCTCATGATGTCAATCACTGATTGCTTTCAGACCGCCGTCATATAGCTGGAATATTGCTGAGTGTGGCCTTAAACAACAAACAAACAAACAAACAAACACAATGCTTGTAATATTTTATAAAGGAAATATGATCACTTCCGGTTGAGCGGCACTCGGTCACAAAACAGTCCATACTTTTTTAAGGGTGCCTGAGTTTGACATTATGTGATGAGCAATTCCCGCAGCAGAAATTTAACTATTTATCGTAACTTCGCCTATTCCATTTGATAGTCCATGAATCTATATATATATGCATCCTCATATTGGACAACCCTAGGAGGATTCAGGGTAGGGATAAGTCCCCGACAACCTTTACTGGTCGTAAGAGGTGACCAAATGGATTGGGCCGTCAGGCTCGGTGGGGTCGCTGGGTTGATTTAATGTCATCGTGGGGGCACGGGGGGCCCATCGTCTAAGGCGCCGCGTTTCGCTGTGAAGAGTTGCGTCACTTTGAAACGCCAGAAACCTATGAATATGGGTTCGAATCCCGGTTCGCCCCGTTTATGTTTCCAGGTTTGTCAGCACCATACCCGTGCTCATGGGATTCACCGAAGTGGTAAACGACTGAGACCTGCTTCACTTGGGGCTTTCCTCCCACATTAAGCTGACACACCGTGATATAACTGGAATACTGTTAAAAGCGGCGTTAACCCAACTCACTCACTAACTAATGTCATCGTACCCCATAGCGTGGATCGTTATCGACATTATCGATCACTGGTTTGTCTTGTCCAGTCTTGATTATTTACAGGCCGTCGTCACATGACTTTAATATTGCTGACTGCTGCGTTAACCGACAAACAAACAATAATCCTATTCGACAAGTCCCTACAGCTCGAGCTTGCCGTTCCAGACCCTTGACGCTGGGGACCTGTCCTCCCGCCTGGCACTGAAGGAGCGGCTCAAGTGTCGGGATTTCTCCTGGTTCTTACAGCACGTGTGGCCCGAGCTGCTGGTGTATGACGAGGACGTCAGAGCATGGGGGAAGGTCAGTAACACGACACCTACAAACCTTCCCACATATACCACTCAAAAGAAGTTAAAGAACATCCTATTCTTTAATATTACTGTAGTTAATATGAAAGAATCGGGTGTTCTTTAATTTCTTTTGAATGGACGGCATGATAGATTAACTACAGTAACATGAAAGATTTGGGTGTTCTTCAACTTCTTTTGAGTAGTATATGTCATAATCCGTAATCCAGACGTGTGTGAACAACATGCCACCATGTGGTGATGACATCAGTAAGTCGTACTTAGACGCCCGCTTCATCCGTGTTCCATGGAATCCTGGAAGGGACATTGTCGCCTTGTCGTCCTTACAAAAACAAGCAAAAAGTGTCAAAATCAACCAAAGCGCGACAATGCGACAATGTCCCTTCCATCATTCCATAGTGCTCTATATTAATACAATCGTCAAAACCTTTCCATAATCACAAGAAATCTCTGCTTAAACAACAGAGTCCATTTTGCACATTCGACTATATCACAAGCAGGTGTTCGGATATGAACCGGTCCATTGGCTTAACTAACGAACGTTTTGTTCACATCGTGAATATAATAAACATTGAGACATACAACGCCTCGTCTTCCCGAGACAAGGGAGGTTACTGATTGTCCAAGTTCGTTAAAGGGGAAGTGTACACGCAAAAATCACTTTCTTTCTTTTTCTAAACAAAACGCAATTTTAGAATTAATTAGTATCTGTGTTTGAAAATATACACTCATTTTTTTCAAAGTGAAAGTAGGAAGCTCACAATAGTGTGAAAATGATATGCCGTTATGAGGCCTTCGTTTTTCGAGCTAAACAGGCCTGAGTTATCCCCCTTAGATTATGACGTAATTGGTGCCAATTCAACTGGGTCCCTGTCTATTCTCAACGCAAAAGATATCAAGTACCAGTTTGCGGTAAAACAACATGGCCTACGACACATTCCGGCGCAGTAGTGACTCAGCATAACACAATTCTGGCTGGCATCTGAGACGCTAGAATCACAAAACTGTACCTACACCACGTGAAGCGGCTCTAACAAAGCATGATGACGTCATAATGTTTATCAATTGGCACCAATGACGTCATATTGCAAGGGGCATAAGCCATGGTGTTTTTGTTGTGGAAATAGAACACTTGGTAAATGTGAAAAATATATATCGTTTTAATGCAAAAAATATGTTAATTAAATATGATCTTTTTATATTTTTGTCTATGACACTTCTATGTTAACGCTTTTAATGTGGAAAAAGTACAAGAAAAATTGGTTCATTTCCGTGTGAACTTGCCCTTTAACTCCCTTGCTGCCTCGGGAAGATGGCTACGTCTTGCAGAGTATCTTTTAAAGTCGTGTCGGACTACATATATTTTGAATGATGACTGTGAGAGTGTCACACACGCCTTGATAATGGCATAACCTCTATTATAAAACTTCTGTCACTGTTATATAACATCTACGTCGTTGTTCTAACCTCTATCAGTCACGATATGTCTGAAATACTGTCGATGTGACTTTCAATTTTAACTCACTCAAACTCTAACTTGTTTATCAAGGCAAACCACAATTGAATAAAAACAGATGTGTATTATAGCAGTGACTTGTATGTCCGATCTGCGAGGTCATCAAAAAGTACAGTACTACTGTATTATACAACCTACTGTATTATAATGGCATTCCCAATGAGTGTTATGTGTCAAATAGTATCATTTGTAAAATGTCAACTCTTCTGTATATGTGTAACTGTACCTGGATGAAAATCAAATACAATTACTATTTATCCAGCTGAAAAACGACCAGACCATGACTTGCCTGGATAATCACAAGGGCCTGTACCCTGGGAGGGTGTTCATGGAGCAGTGTAAAGAGGACCTCAATACCCAGGTAATCCACCTGACAGAACAATGTATATATGGCCTCAATACCCAGGTAATCCACCTGACAGAACAATGTAAATATGGCCTCAACACACAGGTAATCCACCTGACAGAACAATGTAAATATGGCCTCAATACCCAGGTAATCCACCTGACAGAACAATGTAAATATGGCCTCAACACACAGGTTATCCACCTGACAGAACAATGTAAATATGGCCTCAACACACAGGTTATCCACCTGACAGAACAATGTAAATATGGCCTCAATACCCAGGTAATCCACCTGACAGAACAATGTAAATATGGCCTCAACACACAGGTAATCCACCTGACAGAACAATGTAAACATGATCTCAACACACAGGTAAATCTCACCTGATAATACAATGTAAACATGATCTCAACACACAGGTAAATCTCACGTGACAATATAATGTAAACATGGTCTCAACACACAGGTAAATCTCACCTGACAATATAATGTAAACATGATCTCAACACACAGGTATATCTCACGTGACAATATAATGTAAACATGGTCTCAACACACAGGTAAATCTCACCTGACAATACAATGTAAACATGGTCTCAACACACAGGTATATCTCACCTGACAGAACAATACATGATCTCAACACACAGGTAAATCTCACCTGACAATACAATGTAACATAGCCTTAACACACCGGTAAATCTCACCTGACAATACAATGTAAACATGATCTCAACACACAGGTAAATCTCTCCTGACAATACAATGTAAATATGATCTCAACACACGGGTAAATCTCGCCTGACAATATAATGTAAACATGATCTCAACACACAGGTAAATCTCACCTGACAATACAATGTAAATATGATCTCAACTCACAGGTAAATCTCACCTGACAATACAATGTAAATATGATCTCAACACACAGGTAAATTTCATCTGACAATATTATGTAAACATGATCTCAACACACAGGTAAATCTCACCTGACAATACAATGTAAATATGATCTCAACACACAGGTAAATCTCACCTGACAGAACAATGTAACATAGCCTTAACACACAGGTAAATCTCACCTGACAGTCCAATATAATCATGATCTCAACACACAGGTAAATCTCACCTGACAATATTATATAAACATGGTCTCAACACACATGTAAATCTCACCTGACAAGACAATACATAATCTCAACACACAGGTAAATCTCACCTGACAATATAATGTAAGTATGATGTCAACACACAGGTAAACCTCACCTGACAATACAATGAAAAAAATCTCAACACACAGGTGAATCTTACCTGACAATACAATGTAAACATGATCTCAACACACAGGTGAATCTTACCTGACAGTACAATGTAAACATGATCTCAACACACAGGTAAATCTCACCTGACAGTACAATACATGATCTCAACACACAGATAAATCTCACCTGACGGTACAATACATGATCTCAACACACAGGTAAATCTCACCTGACAATACAATGTAAACATGGTCTCAACACACAGGTAAATCTCACCTGACAATACAATGTAAACATGGTCTCAACACAGGTAAATCTCACCTGACAGAACAATACATGATCTCAACACACAGGTAAATCTCACCTGACAGAACAATACATGATCTCAACACACAGGTATATCTCACCTGACAATACAATACATGATCTCAACACACAGGTAAATCTCACCTGACAGAACAATACATGATCTCAACACACAGGTATATCTCACCTGACAATACAATACATGATCTCAACACACAGGTAAATCTCACCTGAAAATACAATATAAACATGGTCTCAACACACGGGTAAATCTCACCTGAAAATACAATATAAACATGGTCTCAACACACAGGTAAATCTCACCTGACAATATAATGTAAACATGGTCTCAACATACAGGTAAATCTCACCTGACAATACAATGAAACAATCCAATAGAATATGAAAATATCTGATTAGTAGAGGTAGGTACCGTTGTTGTTATTGTTGCTGCAATGACAACTGTAGTAGTAGCCCTAGTCGTAGCTGTAGCAGGACCATTAGCAATAGTAAATGTAGCAACAGTACATGTAGCAGCTGTAGAATTACAGCGGTGATATGTTTATTGTCATATTAGAGTTGTCATGTTTTACAAGATATTGTTGGATTGCAAATATACTACTCCACTTTTGATAGGGGTATTTCTTATCTGATTCTAATAGTGTATATTTAAATAGAACGTCAAATGTGATCATCCCTATCAAGTTGAGTGCTATGGTAACCATGCTATGTTTTCAAGGGCTTCTCGCTGATGCATGACGGGCGTCTGAGAACAACCGTGCTGTGTGTCAGCACTGGAACTATCAAAGACAGAGAGAGGCCTCTACTTAAGGAATGTTATAACCAACACAGCATATGGAAGTTGCACCACGAGGTTTGTTATTCTCTTTATAATATCTAATAATCACATCTTTTTCGTTTATTTGTGTCAAGGGTTAATTTACAATCAGGTAATTTATGTTTTTGGTCATCTGGACACCTCAAGTATAGACACCTGAAAGCATGCCCAGGATTTCTCCAATCAGCTTCTGATACTGTTAAAGAGATAATCGCCAATGGATAACAACGATATCCGATTGTCGGGTCACTCTAGTTGGCCTTTGAACTGACCTAGGGTGAAGTGCTCCTAATAGTGTATGAGCTGACATGAATTGAGTTAGGATAGATTGGGCAGGATATCCTTACCCTTTTCGTGAACACCTGGTTTCATCACTGACTTTCAGTGATCAATTCAAATATTTTTCACCCCGTTGCCTTTTACGATCGATGGAATCTGTTTCGTTGGATAAACGCGACTGGTTATTCTTTGGCGTTGATGTTTTATATTTACGAGTTTGCCATCACTGTTTCAGACAAAATGGTTGAGTGAAGAGGCAAGCGGTTTGTGTTTGGACGTGTTTAAAGGCTATCCTATAATGGTACCATGCGTCCGGAACAGCACGTCGCAACAGTGGACATTTGACCACAACAAATGACCTGACTGAGGGCCTATAAAGACGGAGAGTTGTGAAACACCCGACAGGGTTTTTCCTTTAACTCAACTACAGATGTAGGGTATCATGGTTAAGAGTGTGAGTTGGGTTTGACGTACACCAATTTTGGCAATGTTCAAGCCAGATCACGCCGGGGACTTCATACATTGTACCGCGTGGGAATCGAACCCAGACCTGTGACGTCTTCAGCAAACACTTCAACAACAAGTCAACATGGTGAAGATTGCAAGAAGGACCGAGGGGCTTTGTAAAGAGATCTGATCGGATTGTTGGAAAGAAGAGTTGCTGTTAATTTGCAAGACTTATCTACATACCCCGAACCTCCAATACAAAATGTACCTATTTAAATTGTTCAAGTAAAGGACGTTCGACAAGATCCAGATATCTGAGATTGAGGAAGATCTGAAAGAAGCTAATCGCCGAGTCCACGACATACTTCCTTTGTTTAACGCGGCAATCTGCAAAATTACAATGGTAACACCCCGATCGGTCGAATACCTAAAATGAGTTTGGTCCGATCGGCCGACAAAACGCTTCTCTCCCTTATCCGTCAAGTCGACGTAGCCAGACATGCATGGTAACCGCTCAGGATCTTCTTATATATTTTGTTAGGGGTGTAAGACTATAGTGAGTGAGTGGTGATTGGCGAGGTTGCCCAAGTCGGATTATTTTAAATTGGGTTATCTTCACATCTTTTTCAGATATCTTGTTAAAAGAGAATATGACAATTTATTGTTTTACATTTAGTTTGTGAATCAGTTTCCTGCAGTACAAACATGTGATATGAACCTGTGATTATCCAGGTTAGAATCGGTCTTCAACAACCCATGCTTGTCGTAAGAGGCGGGATCGGGTGGTCAGGTTCGTGATCGATGATTGACATCCTATCCCAATTTAGTAGATCAATGCCCGTGGTGTCAATCACTGGATTGTCTGGTCCAGACTCGATTATTTACCTAATTGCCTAGCGATTCTGTTAGTCACTTCTTACAAGCTGAAGACCAATTCTAACGAAGACCTTCACAGGGGAGTGACATAGTATATGTACAATTATATAACATGACATTCAAGCATGTTAGGATGGATATAAAAATTTGACTCATCCATTTTTTGGTGATGATTGTAACAGCACTCCATATACTAGTAACTGTACACGATGTCAGAGGCATTCAGTCATAAGTTATTTTGACTGTCAATGTCAAGCTGTAATTAATAAAACGTGTTATTTTGCTTTGACACTGTTTTATCATAATCTGCAATAACTGTCATGCAAATTGATAATAAAAACAAGATGTTTGTTTATTAATTCAACAGTTTATTCCTATTCCTTCAAAACAATATAAGTACAACTTGGGTACACAAAAAGTCCAGATGTGACTAAGACTGTTCTCGTGTGTGATCACACTGTTACAACCTATACTACTCACAGAATATAAGGAACACTTATGTCCACAGAACATAAGGAACACTTATGTCCACAGAACATAAGGAACACTTATGTCCACAGAATATAAGGAACACTTATGTCCACAGAACATAAGGAACACTTATGTCCACAGAACATAAGGAACACTTATGTCCACAGAATATAAGGAACACTTATGTCCACAGAACATAAGGAACACTTATGTCCACAGAATATAAGGAACACTTACGTTCGGGTGGAGTGCCCTGGTTTATCATTCTGTATGTTCCTGAATATTTGGGCATGTCCTACTTGCACATATGCCATGTACCCACTGCATGAGTGAGTGAGTTGGGTTTAGCACCTCTTTGAACAGTATTTCAGTTAGATCATGAAGTGTCAGCCTGAAGTGATGCAAGTCTTTGACAATTACCACCTTGGTGACACCATGAGTAAGGGTACAGTGCTGACAAACCAAGAAACATCAGACTGAATCTGGGATTCAAACCAAGATCATGGGATCCTGGCATGTCTAAGGGAAGCAACTGTGCACCTCAAATTGTGGTGTCTTGGATGCCACAAAATGACCTGACATAAAGGATTCCAGCAAAATGCAGAACTCCCTTACATTCTGTGGGTAGTATATGTCAACATAAGTAGTGAAAGGTAAGCAAACTAGCAGTGAAATAAAAGTGAGTGAGTGAGTAAGTTTGGTTAATGCCGCTTTGAACAGTGTTCCAGTTATATCACAGCGTGTCAGATTAATGTGGAAGGAAAGCCTGAGAGATGCAGGTCTCAGATGTTCACCACTTCCTTGAAACGCACAGACACAGGTCTGGTGCTGACAAACCTAGAAACATAATCAGGGTGAACCGGATTCCGGGAACCCATGCTCATACACTTCTACCCTACCCAAGGGACACAACTCTGCACAGCGCATTGATGATGATGACACCTTAGATGACTGGGCCACCTAGTGAAATAACATTCACTGATAGAAAATGAATATTATAAAGATAAAAGAAATAAAATAACAAAGTGATAACAAACACATGCTTTGTCCTGGATAAGATAAATAGAATGCAATAAAAATGTAATGTTTTATGAAAAAAACAAAGAATAGAAGTGTCAGATCAGCAATAAATAACACATTTTGGCAACCTCTTTGAACAAGCACCTGCATATATTAAAGCAAAAAACACTGGAATTAAAACATTATTGAATATACACAAAAACAAAAAACAGACATTAACATGATGAATAAAGTTATAGTCCTTAAATGGATTCCAAGATCAGCTGCATTATGCTACACTGTCAGAGGACAATCAGATGAATAAAAAACAATAACAGTCTTGCATGATAGTTTTGAACATCATAAAACCACATTCATGATTATATCTATTGAAAACGTGTTCCACGAACAAGCATTGTTTGTTAGGATGACAACTAGAAAAAATAAGATCTTGGCAAAAACAATTTGCATTGGTGCTGGGTACATCCTCAAAAGTAACAGAAACCCACCTACAAATTTACAAAAATGAAAGAAGTTATATTAAAATAATGCAAAACTATTTTGAAATGAATTGCAGCAAATGAAATCTGGTGACTCACTGTGCTTCTCCACATCACAAGCAACTACGTGATCATACCAGTATACATGGTGTCAAGGTATCAGAACATAGCACATGCCAAGCGCTTCCACTAACTTAAAACAATAGTTGACATGTTGCAGACATTTTTTCTGAAAATATGGACGATATCATATACAGTTAACTTTTATAACGAACATGCTTATAACAAACTGTTTACTTAGTCCTGTCCATTTGCTGTATATATGTTGTATATGTGCTTAAGTTATAGCGAACTACGGTTATAACAAACTAAAATGAGTGGTACCTTTAAGTTCATAATAACTATAGTTTACTGTATGTATCAATATGAATCATATGGCTAAACCAAAAACATGGTAACATGCCCTTAGACACTAAGGCAAAAACTGGTCAGCATTTTTCAGTTGGAAAGAACTTATTTACCATAGTTGCTATTTTGGAATTTGCAAGTTCAAATAAAAACACTGATAAAAACAGAAACACTATTTACTTGTAATAAATGGGTTAGACGGTTAACTGTAAAATCATTTTTTCAGGCCTGGTATATCTTTAATAAGTTTCTATAAGTCAAATCATTGATGCTTGGAGATATGAATGATCAGAACATGTCAAATAAATTGAAATGACATAAAACATGGAAATTATGTAAAATAAAGTAAAATAGGCAATTATCCATAACACAATAAATAGATTGAATATCTTATCTTTTTTTCTTTTTTTTAAACCATTATCCAGTCACTACTTTCCTTTGTAGAAGACCGCCTCCGTGGTCTAGTGGTAGAGCGTCCGCCCGGAGAGCGGAAGGTCCGGGGTTCGATCCCCGACCGTGTCATAACAAAAGACGTTAAAAGATGGTACTTGTTGTTACCCTGTCTGGCGCTCGGCATTAAGGGGCTAAAACAAGGACTGGTCGGCTCGGAGTCAGCATACTGTGTCTGAGTGGGGTATTCATGTTAAACTGCGGCATGGTATCTCAGTGAGCTAGCACTATAAATCGGCATCAGTCCGGACTAGTACAAGCAGCCACACAAACACACACACGTACATGCACGTCGCTATATAAGTGCAATAATCTTGGACGCGACGTTAAACCCCATTTCACCTCACCTCACCTTTGTAGAAACATTTGTCATCCTAACAAACATGATAAACTAACAGAACATAACCAAATACATTAAACATGTTAAAGCTTTTGATTGACAATGTATAAAAATATGTGGGATAAGCTCTCATTATTCAGCCCTTGCATGATCGGTGGTACTAATTACATGTAACTAATATGCATATATATATTTTCTCCAGTGTTATACATGCAGTTAAACTGTCATTTAGGTATTGGTTCTCATCTGTTATGTCCATGACAGTGAAGACAAGTTATTTCTATCAAGTAAACATCTTGACAAGAAAAAGTAAACAGAAGAAATATTCTTAAGGCTAAATATACTAAATGACATGCTGAACTTCAAGATGTTCCATCGATACTATTTTTATGATCAAATCATTGAAAACTGTGAAACTGGATGATTATATTCATAAATTCAATATGAAGACGGCGATATCTTATCCGAAGATGAAGAACTCGTACTCCCACATCTCCAGGGAGTACTCCTCCTTGATGCAGCCCTGAAGGCCGACCTCCTGTAGCCTCTGTTCTATGAAGTTGAGGACCTTCTCGACAGTCTCCTGCTTCATGTTGGCCAGCAGGTTGTCCTGTCTGCCGCCAGTCAGAAGAGGGTACAGCTTCAGGGCTGGCATCTGCTTCTCCAGGTGGGGGTTGTTGACGAAGAAACTAGGCAGCCACATACTCTGTAAAGCTGACCTAAGGAAGTGAACACAGTCTGACACCCTGTCAGCCAGTTTCTCCATTGTCCAGTTACATGGCGCACTCTCCAGGAGGAGAAAGAACAAAATGGTTTCCAGCTGGTAGGATTGGATCTCTCCTCGACTGAGAAGTGATGTTTTGTAGCCACTTGTGAACAAAGCTTTCATGATTCTAAGACAGATCTTGTGACAGCCTGTGATTCCAGCAAGCTGCAGCTTCTGGTCCATAGCAGCCAGGTAGGAAGACTCCAGATCACAGAAAGACAGGTTCCACATGAGATCAGGATCAAGACTCTCCACCCTGTCCCGGAATATTCTCATGGAACTGCTTGAGGGTCTTCTCGCCTGCATCTTGACAACCCAAGGAGTAACAGCATACACAGTAGGAAGCAGTGACAGACTAGTGTTCATCAAGGGAATGGCTGGACACAATCTAATGCCAATCTCCGGTATTCCAAGCCCAAGGCCATGCAGCATCCTAGTGTCTAGAATAAGCTGCAAATCACCATCAGCTGCAGTACGGATTGAGAAAGGAAGTCTGTCAAGAAGACTCTTGTTGCTGTTCATCAATCTCTGAATGGCTTGGTCCACCAGCTCCTTACACAGAGTCAGAATCTCTTTGGGCAGGAGGTAGGTTCCAATAGAATCCGACACAGATGCCCTCTTTGTATACTGCTTCGGTTTCTTCTCCTGCTTCATGTCCTTTACAGAGAGCAACACCTTCCCCGATGGAATATCTTCAGACACATTGTGGTATAAGACATTGTTGAGCACACACTCAGAAGGCTGGATGATCATAGCTGTGTCAAACTGATTAGCTTTAGATATTTTCAGACCTTTGGCAACACTCCCTATACCTCTGAATTCAACAAACCTAAAGCTGGAACTAGATGGAGCCTTATGAAGTTCTTTCTCTAGCATCAACAATGTGTAATTAACAATCATAGAGGCAGCAAACCATTGTTCTGAGGTTACTGGGCAATTCCTGATATGAAAGGTGAGAACATCCCTTAAATTTCTGTTTTCAATATTTCCAAAATCAATGTCATCAGTTTTCAAGGATGACCAACCAAGCCTTGTGTTCATTCTTTCAACTTCGTGCCAAGCATGCTTATCCTTTGTAGTCTGGTCATCTCCCATAAGACTCAGGTCTCCAAGAGGCAGTGAGGGGGAGCCTTGTCTTGGTCTTCGCCAGGTACTGCGACGACCAAGTCTTGGAGATACCAGGTTACTGATGGCACTTGATGATGCACTAGTAGCCAGATTTGGAGTCATACTCATGGGTTGATTTGAAAAGGATTCAGATGAGATACCCAAAGCTTTATCCAGTTCACAAAGAAACTTGTCAACTGTAGATGATAGGAAGCATTTTGTATCAGTCTTATTGACTCTTATGAATTCATTATTACATCCAGGTTTTATTATGGTTAATGTCATGGCACACTTATTTGGAGCCGGTTTTATATCTGTTGGTGCTGGCAACTCAACACCTGGTGATAGAACATCCTCCACACCAGACTGCGAAAACTTGAAATCTTCAGTTACCTCTGCAGCTATTTCCTCCCTGGATGAGGATTGATCTTGTTTTTCCTTACCTCCATACATCTGTTTTATCAAACAATAGCAGAGGAACCATATTAATATGGCTAAGACACAGGTTGCCAAAGCAACACATGTCCAGTTTAGCAATATGTTTGCATTGAATGATCGTTCTTGACTGAAGTTGATAACTTTGACACATTCTTGCTCAGTGATTGTAACAGGTTTCTCCAGAGGAACTGTCTCATCCTGTGGGCTTCCAAAGAAACCCTGGATTTTTCTCCATAATGATGATTCTGATGACGCTGATTCAAATACATCATCATCTTCCTCATCCTCAGCTACAATCACATCTGGGTCCTCAGCATCTGTCCTTGATGAGGTATTGTGTAGCCTACACTGATACAGGGCAAACACAAGAGAGACATTGTAGTAGACATTCTCATCTATGGGAAACAGGAACTCCATTTTTCAGATCTGAAAAATAAAATACAATTATTTCTTAAAGTGAGTGAGTGAGTGAGCATGGTTTTACGCTGCGTTTAGCAAGATTCCAGCAATATCACGGCGCGGGACACCAGAAATGGGCTTCACACATTGTACCCATGTCGGGAATTGAACCCGGGTCTTTGGCGTGATGAGCGAACGCTTTAACCACTAGGCTACCCGGCCGCCCCTATTTCTTAAAGACTATCATTACTTCCAGACAGGAGAGTGGTTCAAGATTAGCATTTGTTTTCTTAATGTTTAGGAACTCAATTCCTTTTTCCAACACAAACAGGTGCCCAAGTATCTTTAAAATAATGAACTGTTTCCCCTTGAAACATCAGAGATAATTGCTCCCTAAGTCATTTTCACAGTCATATTTCCCAACATGCAAATCATGACATCACTTAGATCACGGTTCGTTCTGAGAACCTAAAAGAGTTTCTTTAAAAAGGTCATTGAGTAGGCTATAGATCTATTATATTGTACATTGTATATGAGCTTCTGTATGTGTGATACACTCGTATTTTTACAAAGGAATACGTCTAGATAATTTCAACAAGTAAGTGTTCAACACTTGTAAAACAAAACATGCCGTATACTGGTATGGTTTAAGTCATTATGGAAGCCATCTATGACAGGTGTAAACCATCTGTTGTTACCATGCAACAGAAGGAATATAAGTAATTTTACAGTCTTGACGAGTGAAAGATGACAATATCTGATAGTTTCCAGTGTTTATGCTATTAAAGTAATTACTCAGATCTCAACACAGTCACTTATTTTGTATGAATGTATTACAAAGACAGTGTTTTTCCGAGCTTGCTGAGAAAGGGTTACTATTATGGAGCACGACAGCTCAGCCTCCTGAAGCAAGATACTGGATAGTGTGATTTTACTGAAACAACGGACCCATGTAAACAGTCATATGGGTCGCGTGTTACAGTAATATCACAATCCTGCTTCATAGTTCAAGGACCTGTGGGCTGGAGACAGTGTAGGTGAATGTACTAACCGCGCTAATAGTAATACCATATAACAGCTAATGGTTCTAGCTTATAGTATTATATTGATACTTGTCAAATGGTCTCGTATCAGCCTAATTCAACTAATAAATTGGGTAATAAATAACATTACTGTCATGCAAAAAGGTTGTCTAGTTGTTGTTTTTCAAACAAACTTACGTTAATGATTTGTGTCATTTGTTTTGTAAATAAAATCCGCCATGGAGTTACTTCCCTTGATAAAGGGGCATTACTTCTTAAGTTTGAAATTTGAATACCACCAAAAAACATACACTCTCACCTTTCTTGGTAGTCATAATGAAAACAGTTAATGTACACACTACATTCAATCATAATTCGAATTCAGTTTTAAAGTTACTTGAGTCTAGTAGTATATCATAACTATTTCATTACCTGAACATTATTCATTTTTACTTAACCTTGGCCTAAGGTCGATCTGACAGAACTGATACACATAAGATTGTCAATTTGTACTAGGTAATACCAAGCACGTTCTCTTGTGCATATAAATTTAAATACACACGTGAAGATCCGGGGTAGATAGGGTCTTCAGCAACCTATGCTTGTCGTAAAAGGCGACTAACGGGATCCGGTGGTCAGGCTCGCTGACTTGCATGTCATCGACCCAATTGCGTGGATCGATGCTCATGTTGTCAATCACTGGATTGTCAGGTCCAGACTCGATTATTTACAGACCGCTGCCATGTAGCTGGTATATTTCTGAGAGTGGCGTAAAACAACAAACAAACCTGTATCTAATCGTTCAACCTCAACTGCATCACGCCTTTGTTAGAAAGGCTAATTACATATTTATATATTAATTAATAATTAAGCTTTATGTGTATGTGGGATTGATACCCTGTGAGCAACGCTAGTAACAATGGCAGCGGTAGTGATAAGTAGGGGTCGATAGTACGAACATCGATCCACGTCGTCGGGTTACCATGACATCAAGCCTGGAGAAGGCTGATATCCCACATTGTAATTAACCAATCTATAATGTAATCAAATCTATAATCATTAGTCCATACTCAGTATCTGGGTAATTTTTCGCAGGAAGACTTCAAAAGAGGAAGTCGTCGCTCGATCCCGCGCACCTGCCTTACCTCCAGCTACAAAGGTCATATCTTCGTTTATTACCTACGAGGGCAAACATATCGGAGTTAATAAAAATCATATGTGCCCTAGGGTCATACACCCACAGTGTATTGTTTCCGTCATCCGGACGGCATTGTTGACGTAATTCGAATCATGTTGTGACGTGAGGTCGAAATGACGTCACACTGGAAACGACGTCATAGCTGAATATTATAAGAGATAAATTGTGGTTCCGCTGCTGTTGCGACTTGCTGTCCTCATAGGCAAACACTAAAATTCGTCTCTGTAGGTAGACATCTTTTTCGGAAATAAATAGAACATTTTATTCGTGTTCGTGTCATACCATGTTTACAACACTCGTGCCTAAATTCCGGAATTTAGACACTCGTGTCGTAAACATAGTATGACATGAAAACTCGTATAATATCCTCTATATGGGTCATTCTCAAAAAATGTCAGAATTTCAACTAAGCAAAAACATCAAAATTGTCTTTTGTAAAATTCCTTTTTTATTGACTCAGTACACAAAGTAACTTCTGAATAATAATGTTAAGCAAAATGACACCTTAATAATCAAAGATGTCCTAATTATGATAATTAATTAACACTGAATAGGAAAAATATGTCTGTCCTGTTACCATGTTAACAATTATATTTTCTGTAACAATATTTTTCAAAGTTCAACACAAATCATGTCAGTTCTTGTTTTTAAATGTATTGTTTAATATTTCAATGAGTACAATTAAAAAGAGATTGGATACATTATTTTATGGACAGATTTGTCCAGCATTTGAGTCAAATGAAAACATTTGAATTCATTCAAATCCAATATGACAAACATACCCTGATTATTGCATCATATATTTGACACATATACTTCATTAGATGATATATGTTTGAATTCAAATATGTTCTTCTGAAAAATAAAAATAAATAATCAGTATATTTCTATTTTAAGTGCTGTAACAGGACAGACAACGTAGTAACAGGACGGACAATTGAAAGTAACAGGACGGACAATCGGCTTTGATTGCAGATAACTATAACGTTCAGGAGTTTCAAGATTTTGAAATATCTGACAAATACGAAAAAAGTATGTGCAAGTAGGTGTAATTAACTGAATATTCTTGTATGTAATCTGAACTATAGAAACCGGTCGGTAACAGGACGGACAATTGAAAGTAACAGGACGGACAAACTTATGTTTGCAGTCAACTATCCTGTTCAGAAGTTCAAAATTTTGAATTCTGACAAATAAGAAAATGTTTTGCTTAAGTAACAGTATCTGATCATATGGATGTTATTAACTGAATGTGTTTTTCTATGTAATCTGAATGTAGGATACTGGTAGGAAACAGCACAGACGGAAGTAACGCCAAAGACAATAACTTTTGCATTTTGGGTTAATCCCTAGAATTACAAAGAATTTAAATTGATTTAAACTTACACTAAATAGTCATGTGACAGTTTTTGTCATGAAGCAACAACACAATAACCAACTTTATCCATGTCAAACATCAACATAATCTGGAGAAAAAAAACTTGTCAGAAGATTTCCTGTTGAAGCTGTATTCATTTGCGATTGTATTTGCAAATACTCAAATAAACGGTCTGAAAAGGTGAATTATAGTTTCCTTAAAAGTACAATTCACTTGTTTCTATGATTATTTGATTAGTGCCAGAATTAAATGGTGCCTTTCATTCACTCAGAAACCACAGGTTGTTTATTGTTTCTGTTTTATCTTATCTGTAATAGCTTCCCAGTAAATGTTTTCAACACTGAAGTGGGAAGCAGTGCCTTCAATCTTCTTTCGTTCAGGAATGATGGCAATAATGTCCTCGTGCTTGTACCAGCATTTGTCCAGCAGGAGTCTTGGCCAAAAGAATCATTTTTGATCCCATTTTTTGCCAGGCTTGTGCATGCATTCCACATATATATCATAGGTAGAAACATCTATGTATCCAGGATATGGAAAACCATCATATAACACAACCACACATTTTCCAAGACACGCTTCTGTATCATCTGGAACGGATAGTAAAATGTCACTCTCACTTTTCTCAACCTCACCCTTCTCCACCACACCACCTGTCCTCTCCACCTTTTTCTCAACCTCACCCTTCTCCACCACACCATCTGTCCTCTCCACACTTTTCACAACCTCACCCTTTTCCACCACACCACCTGTCTTCTCCACCCTTCTGTTGTTTTTTCATCAGATAACTATCTTCAACAAAGTAGTCTATTTTTTTTATGTATATATGTTTTCTTCTAAACTGTGATAAATTTGAAAACATATCTCTTAATGTTTCATAAAATTAGAATATTTAGTGATTGGATAAGAAACGTTAGATAAAGGTGACCAAATGTCTGTGCTGTTACTTTTAAGTCTTAACCAATTTTTTTTATTTAGCTTGGAAGATTTGTTCAGCCATAGCCTCTTGAATGCCTGTGTTATTTCAAAAGAATTATTTGTGTTAATATGGTAATTATATTATTGATTGGTTATACTAGGAAAGACAGTTTAAGGTGATGATAAGTCTGTGCTGTTACCACGGAATGTCTGTGCTGTTACCACGGAATGTCTGTGCTGTTACTTATTCATCAGATAACTATCTTCAACAAAGTAGTCTATTTTTTATGTATATGTTTTCTTCTAAACTGTGATAAATTTGAAAACATATGTCTTAATGTTTCATAAAATTTGAATATTGAGTGATTGGACAAGAATAGTTAGATAAAGCTGACCAAATGTCTGTGCTGTTACCAATATTTGTCTCTGCTGTTACTTTTAAGTCTTGAGCAACTTGTTTTTATTCAGCTTGGAAGATTTGTACAACTATAGCCTCTTGAATGTCTGTGTTATTTCAAAAGGAATTATGTGAGTTATTATGGTAATTATATTATTGATTGGTTAAACAAGGAAAGACAGTTTAAGATGATGATAAGTCTGTGCCGTTACCACGGAATGTCTGTCCTGTTACATGTTTGAAGGTAACAGCACAGACAGTAACAGCATAGACAAATTGACATTAATTACAGGTTTTTTTAATGAGACCTCCCTTGAAATGTTGAGACCACATGGCATTGTGAACAGTTCATATTTTCTAATATTCTGAAAAAATGGTTTTAGAAAAAAATATTTGTTTTGGCAAAAATGAGCAGTAACAGCACAGACATAAGAAAAGAGTATTCATGATAGGAATAAACTTCCCTGTCAAGCAGAATTATCCAAGGTCTTCTCTCACTTGAAGGACACTGCTGCCATGATAGTACAGGAAGTAAGCTGTATTTCTGTTATTTTGAATTATGGGAATCTTGAAGGATTATTTATTTTTCAGTTTTGATCCATCCTGGTAACAGGACAGACACTTTTTTATGTACAAGTGTTTCTTACCAAAAACCAATATAAATAAAAGAGTGTATCTTCAAAAGATAATTTTATATCATGAGTTAGAAAGGTAATGTACAATATATAAACATTATTTACATAATATTTTTTATTTTTAGCAACATTAAACAATGTTGATGTGCAAACATAGGGTTACGGACACACCTTTCAGCTCAGTTTAACCGCAATTAAGCAGTTTTAATTAAAATAAAATACCTAATAAGAAATACTGAAACTTAACTTTCAGACACCATGGTATGTTCTACGAAAAACACTTGTGGTTAAACATATCTAAAATAAATATTTTAATTGTTATTCAACTCGGACTAAAAAACTCACTTTTTTTGAGAATGACCCATATGTGAAACTAGTGTAAATATCACTTCTCGCGCACCAGTGTATTGTTTGCGTCATCCAGACGGCATTGTTAACGTCATTCGGATCTTATTGTGACGTAAGGTCAGATAAAAATGACGTCACATTAGAAACGACGTCAAATTTGAAGACGGTCATTCGACAAATTGCATATCACGTGACCGGACTTTTCTATCGTTTGTAAACAAACGCGCTTATTTTGAAATCTGAACAGATTGGCCTAATACGAGCCTTTTTGGGCGCTTTACATATTGTTTTGCATAATTATAAAGATACTACAACTGAGACAGTGAGGTGCATGACAATATATTTTAAACATCAAAGTGACCATATCGCCAGATCTCCGTAGTGTTTCGATGACAGCCCGTGGAGCCGTACAACCAGTGTAAACAATGGATAACAGCGCAAAGAGAAATAGCCTTTCCCGTTTTAGGATATTTTCTTGTTATTCAACATTAGTTATGGGGGACAACTAATCCACAGTTGCGTGTTGCTAGTAGAATATATTTGTTACCCATAGTTGTTTTTTTTCTGTGAACATATGAGCTTTCCCGATCACAAATGGAGACATTTCTAAGATCTATTGTTACGTCGACGTCACATAAAACCCTTTTTGAGATCATATACAAAACAAACATTTTTTACGTAATTGTGCCGTGCTTGCACGTGAAACAGGTCAAATGGATCTAGCAAGCTATGTAAATGGACTTATTTATATCGGTATATCTTATGCAAGTTTACTCGCTCTGTGTGTGTGTGCGTGCGTGCGTGTGCGTGCGTGCGCGCGCTTGTACTAATGTCGGTTCTGTAGTGCAAGCACACTGATATATCCCTGCCACAGTTCCACGTGGATACCCAACTCAGACACAGTATACTGACTCCGAGTCAGAGTAACAGGTACCATCATTTTAAAGTCGCTTGGTATAATGCGGCCAGTGATCGAACCACCGACCTTCCGCTCCCGGCAGACGCTCTATGCAGGACGCCACATGCAGTTCGCCACTGAGACTCAAATAAAATATATGTCTCATGTGCGATGATGAAACATAATAGTTTCGCCAAAAATAGTTTAAATGTGTTTGTTCGTGTAAGTAAATGCTTTCAGAATGGGTAATTCTAGTTTGTATATAAAATCCAAGCCAGACCCAGATATGTTGAGTGTAGATTGTATTGGGTCGTTGCACTGATAGCCCCGAAGGTTTAACGGCTGCTTATGTTACAAGTTTTCGTTTCCTGTCACTCAAGTTTTAATAGGACTCGCCGTCCGTTTAACATCGACTCATACGCACATGGTCAAATAAAACAGCATTACAAAATCCCGATCAGAGCGGGACTGTGTCTATTTGCGCCCAATTCATTACAATATCTTAAATCAATCGTTTGTTTTGTACACCATTTTACATTACAAATAACAGGCACGGTGTACACTCCTGTCATGTGTGCCCAACTTTCGTGGGACAGACCGATTGGTGTAGCTGCGCGAGAAGTCGACCGATTTTATAACCTGCAGCCTATAGAGCCGAATCTGGGGGTGTGGTGGGGTGGGGTGTCCAGGTCTGGACTTAATCAGGTTGCTAATATCCCAATGCTTGTACAGGTAGGTGTCACATGGAGGCATTACCAGTTGAACCAGCCATGCTCTTTCATTCCTTCAGCTTCGTTAAGATAACACTTCACAACACTATGATAATTGGACCCATGGATGAAAGTACGGGGGCACGGTCATGTAAAGACACTTTCGAAAACCAAATAATGTAGTATGTTGTCGGCAGTAAAATTATCTGAGAGAGGATTTTGACATTTTGGTGTCTACTGGTCTGTATTCATGAGTGCTTGAGTTTGATTACACGTCTTGCGTTTCGGTTTTATCAGCACGATAATAATAATAATAATAATAATAATTGATTTGTAAAGCGCCTAATATCCATCGACAGTTGCTCACTGGCGCTGTGACAAAGTTAAAAAGTAATGTCTATGTACATATGCCAACAATCAGGAGATCTATTGAAAAGCTGAAGTGAAGAAGTGGGTTTTGAGGAGAGACTTAAACGTTTCCTTAGAAGCAGAGTTTCTCAGATTCAGGCAAAGAGTTCCATAACTGTGGACTGCAAAAGGAAAAGGCAGGGTCCGACATAGCAGAAGTAGACAGAGGCTGATACAGTAGAGTTCGACCAGAGGATCGGAGAGCACGCTCTGGAGAGTACAGGGATATAAGATCTTTGAGATAGTCTGGATAGTCGCTATTGTTGAGGCAGATGTGAGTGATGATACATATCTTATAGTTTATACTAAAGGAGACTGGAAGCCAATGTAGTGCTTTGAGGACAGGACTGATGTGATTGGATCTTGGAACTTTAGTTATTGAGCAGAAAGCTTAATACGATGGATGTCCTCGATCTGTGTTCCTTTGGCGAAACCACAAGGGTGATGTTGACAAACCAAGAAACAAAATTAGAGTGAATCTGAGATTGGAACCCACAGTCAAGGGTTTCTGGCAAGTCTAAGAGATGCCCTTTACAACTGGGTCGCCAATGCACCCTAGTCTGTATTGAAAGTATTCAAGATTTTAAAAAACCTAATGGTTAATTGCAATCACATTAAAATCAGATCGTTTGTCCATAAGAGTGAGTGAGTTTGGTTTTATGCTGGTTTTAGCAATACTCCAGCAATATCCCGGTTGGGGGGGAACACCAGAAATGGGCTTCAACACATTGTACCCATTTGGGGAAACGGACCAGGGCCTTCAGTGTGAGGAGCAAAGGCTTTCACCACCAGGCTACCCCACCGCCCCTGGTCCATTAGAGTCTGCTGCGTTAGGTGAACCCTGAGTGAACCATGAGGGCTCAATGTAAAAGAAGGATGTGTGGGTTCATGAGCCAATCTGATATTAGCTTCATAGAATGATTCAGCTTCATTTCTTCCCCACTTTGTTTGAAAATTACTATCTTTATAATAGGAAATTAAAAATTTATGTTGAAAGGTATGCACCAGAGAAAAAGATTTGATTTTAGTAAGACCGAGTTAATTGAGAACAAATGTCGGAAGAGAGAGTTGGATTCCACACTGTACATTCTACTGAACAATAGGCAGTTCTTAACCTAAGATGCAACTGCATAGATTGCTGTCAAGACTAGGGGATACCATACAGTATTTCCTCGAATAAAGGCAGGGGTCTCAGAATAATCACCAGGTAGTTTTTATGCACAGAATTTACCCCATTATCATCTTTGTGATTACATACCGGGAATAAAGAGTGTCTGAAATGAATATACGCCCAGGCTTTTAATCAAGGAAATACGGTATTCGTAAACTATTAACAACCAAGCCCTTGTATGATCAATTCAAAGTGTTTTATTCAATCAAGTGACATAATTATCTGGCAATCACATACATGAATGTTCCACATCGGAATAATACACAGACATGTTGGTACACACTGGACTGGTAATTTCATTATAGCTACACATGATCATTCACATACAATAACTGTATTGCCATAGTTCTTAAAGATGTAAGGACTAGTTTCCTATAGGATTGAGCATCTTTTCTGTACTAATTTGCACAAGCATCGCAAACCACCACCACTGGCTCCTCATAATCTCAACATTTTAACATACTACAAAAATATTTCACTCTTTCAAGGGTTTCAGTGAAAATGTAATTGTTTCTGGACATGTTAATGTGTGGTCAAATCATATTTCGTTGACTATAATATCAACTCAGCTGTTAGGTTGTGTAATATTAACAAGTGGATCATTTCAGAATTTCAAGGATTTCAGTATTTTGTTCCTGTAGATGGACCAAGTTGGCAAAATAAGCATCTAGTATATTTATAAGTGAAACTGTGAAGTAAAAAACTAGTGTGTGATCTGCACAGTGAACTGTCTTCACTAAGCACAAATTATTACGTCATTACAAAATATGAATGAACTGTTACACAGAGCACGAAATAGACCGACACTGAAATTTTTCAAAGATAGAAAACAAAATAACCAATAAACATTTGATTCTCATCCTTGATTTAGCTGTCAACAGACTGGACTAGTTCCAGTTTGATAAACATTTAGTGTTCCTGCAACTACACAAGAGGACAGAACACAGAAGACAAGGACTGGATGAACCTGTACAATTCTAGTGATAACCCTACAAGACAAAAATGTACACCAAGCTATATCATTTAAATATACACAACCATAATTGTTACCTACATCACAGTCAGCCATCTTCGGAACAGGAACGCACAACAGCTTCGTGCCACAATCAGGTCCTCAAATAATACACTGAAGATACCATGCAAGATAGCAAGGTCTGGTCACACTCTGTGTCAGAAACGTCTCACCAGCTCTCCAATTCAATTAATCACACAAGGATAAAATGAACGGTTGCCCACAACGTTTATGATGTTGGATGTACTTGAAATGATGCTAAGCTGCTGCTTTCCAGGACGAAAAAAACTCCTTCAACTCTTAAGTCCATGTCCATTACTGGAACAAGTTATCCTCATTTTGGGTCAATATTAGATCACATTGATGAGTTTTATTCCAGAAACAAAGCATAGTTTTATATGGAGTTATTTGACTTTAAGTTAATGAGGTCCTGTGAAAAATTCTATTAACTATATGCCAAACTTTTTATCTCCAGTTGAAAATGATTTCATAGGACTAACTGTCCAATAACAAATATCAGTGATGAGGTCTGTGGGGTGAACATGTCTGCTCAATGTTCTTACAGATGCTAAAACAGTTCCATAATACTAATCTATGCCCAAGCCTCTCCCACAAAGCAATCTTTATTTTAAAACTGCCACATCTCACAGGGAACTCTGGTACTCTGGCAGCAAAGAGGACAAGCATGAACAGTTTACACAGCAGTGTTGAGATTGATCGAGGGACGAACATAGCACGAAACCAAGGTTTAACTTGACAGGAATAATATTTTTCAAGAAACTGAAAAGATTTGAGATAACTAGAGGCTACTGTGCCTTCTTTTAGACTAAAATGGCCTAGAAAGGATCTCTGCACTCAACTGTCGTAGCTCAGTGTAACATCACAGTACTTGTAACTCTAAGCTCACAGAGTAGAACAGGATCCGGGCCAGTTTCAAACTCAGGCATCGCCATCCAAAAACACATCCACACAAATACCAAAACATGATTCACATCAAAGAAACTTATGGGATAAGGTTTTCAGATTTTCTGAAGTGCCTGTGGACTCATATATCATATTTGTGTTTACCCTCCAATCAATCGACAGTTTCACATAATCCAATATGAATGTCGATATCATTCCCGGCATATTTACATCTGTACATAATACTGTTCTTCATAACTCAGCAAGGACTACAAGTGACTAATTGCAAGTATATACAAACTCAAACCTTGTGAGCACTATGTATAGGGCTGTAAGCTTTTAACATAAGACAGAACGTGACTACATGCAGATTAACAATGGATACAATCAACAATGTGTAACAATCAACAATGGCTGTGGCAGTATTCTTCCTTGGGAGATACGGTCCGACCTAACTTGGTGTGACGGTGTGACAATGTTGAGATCACACACAACTTCACGGGAACCAACAGGCACCAGGGAGGAAATCACAACTTGAAGCACTTCATCGTGCATGGACACATTAATGAAGCAGTTTCCTTTGCCTATAGCTCATCTCCGAGTACTGGTGAGTGAAACAGTGTATAAAAGATCAGCAACAATGCCTAATATATATTACTTAATCTCTACCTGACTGGAGTTGTGCAGAAGCATTTATTTGGGGCTTCAAATGTCATTTTTAAGGTCCACCACTGTGCAGTATAATAATACAGTGAAGCCTTGGATTTTTCTAACCTGCACAATCTATCAAATGTTTAGTCCATTGACAAAAGTCTTGCATCTTTAAATAACCAGGGGGAATCACCACTACTTAATATGTTCCTATCTTTATAACCAGGCAGAATCTGAGTGTAGTAGATACATCACACAGCAGAGAGCACAAGATATTGGAGCTGCTAGTCTCCAGGTGATAAGCAGGAACCAGCTGATGCGACAACTTCAGCATCTACATGGGTTACTGAACAAATAAAATATAACTGTATCTGTTTCTGCGACATCAGCTCCATTACAAGTGGAAACAACATCACAGTTACCTAATGAGTGAGTTGGGCTTAACACTGCTCTGAACAGTATTCCAGTTATATCACAGCGTGTGAGTAAAGCCCAAAGTGATGCAGGCCTCAGACATTTACCACTTTGGTAAAACCCTCAAGCATGAGTATGGTGCTGAAAAACCTAGGAACATTATTCAGAGTGAACAGGGATTCAAACCCACCATCATAAGTTTATACACAGCGACAACAGGGCTACCTGTGCTCCTATTTATCTCAAGTACTAATTCACCTTGTCCAAACAGTAAGGAAGGAGGCATTGTATTATTATTTTCTTTCAAAGATTGTGATGACTGAGTTGGTTCAGAAGGATGATAACCTACTGATTAATCTATACAGGTTAAGGAAGGTGTTACAACTGCTTGTAACGTACAATCCCATTACCTAATCTCCAAGATACAACTTTGACATCTCATACACAGTCAGTGTTCCCTGCCAATGTCAAACACAGAAATGATTCCTTGCAGAAATCTACGAAAACAGTAATGGTGATACCACCTATGGATAACTATGAACTTACTTCAGTTTTGTTTATATCTATATCCCCAACTGTACCTGATGAAGAACTCAAAAATTCCAAACGAGACATGTAAATTGACAGCACAACACATCTGTACTACGTGCCATAGGAACAGCATCAAGGTGCATATCTCCCAGGTTTGGGGTTATTTCCAGAAGCCAAGACTATGAGATCAAAGCAAAAAAAACCTACTTAATTATGCAGAGTTCAGTTCTGTCCACTTCTGAATCAGTGATGTAAGCAACCAAGCGATACAAACTGACAGTAAAAGTCTACTACTCCTCATAATGATAACATGTAGCAAAACCCTAAAAAGGAGAACTTTCTACTAGTAATTGATGCCTTAACTATATTGGGCAGTTTGGCAAGGACTATAGGACAAGACTAGTGCCAATTTCTAATGCTGTCAACCTATGATATCTTTCTCCATCCTACTTTAATTATACCCCAGAAAATAATATTATCTTCATATTTGTCTGCTCTTAAAACAGGAACCACGTTCATTACACTATCCTCCTAAACTTTGACCCGGCTGGGAGATGAAACACAGCCACAAAGAAGCGCCATGCCTCCTTCAAAAGGTAGGAAGCAGAAGGCTAACAAGTAGAAGTATGACTGCAATGAGGTGGAGATACCAAGTACTGCAAGAAAATTGAAGTAAAACGTCCTAGCTAAACAAAACAACACACAAGTAGAACTGAAGATCAAAGAAAAACAGCTATGATCTCAAAGTCAGACAGTTATTTCAAAGTGGGCCACACATACATCAGAATCATCAATAAACTAAACACATAAGAAGTTTGTTAATAAACTGACAACCTATGAAAACCGAAGGTTTAAGGTTTCACAAAAGGATTTACCTTTCAAATATGAAACCAAAGTGAAGACAAAGCCAACACTGATAAAGAAGTTGAATGTCAAGAAAGTGACTCGTTGGCATGAAACCCACCCATGGAGGAGCCCACCATGATATAGTACACAGTAAAAAGTCAAACAAAAAACTCAACCATGATCAAGTTAAATCCCACAGAAAAAACGTTCATTATAAAACCGATGGAATGATGAAGAATAACAAATCAATGTAAGTCGTGTGCATTGTTTCCAGGAAACAAATTGTGAGAAATAGCACAAGAATAACACAGTCTAGTTGAATATCCTGCAACACAAGTCACTGTGGCTGTTCAGCCCTCTAGTGTCACAGTCAAAAATATGAGACCAACATTTCTCGTATATTCTAAAGGATGAGTCGGACAAGGGTTCCACACTTCGGTCACATAATCCTCCCGAATTCACCGCACAGTACTATTGCTTTGGGAGAAGTGTTGTTTTCTCTATAATATTACAAATGTGTCATATCACTATTATTCCATACTCCTATACTGCAACATATTGGCAATATCCCACTTCCTCTGTTTATGTTATAACATTGTCCTCTGTTGGATTTATCTGTTGAAGCAAGGGCAATATCACACCTCAAGCTCCCCGAAGGCCTTTCGGCACCAGATGACCCCCTCGCCTCGAGGTTTGTCATCATTCTGAAGTCTTCTCACATCTGCAGGGTTCAACTTGTCAAATGCCAGGGAAAACTCACGATCAAACGCATCTGAAAAGAAGCAAAATAATTTGAAACAAAATTAATTTGCAATGTACAATATAGGAAGTTCATTATTGGGTAACGACAGATCCTGTGCAAAATTAAAAATAAGTACCTATGAGTATGACAATTTAAAATTAAATAAAAAAGTGGGGTCACATGGTTGCTTATGAGTAAATCACAAAAATAAACAGCCATGTCAACTCATCAAGTACATATCAGACTTGAACATCTTAAAAGCTGAATGTCTGCTGTTTGATCAAAGGTATCATCATTGTCATTAGAATAACATCCCTTATTTTCATCCTTGATTTTGAAACCAATGTGTTCACACAAAATCACGTTCATAAGAGAACCATTTAAAACAAAAATGGTTTAAAATTAACGAAGTATTTAAGCTCACACTTTCTTCAATTCTAGTAACACCACACTTTATTGATCATAGCACTTCTTTGTTTGAACAATATTTTTTATGGCACATGTACAAAGAATATTATCAACAATTAGAATCTATGTTAAATTTTTGTCACCAGAAATCGTGATAAATACACTTGAGAAAAGATGTCAAATGTGACCGTAGCATGCAAGCATCAGAAAGTTGTCAAAGATGTATCTAATACACAGGGTGTACCAGTGGATGCCGAATAGACATACATGATACTTTAGTTATCATTTTCTGTTTGTAACCAAACATTCTTAGAGAAATAAGCTACACTTAGCGCATCTTGTAATTTCAGCGGTCTGATCTACGATCTCTATTCTATGGTCTTGTTTACACCAGCTGCTTGCTGTATATATGAACAACGCCTAAAATCAGTCAAAGTTGTAAATTGACACATTAATTGGTAATTTTGAGGCAACACTTTATGTTAACAGGAAGAATGTGTCGATAATACAAGGCAGAAATTAACTCTGTATTTGGCCTGATATATCATACTAAAACACCGAAAGTTGAGATACTGTAATTTTTATGTGAACTCGAAATTACTTTGAACACAAAGGATCTGTCATCAAACCAAATTATTAAACAAATTAATTGTTCGAGAACACTTTTCCCAAACAAGTCACCAAGCATGAATAATATCATACGAGACTGGCAACAACCTACACAATGTTAAATGTTGGAAGTTCTACTAGCCAAAAGGCATCATAAGGTAAACTGTCTCAGAATATTTACACAAAATTCTACCTGACGTTAGAATGATTGTTTATGATCATCTTCTTGATACTCAGACAGTTTTAGAATTTTGACACTTTCAATTGGTTCTGTATTATTAAAGTGAGTAAACATCATCTCAAATGATTACAAGACAATTATCCCGGACATTTGATTGTTGACTGTTTATGTAAATACATGCAACCATCTTCTAAGTTCTACTCACCATGATCAATGTTTTCTCTGCCACATGCAATGAAGGCTAAAAAGAGAATCTCTCTGTACAGACTCCGGAACTGGTGTTTTTTCTGCCGATGTCGTCGTCTGTTGTTCATAATAAGCTTGATTGGTGACAGAACATCATTGCACTGAATACTGGAGATGATCTGGTGCATTTGTCTGTAACACAATACCAGGAGATGTGTCAACACTAGCCTGACCTTGGATGACAATATGGGTCAACTCTCAGCATTATAATGGTTTATGGCTTTGATTTCTCATAACTAGTAAGCACGACATTCTTACATCCACTTCTGACAACACAGAAAATTACTTCAGATCAATCTGGACATGAGTTAACGTAACAAGCTAAGTCTGACAACTTAATCATCAGTGGAGCACCACTCAGAGACAGGGGCCAGAAGACAATACTCACGCTCGACTGAATGGTTGGGATTCTGTGACGAGAGCATCCACCACGGTAGACCGATGACCTGTACAACAGAGGGAGGACTGTCTTAAACCAGGGGGTCTCAAAATGGTAGTGAGAGAGTAGAGCTTTATGCAGCTTTCAGCAATATTCCTTCAATATCAGAAGACAACTACCATAAATAGTGTCACATGATGAGTCCATGTGGGATGCAATATCTTTGTTTGTTTGTTTGTTGTTTAACGCCACACTAAGCAATATTCCAGCTATATGACGTCAGTCTGTAAATAATGGAGTCTGGACCTGACATTCCAGTGATTGACATCATGAACAATTGGAATACGATGACGTGCATCAACCATGTCAGCGAGCCTGACCACCAGATCCTGTTGGTCGCCTCTTACGACAAGCATAGTAGCCCTTTACAGTAAACATGGGTTGCTGAAGAACTATTCAAGCTCTTCACTGGTCGGATGAAATATGTCTGGCTAGATTTGTTATGAACATTCAACACTGGCAACAACAACATCTGCTACTGTATGCTGTAACTGAAGAAACGGTAAAGACGTTCTCACTACTCCACATACAGTGGAACAAACTAATCTGAATGGAGTCACTCATGAATGTCTGATCACTCCGACGTACCTGCGTTCCAGGCTGTGTACATGGGCAGCCCCATCTCGTCGTGTATGCGGGTGTTGTCCCACATCGGGCGGATCAGCACGTGCCGTCTGTCATACAGGGAGTCATGCTTCATCCCCTGTAGAGACGTACACATAATGTTAGCAGCTGTATACAAACAAGGGCTAGAACATGTTTTAGCACATAACATTTATCAGTGTTTCTGCATCCTTGACATACCTCCTTTGACAAAAGCTAGCAAGAAGATTTTCGGAAAGGCTAATTTGTTCTTTGTCCCAAAGTCCCAGGCTAAAATACTTTTGATCATACAGGCAAGGAAACTTGGCGAGTCATGGCCTATGACACACTTTATCCATACCGGTACACATGCCAAACTTTATCCATGTGAATGGCTTAAAAAGACAATCCAAGTTAGCACTTTGAGGTACCATAATGAGAGAAAAAAAACACTCAGCTGGTGAACTTGCGTACTCTCATAAAAACAAGCATAGGATATTATGTTGATACATATTCAGCCAGGCCCATGAAGTATGCATCATCCTAGACAATGTATTGAGGAAAACGACCTCATGATGGGAAAAGACTAATATTGTGGGCAACTCTTGGCACAAACTCCTATCACTCTGGCAAGAAGCTGCCTACCCCAGATGGTTTGGTGATGGTTTTGGCAGTCAGGAGCAGTCCCGGCAGATGACTAGGGACTTCCAGACGTCGGAAGTACCATATCTGAAACACAGAATATCTTATTGATAAAAACAGCTGAACATCTTCTCACAATTTCCTTCTAAAAAATTGTTCAATGCGCAGTTAGTTCCTGATTCCGACTTTCCTGAGCAGATCTAATCTTCAATGGGCATTACAAATTGTTTAAAGCAGTTCCACATAATTATCATAATGCTACGTCTGTTGACTAAACATTCACATTCTAACTACAGTCATTCACTGTTTGGACCAGGGCTTGACAAACTGCCAGGAACATTTACATACCAAGTTCCAGAAGATGATGGGATGCTCATCTACGAATGTGTCGGCCATCAGACCCTGGTCTCCCTCGTGCTCCAGCACATACTCCAGCTCCTTCCGCAGCACCAGGGGACTCAGGTACGGCACCACGATCGGCGGGATGGAACACGCAGATCTGCAATCCACAATCTCCATCAGCAAGCACTCGGAATAATTGGATAACAGGAAATGTTCCGTGAGCGAACAAGCTGGTGATAATGCTGCTTTGGGAAGTATTCAGTTATTTCAGCTGGATGCGAGTGGCAAGCCCAAAGTGATGCAGGTCAAAGACATTGACTACTTTGGTGAAATTTATTAATATGCACTTGTTGCCAACAGACCTGGGACTTCTAAACATCCACAACATGCCTATCCTGCAGTTTAAGGGATGGGAGTTTGTACAGAAAATTAGGAGGAAAATCCAAAGTGTTGCAGGTCTAGTTAGACATTTACAAATGTGGTGAAATCCACTTGCATGGGAATGGATAAACAGAGAAACATTATCAGGGGCAATCTGGGATTCAAACCTATCATCATCAACTTTGGCATGCCTAAGGGGTGCAACAGCGAATTGTGGGGCCTTTGATATCTAGGCCAACCATACCCAGTGTGTCCCTGAATACCTGCACCCAATATAATACCTGTTTCATAGTTCTGCCAAATGATAAGACTGCATTATGCCCGTACCTTGCCATGAAGTCCTTCTTCATTTCAGGAACTGCAGAGGGTAATGTCGGCAGTTCCTCCTCTTCACCTATGGAGATGCTCAGTGGGGACCTCATCTGCCGAGTGAACCCATCTACTGACTCCAGCGAGGAACCAAACGAGGTGTTATCAGTTGCGTGTGTCAGACATTCACTGGTTGTGCGCCGTCTGGCTTCAATAGCAGCATCAAAGAATGCTGGATCTTTAACAGACGGACTCATGGACTTGAGCTGGCGTTTAGGAGCAGCATCCTCTACTGGACTGTCTGCTCTGTTATCAGGACTAGTTATAGGACTAGGGGTGAGTGGACCATCCAGCTCCATGCCTTCACCGATCATAGGAGGGATGTCACAACTGGATAAGGAAGAGTTTGAGCTTAGCTGCCTCTCGACAGAGTCTGGAGGCTTGAGATGACCGTCGGAACTACATGTGAGATCTCCCATTGGATTAGACATATCTTTCACAACAGGACATTTCCCTGTACCTCGCCAGTCCTGAAAATAGATGCATAACATTGTGTTAATGGTTCTATCCGTAACGTCTCTTTTCCTAACATCAATGATAATTAAATATGATGATCATGATTTTGAATTTAACTTGGTAATGTTTCGTGAATTCATAAAATTGATTTGGTGTCTACAGCATTTATCAACAAATTGAAGTTTCACCACATACTTTCCATGAACCTAAGGAAATGGATGAAAACTATTGTGAAAACTGTTGTGGGTGTACATGTACTTGAAAAAGAGATTACTAAAAGCGTTGTGGTTTATCAGTGCCTCTGTAGCTAAGTGGTTCACTCACTAGGTGACAGATGCAAAGGTTGCAAATACAGTTCTTGTTTTAATTTACACAATTCTGCACGCATCCTTATGAAGATTTTGATGAAATGCAGAGGGTCTTTCTATGGAATATCCCCCCGGAACAGAAGGATGGCTGGAAAAAGTCCCTGATGAGGTTATTTTATTACATGAATGCCCCGAAAAAACAATAGGATGATGTCACTAGGTTTAAAAACATTGTACCCTGCCGAAGAAATGTCACTTATTAACTATGTTTGTGTTTCCCAAAAAAGCGTAATTACCTTAACATATATCTGAAGATGTGGAACAAATTTGGCTGGACAGAAATGGCAACTGAAATGGACAAAATATTTTCATCAAAAACACACAAAATACAAATTAACATCTTTGTTAATATACACAGTCAATTACTATTGTTACAACAAAAGTTGAACATGGTAAATCATCATCAATAATGATGTCACTTGCAGCTAAATGTAATCTTTGAATATCTAAATTAAAGTGAGTGAGCAAATGTTGTTGATGCAAACACAGACTCGTGAAGATCCAGGGTAGAATAGATCTTCAGCAACCCATGCTTGTTGTAAGAGGCACTAATGGGATTGGGTGGTCAGGCTCGCTGACTTGGTTGACGCATCTCATCGTATCCCAATTGCATGGATCGATGTTCATGATGTCAATCACTGGATTGTCAGGTCCAGACGCGATTACTTACAGACAGCCGTCATACAGCGGGAATATTGCTGAGTGCGGCGTTAAACAACAAACCAACCAACCAACCTAACTTGAGAATTTACTGTCGGTCAAAGGAAACTTGGTACATCTTCCTTAGGGCAGGAAAATCGGAAAGGTTGCGAGTGATCTTAGAATAAGTTCAAGGTCACAGTGAAGGTCAGTGAGTGCCGCGTTAAACAACAAACAAACATGTCAGTCAAGAAACGGGTTTCTACCTGGTGTTGAGATTGGAATCATCTGCAAACCAGCCTGCCATTATTTCCTCGTCATACACAAGACAATGACAACGGGTGCACCGGGAACAGCTGCTGATCTCCACCTCCATGGCGATGTTGGTAGGAGGCGCGAGGATCTTCTCCAGCGGGGATGTAGACTTTAGGCTGTCACTGCTGATGTCCTGCATCATCGGCGTGTACTTATCCATGGAGGATGGAGAAGGGGCACTACCTGAAATTGAAGTCATGATGTTACTCTTCCCATCCACATGAACTGACACGAGGGGAAGAGTTGTGGTGAAAGCTGCTTTGAAACAGTATTTCAGACAAATTTCTGTGAAGTGAAGCAGACGTGTACCACTTGGTGGAACATACACAAGCATGTACATGGTGCCAACAGACCAGGGACTTGTATCGAATGTGAATCTGGGATTTGAAGCAAGGAACAGCAGATTCTTGGTAGTAGATAATTCTAAAGAACAAAACTAGTGCCATATTTGACCACAGGGCTACCTGTACCCAAAACAGTTCAAGCAAAAGGGAAAATATTGATTTCATTTGTACTGACACTCAGACAGTGCTACAAAAGAAATCATAAGAATAATGGAGATAATGCTATTCATGCAACATGTATACAGCTAAAATAGAAGCATTAAAGCTAAAGCATATAGATGTTTCTGCAATTAGTCAACTATGGGTAGAAGGTGTCCATGCAAATGTACCACAATAGAGTGTACTGACAAAAACTGAAATATATTATAATAAATAAATAAAACAACTTTCAATGTTGGAAGAATGTATTAAAATTTCAGTGTGATGACGCTCACCAAATGACAGCTGGGTCTTCTGGTTCATGCTATCAGAGCTGCTGTCTCGACTGAGTAAATCCTGACTGCCTCCGAACCTTCGCTCATGAACGGTACTTCCGCTCTCATCGTCTCCTGTGCCACTGTCCCGTTCCTCTAGAGACTTGGCAAGAGATGTGTTGGACCCAGTTTTGCTGGGTGTTGTGATAGACTGCTTCAACTCATTGAATTTACTGAAAGCTGCCTTGGCTGCAAACCTCAGAGCACCACCAATGACTTCATTTGTTTTTCTCAAACTCTGTGTCCTCCTTAACACAAAATCTGTTGGCCTGGATCGCTTTTCTGGAGTTTCATTTAATGATAATGAAGAATTAATTGGAGGGTCTTCCTGAACACTTTGACTTTTCCCCGGCATGGTTCTAACTTTCCTCTCGGCTTCCCCAAGGCAATCTGGGGAACTACTAGTCCTTCCTACATCACTCAGTTTCTTAACCGGTCCTGATGCCGCGCTCACATTATTGAATGGCATATCACTGTCCAGACCATTACTTTTCCCAATATTGCACTCAGAACACAAATCTTCACTTTCTGATGTCCGTTTGTTTTCATCTATAGTTGCAAATGGTGTACTACAGAGGAATGACCTACTCTCAGGAGATGTTACAGAGTTGTCTCCCTTCTTGTTCATCAGGGAAACCTCTGAAGCACCATTTGGATCTTTGAAGTGTCCAAGGGGGTCATTTTCGGTGACTGGTGTCCCCGTTCCTTGAGATGGACTCGGACTCGGGGCTGTGGGAGTGGCCTCTTCACCACATCCATTCACCATTTCTACATTAATAGTCAATGGAACAGAATAATTGCACTCAGGGTCAGATTTGGCTTGACTGCCTTTACTTGTTTGACTGTCTTCCCCATCACTGCCAGTCTGAACATTTTCATCCAGTTCTACCCCACTGTCCTTCACATCCTCCTCCTTGACACCCATGAAGACCGGCGTGTCCCCCTTAAGCACTTCACTAGCCTTATCCTTCAACACAAGCTCCGAGAAGCGCATGGACACTTCCCCATCACCAGTCAGGGGACGTGGACGCCAGCTGGCAAACAAACTGTTGGAACGACCTTTGCCTTGGTACTCTCCTGCACTTTTGTGACGTTTGCGTTGCTTGTCTGCAATACTTTCGAGATCTTCTCTATTTAATGCTCGCTGTTCCAAAGAACTTTGGCTCACCATCAGCAGCCCAGCAGAATTACCAACTGCAATAGCAGAGGACAAATCTATAACATTCATTTCAGTTATATTTAAGAACTGACTTAATAGTTTTTGAGTTTATGGAGGTGTAAACATAAAAAAAATGAAGAGCATACAGTGTAAATTGACATCATGCTTAGCCAAACAATCAAGGAATCACTTGCAATATATTTCTTACAAAATAACAAACATGACAACTACACGAAACATCTCCTTGTCATATTTTCTTACAGTAAAGAGTGAGTGAGAATGTTGAGCTTGTTGATTTTAGCAATATTCCAACCTGATCATAAGAGAACACCAAAGACTTCACACATTGTATGAGGAAAATAGAACTGGGGTTTCTATGTACCAAACCAACTATCTATCCATGCAGCTACCTACCCCTACTCATTACACACCGAGTGTGTGGCTTTACGCTGCTTTTAGCAATATTCCAGCAATATCATAGCAGGGGATTCCAGAAATGGGCTTCACACATGGTACCCATGTGTGGAATTGAACCCAGGCCTTCGGCGTGACGAGGGACCACTTTAACCTCCAGGCTAGCCGACTGCCCCTCCTTTTCATTACAAGTATATTCTGCTAATTCCTTCCACACCTCATGACCTACTGTACTTACGTATGTTATCCTTGAGGGTTTCGAAGCTGCCGAAGCTGCCCCGGCTGCCCAGAGACTTCCGAACAATACTGCCCAGTCTGCGACGAGGCTGGTGATCACCAGCAAAGCTGTTTGACGCATCACCTGGAAATAAATCACAGACACATACTATACAGGTAAAGACACCATCACAAAAATAACAAAGAATGTAGAGGTATTTGATATTTGGGAGCAACAACATGTCCTTACAGACAGCAGACAACGCTATCCTGACCTAACACATACAGATCAAGTTAATCTTAAGTAAACTTAGCCTTGTTGTTAAAAGATAGCAAGACTTGACAACACATGTTGCATTCCCTAAGCAAAACCATCACCACACAACGCAAGGCTAGTGACATGACACCCTGACATTTCACAAGACCAACCACACTGGCACACACAAGAAATTGATTAAATATTGACTTCCACATTTTATATTTTTACCCATTTAGCAGTGTTTATTATATATTACCACCAAGCAAATGTTTGAGTGTATTATCTGCCATTCTTACAATGCTTCTGACAAAGCATGTCAAGACTAAATTGTCAAAAGCAGTTGACCTTTTGACTACATCACAGTAAATGAGTGAGTGAGTGAGTGAGTGAGTGACATATAAAACAATGACCTCATATTAGCAATCATAACTGTCAGAGTGAGTTGTGTTTAATGCTGCTTTGAAAAGTATTTCAGTTATATCACAATATGTCAGTTTGATGAGGGAGAAAATCTCCGAGTGATACAGACGTTTACCAAGCAAGCCAGTTTTCCACAATGTGAGGTATGATGACTCTCAATAAGTTGGACATTCCCAATGGCCCTATTTGCTCTCCAAAATGTGACCATTCGATACCCACCTGTAACCTCTCATGACAAGCATGGTACCTGTTAGTGCTCAGATAGGCAACTCTGTTAACCGTTCACATGGACTACCCAGGCATGTGATATGTTGTTTAATGCCTCCTCCCCATCTCCATGGTTACAGTACAAGTCACTAATGTTCGAATTTCTTTCTGACCATGCACGCATTTCTTCTGACTTTTGTATATTTGAAAATAAGAATACAGCTTCAGTCCACTTCAGTGTATGAATGACCAGATCGTTTTATACATGTATCAAAATTTGTTTTGTAAAACAATTTCAAATTGAACATTTTGTAGCCAACCTACAGCGGGTACCTGGGTAGTGTCGGGTCATACAGGGTCATGGACCCAGGTAGTAAATTTGGACACGGCCCAGCGGTAGTACCTGTGTCCATGGGGAATAGGTAGGAATAGCTTTTGAACGTACTGATGGTAATATGGTAATGGCTGCGTAGGGGAATACACGTATGGTAATAACAGGGTGTGTCAGGGTTCATGAGTTGCAGCAGCGTTTCAGTCAACCGCCGCGGTGCTGCAGCCAGAGGCAGGACGGGAAGCAGACCATGAGACACCTTACCTCGCCCATGTGTCATAGACTGCGTCCTCGAGACCTTCTTCCTGAAGCTGAGTCTCAGTGGGTTCCTGCCTTCACTCTTCCTCCTCTCCGGTTCCGACTTTGTTTTAGTGGATGTGTCAGTCTCATCCACACTACTTAGGATCCGCGACAACCTCTTCACATCCTCCTGTGTCATGGAGTTATAGCCCCTGTCTGACACACCACCTGTAGGGGGCAGCACAGGCAAACACAAGGGGTCAGGGGTCGACAGGCTAGGTATGGTGGCAGCTTGCAGTATTGTTCAAAGGCATAGATAGAATTGATAGCTAAGCTACTTACAAGAAATAACTGTACGAATAAGTTTTATTACAGTTACAAGCATTTTTATCATAAGATGTAATAACATTTAAACTTGAATAACTTAAGACTGGGAAAAAGTGCATGACAAAGAGATATACAGGTCAAAGTGTTTTTTTACCATGAGTCATTTTGATCAAATAACATACAGGAAAGCAAGCAGAGTAGTGAGGAAGAAATAGCATGGGTACAACAAAGCTAGTGTTAACAGCCATCTTTGCCTTGTTTGTAAGCAATCAAATAATAAACAGCAAACAAACAGCCATGATTTAATATAATCCAACCACTCTCCATTCACAAGACAGAGGACAAATCTAGATTCACAAACTAGGCCACATGCAGATAAACCCAATGCAAACTCAACAAACAGGTTAATTTCCAAGCCACTAACCTGTACTGAGTCGCTCCTCGATGTTGGCCTTGACTACTGCAGCAGTATCTCCATTGCCATTGGCGCCATCGCTGACAACAATCTCGGACTTGGTGGACGGGTCTTGAAGAACCTCCTCCTGAAAGTAGCTGTCGACGCTGGTTCTGCTAATCTGATCAAACTCACTGCCCGAGTTGGAGCAGATTGACAAACTACGGCGACGGATGGCTCGCCGGAATTGGGCAACGCCAATTATAACGTTGCGGATCTTTGTCCATAGAAGTCGTCCCTTATTGATGTGTGTCGGCCACTTGGCTTCAAGAATCAACTGAAATTGAACATCCGCAAAATACTACTACATGTGCATATTTTTTTATGGATTATTTGTACCAGGGCCAGTATTCAGCATAACATGAGGGAACAGGTATTTTATTAATTTAAACATAATCTGTCAGACATGCCTCAGATATTTGATATTAAAATAAAACAATGCTTTCTGTTTGATGATGTTTCTCTATCAGACGTAAAATACACCAACACAATCATGCACATTTCATTACAGTGAACATGAATCAACAAATCTAATTCAAAACTCTACCAATCTGTCAGAAACAAATATTAATGTCAGACAAGCCACATGACAACATCTCGGAACACTGGCATAGGGAACAATGACGTGGTAGAGGGTTGTTGTTTGTTGTTTAACGCCGAACTCAGCAATATTCCAGATATATGACGTGGTCTGAAAATAATCGAATCTGGACCAGACAATCCAGTCATTGACATCATGAGTATCGATCTAAGCAATTGGGATACGATGCCATGCATCAACCAAGTCGGCGAGCCAGACTATCCAATCCAGTTAGTCACCTCTTACGACAAGCATTGGTTGGTGAAGACCAATTGTAGCCCGGAATCGTCACGGGACCACAGACGTAGGGAACACTGGTGATGGAGATACACACCTTGTTGTAGTAGCCGTAGGTGATGGCATTGGGCTGGACACCATGCTTCTTCATTGCCAGGAACACCTTGATGGCAAGGAAGGGTTCATTGTACTGTCCACACAGCTGCATGAGGATTCGGTAGCACACCTGAAATGCAGACACAACAGCATACAGCACAACTCAGTCATATTTTTGTTTTTTTGTTTGTTTGTTTGTTGTCTAGCTGTGAAAAAGTTAAAACATTGCGAGTATGACCAATCCAACTGACAGTAGTGCATTGCTTACTCCCTGTTTGGGATTTCAATCAATCTTGAGGACAGGCTCTCTGATTGGTTGATGAGAGTACCATATAGCCAACTGTGCCACATATTGTAAGAAGTCACACTGGCCGCACAAAACAGATTGTTGGTTTATAAACTAGAAATGGATGAATGTATTATTCATGGTGGGAAAAGCCATAGAGATACAAACTCATTCATCCATGGTTTTACATGACACCTTATTCCTGCTTGTTTGAAGCAATAATTTTTTTAAATGCACCCCACATTCAAATTATTTTTAGAAATTCTTGTGTGGGCCATACCAATGTTATGTCACATAATTTACAATTACAATATAAAAGGAAAAAAATATATGTTGGCAAAGGATTAATAATAATTTTTTCAACAATTTCTTGTGTATAGTGCACACATTTAAGTATAATGTGGTGTGTACAGGTTTTGGGATCACCCCTGGACTCGCCTAGATGACCTACCTCATCAGGAGAGATAAGCTTTGACTGCCCCATCTTCCTGAGCACCGCAAAGGCTATCCTGAAAGACTCCTCCTTGCTCTGGTTGATGGTGACAAACGCTGGCAGGTTGATGAACCACAGACTATAACAGTTGGCTGCCAAACATCTGCAACACAAAACAGCAACACTATACCACGTGTGTAACACAAACTGCAACGCTGTATCATATGTGTAACACAAACAGCAACACTGTACCATGTGTGTAACACAAACAGCAACACTGTATCATGTGTAACACAAACAGCAACACTGTATCATATGTGTAACACAAACAGCAACACTGTACCATGTGTGTAACACAAACAGCAACACTGTATCATGTGTAACACAAACAACACTGTATCATATGTGTAACACAAACAGCAATACCGTACCATGTGTGTAACACAAACAGCAACACTGTATCATATGTGTAACACAAACAGCAACACTGTATCATGTGTCTGGGAAGGGCAGGTACAAGAAAAGGTAGCTTGAAAAGGATATTGGATTCTCAGGCTATATTTGAAGACTTGGTTTTGGTGGCAGCCTGTAAAAGCATGTTAGCCTTTCGTCAGGTGAGAATGCTTTCCAAATGTTGCGTTGCGTTGCGCCACCAGTGGTTATTACGAGTTATGTCCCTTCTAAACCTCTCCTATAGACCAATCAGATTCCACCTCTTGTATCACTTGTATTTGATTCAAACAAAATGGTGGCACCCAGTCAAGACAATCTGATCGATAATCAAGATCTATATTGTGATAAACAGGGTCTTACATCGAAAAGTGCATCAAATCATGTGAGCACCTTGATTAAAATCATCAAAAGATTTGGAAAATATCTGTTGACGAGTTGGAGGTGCACATGCTTTGCAAATCCTTCAATCAATCGAAATCTGCACGACAGTTTACAAACCGGATTTCGATTTCGGTGCGTGACTATATGAACAATGCAAAGACTTGTTAGTCCAGCCAAAATGTAACTCCATAATACCAGCCTAGTTCGGCAAGGGTGGAAACTGGACTTTTATAGTCAGTTCACTCACTTTCTTCGGGAAGATGCAAAACTACATGTTCGTGAGTCATGAAGTCAAACTAAGAAAAGACAGTGATGTGTCATTGTGTGTGTGAGTATGGTTTTACACCGCTTTTAGCAATATTCCAGCAATATCACGGCGAAGGACACCAGGACCCATGTGGAGAATCAAACCTGGGCCTTCGGCATGATGAGCAAATGCTTTGGCCACTGGGCTACCCCACTGCCCCAGTGATGTGTCAATGTATTGTAGTAGTTGTGAAGAAAAAGTTCTGTATTGTGCAGGTTGTGACTGGACTTACTTTGCCCATCTGTGAGGATTAGTGATGTGCTGCTGTGCGATCTGGAGGTAGAAATTAGCATCATCAGTCATAAGCATTGACAACAGTAAAGCCTATATGCTTCATAAGACCAAAGACTGCCGCTGTACACAGAGTAAAGAAACATCTTCCCACCCATAAACATACAGAGTTATCCCCCTTGACCAAACTGCTTGGACTAAACTTCCTTGTTATTTGAGACAGAGTAAATGATCTAAAAAAGCAAAGTTTTCTTATACCAAAAACATGAACATGGCTTACAAGAAGCTAAATCTGGACCTGACAGTTCAATGTATTAATAGCAAACAAAACAATCCACTCAGTCATGGTACGAAAAAAACATTACTATCAGCCAGCTAGGTCATCTTCTCCCACCACAAGAGTACTTAGGATGCGATTCCTTCAGACCATACTTCTTTTGAAGGGGTCAAATACTTGGAATAAAAAATGCAGGACAAAATCCTGACAGGATTACAATCTCAATTTTATTTCTCTGTAACCCATGTGCATCAAAGGAATTCTCGAATTGCTTACCTTTTGTGCTGATCGAATCTCCTGCTTGGTTCTGCGTGCCAAGGGGCTGTTGGGGCAGAGGGATTGTTTGCCTGGCAGTGACAGCGTGGAGGGCTTCTTGGTGAGAAACAGCTCAGGCTTCAATGCTGGGAAGCCATTGTAACTGCAAGAGACAATCGTCAAATCATCATTATCTGGTTGGAAACATAGTATGATAATCAGTGGTAGAAAGTAACAAGTCCACTAGTCCTTATAATGATAACATATAGCAAAACCCTAAAAACAAATGGCAAATTTCTATGAGTCCTTATGATTCCTTAACTATTGGGCAGTTAGGCATAGACCACAGGACTAGTGCCAATTTCTAATGTTGATAATACTGATAAAGACAAGAATTTTTTGAGAATGAGTAAAGTATATAGATAAAATCTTAGAAAGATATGCTAAAAGCAGTGAATGTTAAAATTATTCATTTGCCATTTCCTACAAATGGTACACCGCAAAAGTAGAAATCATTTTAATTCGTAAGTTTGTTAAGTCTTTTAGAGAGAATGGCAGGTTGAATGGAAAATGATTTGTTTTTTAAAAAAAGCTCTTTCGGGCTAAATGTCAGTTCTTATATAACTTAATTTTTACAAGAATTAAAGATCATATGAATATTTCTTTGAAAAGTTCAGCTGCCATCGTATCCTGGACATAATACATTGAGTAAAAAGATTTATGTTGGACAAGACTGAGGGGATGACTGACACAGACAAATGGAAAACCTACAAAAAGGAACAGGTACATGTTGGGCATGGGTTATGGTTCCCTGTCTTCACACAATGAACAGCCAATAGACTTTATAACAGTTAGAACACAATTATTACTATTGATGAAATCAAAACCAAAACTCGTGAATCTCTCTTAAATCGTATGTTTTCATTTTTTACATTGTTCATACCAAAGATTATATAGAACTCAGTACAACCTGCAACCTGATTCATCACCACTTAACAGTTTTATTGACTTGATCGTACGAAGCTTATGAGAACACTTTGCAGTACAAACTGCACACCTTCAGCCAGCCCAATCCAGAACACTTCTAAATGTATACACCACTACAAAACCACTCCCGATCTTAATGGGAGCACACAATCAAAACACATCAAGTCATGTTCTCCCAGGAGATAAATGGTGCTCTGTTGATAAACAAAGTATGCCCAACATGAATGCTGTGGCTTGTGGATGATAAACAATGCACTAGCATCATGCTGCATGTGGTAGAGAGGCGTAGAGAGCACCTGCACCCCCAAGCCCAACAGAAGCTCCTCACAGTGCTGCATGTGGTAGAGAGGCGTAGAGAGCACCTGCACCCCTGCTGGCCCAAGCCCAATACAGAAGCTCCTCACAGTGATGCATGTGGTAGAGAGGTGTAGAGAGCACTTGCATCCCTCAAGCCCAACAGAAGCTCCTCACAGTGCTGCATGTGGTAGAGAGGTGTAGGGAGCACACTGTTGGCCCCAGCTCTTTGCTCCTTCATGACACATGACACCTCCATTACCCTTCCAGTATCATCTCTGCCACCAGTGTGCAAGCGGCTTTTACAAAAACATTTTCTCTCTAACCCAAAATGTAGTGCCATTAATATTTTTTTTGTATTTCTTGGAGAATGCTGCTACACAGTATTCCAGTTATATCACGGCGTGTCAGCTTAATGTGGGACAAAAGCCTGAAGTGATGCAGGTCTCGGATGTTTACCACTTCGGTGAAACCCACAAGCACGGGTATGGTGCTGACAAACCTAGAAACATAATCGGGGCGAACCAGGATTCGAACCCACAATTATAGGTTTCTGGCATGTCGAAGGAACGCAACTCTTCACAGCAAATCGTGGCAACTTAGACGACTGGGCCACCCATGCCCCCTGAAACCTGTGAGTGATTTACTCTTTCACAACTACTGTTATGTCAGATTGGTTCAGTATTGAAGACTATCGTAAAAGCAACCAACATCCCAATTGCATTCTCAATACACTAATTACATGACAGTTAATTGAAATGAAATAGAAATTCAAACTGGCAAACAAACAATATATTTAGCTTGGAGAAAAGTATTCGGCATCACAAAAGTCATCACTTGTGTGTAAAAATAACAGTCAGTGAGTTCAACTCAAAGCATGGTTGTGGACACTTATCACAGTTGCAAGTTTTGCTGGTGGCAGGGATAGTATAGAGAGCTGTGCGAATGGGCTATCACTGTGAGGAGCTTCACAAAAACTCCTCACAGTGCAGCATGTGATAGAGAGGTGTAGGGAGCACCTCTGTTGGCCCAAGCTCCACACAGATGCTCTACTTGGAGCAACAGGTCATGTTATAATGTCAGTGTAGTCACATTACCTATCACCATGCCGTTTACACTTATCACCAGCTCATAAAACATTCCTGGAATACAAGCACTATCAACTTCAAGGCTTCTTAATGTTCCAAGCTTCCATCTTACGGGTTACAGCCAGATTCACCTATCTCGGTCATTCTGAACAAGCGTATTCTTGACACAGGATACAGCCCAAAATATGCCCACAAACTGCAGGGTTTGTTGCTTCCTCATGAATCATGTCACTTGTGTCACGTCAATAACATTTCCATTATGCATTCCAAAACAATTCAAATAATAGTAATATTTAATGTTTAGATAACTTATCACAATTTTTATATTTCTTTATATTGTTTATATACTGTGCTAGAACATTTGTTTTACAACGCATTAAGCTAATAATATTATTGTGGCCTATAGTTCGTGCGATTCATGAGAAAAAATTTAAATTAACTTCCAGACTATAATGAGTCCAAACCAGATAAGCCAGTTGTAAAGCCTTAACAGCATAAGCCTTAATACAATGGAACACTGACACATATCTTGCAAGGTCACATTGTGTAACATGCTAGTTAGCGAATGTGATACATACTGATTGAAATGAATATTGGAACAATGAAAAACAGAGGGAAATAGCTTTACTGTCAGCACATTGGAAATAGCATGCATACAAATTCAACACGTCAGAATCAAATGTTGAGAAGTGTTTGTGTGCATTGTTTCCAACACGTATTTGGTCGACAGGGCTGGGAACCCATGATAGCCTATCATTCCACTGTCTAAAACTAAGTATTCCATTTTTCATTTCCATCAGTATATATATAGAAATCACTATGTAATGTCTGGTCTGAAGTATTGATCCAAAAAGATTTGCTTAATAACTTATCCATACTGATTCTCGTAACTACATTTTTGTGATGTTTATATAGATCTATTATCAAGATAGTGAACATTAATTATGAACATCCTGACCTATAGGAAATGAAGTCAAAGCAGAGAATATAACATCCGATAGAGAGCATTTATTTTTTTTACTCCAGTGCAATCCATTACTGGACAATGTAGCATAAAATAGACAGAATTGTAATAAAATGATTCCTGATTGCATTGTGCCATGGAGCTCTCCTACCACTCCGGAAAAAAAACCTTTCATTTTCTTTAGCACACACAAATGTTATTTATGTGGAAAGTAAATCAGGGCTCCACACTCAGAAGAGGCTGCAAGAAAAGCAAAGGGATGGACGTCTGGCATGGCCAAGTAAACACCAACGCACAAAAAGCTCCCCTGAGGGACTTAAATTACCCAGACCTATTTCAGCTGCATCTCCATTCAACAGGAAATTGATAAATCAATTTATGACATGGTCCCCCCAATAATCCTATTACACCAGTCAAATGTCAGAATTGATTACAGAGAACCTCAATTACGGTGAGCTTATGACTTGGGATGGACTCGTTATCTCTAGTCGTGCAATAACAAGGAATTCTGCCTGCCCCACACACTCCCCACTGGGAACATACAACTACATCCTTGCAGTCTTTGTTGCAGATTTTTTCCCCTTTTGCTTAGGCAATTAAGAAAATGAGAAAGAGATGTTATCAGCTTCTTAATAGACCTCAGACTGATGGAATGCACATGATTTTCAACTTATGAAACGTTTTATTACCACTGATGAGTTTCAGTCCTGTGACTGTGCCCAGGCCGAGCTTGAAGATGTCCACATGAATTACCTCCCTTCTACATCTAAGACTGATTTCAGAAGCAAGTGTTCAAACCTGACAGGTATCACGCGAGGGCTGCATAGCCCATGAATCTACAAGTGTCTAAAAAACTGAATGTGTTTTACACATAGATCAGCACTTTGTTCACAAAAGCCTCCACTGATGCTGCACCTTGGCATGTTAAGATGGCGAGGCAACAGCTGTGGATTTCCTCATGCAAGAATTATGCCCATGTGCCATTCTTACTTAAAAGTATGACAAGCTGGACTATGAAAGTTTGAACAAATACTGAACAGCATTAACACAGGGTTCATCCCTAAGCAAGTGTTTCTAGATAAAGTAGTTTAATCTCCATATGTTGTAAAACTCTTGATCCATTGAGCTAGTGCTGTCAAACCTGAATAATCTACTTACAAGAAAGAATATAGTGCTAGCCAACTACCATACCACATACAGCAGTTTAACACTGATATCGTTGTTTGTCCCGAAATAAAAAATGACACAGAGAAAGAGGGATTTAACCAAAACTATAGGGGAGTGAAAAGGGGGGGGGGGGGGGGGGAGTGTGTAGGAGAGAGGGAGAAATTAAAAAAATATGGCGCAGTCTTATTATTTTAAAAGAATCAAATTGCAAATTAGAAAATCCATTGTGTGGTTTTGATTTATTTATTTTTACATGTATGGAGGTGGGTCATGAGGCCTTGATGAAATGTCACATAAAATGTTGGGGTGGGGGAAAAATATGTTACAGTCCTAAGACCAATGGGCCTCTACAGTGGAAAGAACGGTACAATTGGGAAGAGGAAGCCAATCTGTATGACATAATAAGGCTTAGGGAGAATTACTGACAATAATTTCACCTACTGTTTATGTCTGTAGATGAGCAGAATTTAGACAAGAAAAAAGATTCTGTTGAAAGGGGTCAGTCTACGTAAAGGTTACACTTTCATCAAACTATTCTTCTGTTAGTAAAAAACATATCGCTTCAAGTGAACAAAGCCATAACACACTTTGTCAATGAAAATGTGAAACTTGCAATAAAACATCACTAGACATGACGATTTAACATTTCAACTGTATTTCTTGTTATGCCAGGCATTGTTTTATATGCAGGGATTAAGATTACTGTGTGTATTTGCCTAAACTAAGCCGGAAATAGCGATCAGCTGTACATGTTTTCTGCCAATCAACTGGTGACAAAGTAAAAACATACCCAATAATAAAACGGGAATGAATTTTGATGCAATGGCCAGAAAAAATAATATCGGAAACTACATTTTATGTATGAAATAATTTGACCAGTCACCATTGAAGTTTCGCGCGGCCTAGCTATACTATTTCCATCACAAAAACAATATGTTGACATATAATATCAAACTACAACAAAAATGACTTTAAACAAGCTAAAGTATGGCAGTTATGACATATGTGTACATTATTTGTTAACTTTCTTTTTCGTTTCAAGGCGTCACTAGTGGTAATATGATCTAGGTTGTTGTGAATTAAGTGAGTTGGTGCTATCATGGTATGTGGTAAAGCGGACCCTATGGAACAGGATAGACGGAAGTTGTAAGTATCAGAGGGAAAGACAATTTTCGGGGAAATTAAGGTGAACACTATTGAATGACATTTGGAATAATAAAATAGATTACAAAAAATAAGTCCAAATATACAACACTTTTATTACCAGATGGTGTAACAAAAGGATTAACTTGTGTAATTCAAAACAGATTTGTTCATAATCTATTTCCGATGACGAATGATGACGAGCAGATATAGGGAGGTTGGTAGGTAGTCCAGCTTATGTACCAGACATATAATTTTGATACAGATTTCAAGGATCAAGTTAATACCTCAGCTCAACTCTGAGATTGGCTTTTCGATGGTCACATACGGAAAACCCATGTCCAAATGGGTAATACATTATAGTAACAAGGCCAAGATTAAGAAGTGTTCCACTGCCACTTCAAGCATTATTACATCAATATCATGTCTGGGGACACAAGAAATAGGCTTCTAAATTGTATCTGTGTGGGAATAGAGTGGGTAGTGTAGGACTCAACAAAATGTGCTGAAGATGCTCTCCGGGAAGATTAAAAGGCTTCAAATAAGTGTAGACTTCAGCATTGTGATCAGGAACAACACACAGAAATCTTGAAACATTATTGTCATTTTGAGCATCCATAGAGCCTGTGATCTACAAAATCCCTAATCTGCCAGCTATGGCACTTCTTTCACTGTGTATCTTGAGGATCATTAAGTAGTGACACATTTGCAACCACCAACTTTGACTGAATCTTGTAACATTTCTTCTGGTCTAGAAACATCAGCATATACAAGTCCATATTCTAAGACTAATATCTACTGAAAATGATGCCAAAATTAAGTAACTTTGTCTTTAATTTATCTGATGCACTGGCTAACCATCTTCACACTAAGTTCAAAATCCAACATAACCCAAACTGAACATTCATTAACACTTAAGAACCTCTTTCTATGTCTATGATTAAACGAGACCATACAGATTCCATGAGAACAAACTTTACCCAACAAACACATTAGGAAGGAGGAACACGAAGGTCCCCAAGTCAGAGAAAACCATCAAGGTTGTATTCCAAGTTACAGCTCTGACGGGAAGTGCAATGGCATTGGGCGAGCATGTTGTATATATTTACAATTCATTTGTTTCAGCACACACACAATACAGTAAACCACGGTTAAAACGAACACGCTTAAAACGAACTGACGGATATAACAAACTTACTTTTTAGTCCCAACTATTTGCTGTAGTTATGCTGTATATATGCTTATAACGAACTACAGTTATAACGAACTAAAATTAGTAGTCCCTTTGAGTTCGTTATAACCGTAGTTTACTGTATTGTGTGACAAAAAGTACACAGATGTATCTGAAAGGTATTTTTACAACCCCTGCATGCATGCATCAAAGACAAGAGTCCTAGCAGGCATGTACGGCCCATCACATCCACAGTATCTACCGTATCTCTCAATATCCAAAACAAAAACAAGGACGTTGTCCAACACCAGAAATCATATTCATATCAAGACAGATCATTTGGTAGTGATCCCAATGTTAGCGTTACGGCCTATATCCCAGGTCGGCCAACACACCATATATAAGGTAAAGAACTTAGCCTGATAACCTGCTCAGATACATGCATTGTTGTGATTTACAAGTGAGTCAGTGAGTTTGGCTTTATGCCACTTTGAACAGTATTCCAGTTACATCACGACGGGATGCTTAATGCTGGAAGAAAGTCCTAAGTGATGCAACTCGTAGACGTTTACCACTTTGGTGAGCACGGATAAGGTGCAGACAAACCAAACAACATAATTAAATTAAATTCAACATTTATATAGCCCTACTTATCCAGATGTACTGCCTGCACAAGAGCGCTTTAGAGTGATTTACAAAGGCACAAGACTTACCTGTACTTGACACCCTCAGGTAAACCAACTGGTTCCGGAGGCATGATGAACACTGTACGTTCACTGAAGCACAATAAACCCATATTTATTGCCATAATATTGATAGTTCATCAAAGCAATTATCCCTTCATTAGCAAGCGCGAAAAAGTGTTAAACTTTAATGCAAAATACTTTTCTGTTTTCTCTCGCTAAATACATATTTGCTTTACTACATAATAACACTTTCAAATTAACCTCACATGGAAATCTCTCCCTAAATGTGGACATTAATGCTAATCAAGTAACAGGTCAGTTGTATAAGTTAATGAAAAGAAATAGACAAGTATTAATGAACATGTAAACATTACATTACCTTGTGTGAGAACTTTCAATTTCTATCAGCTTCGGATCACCACTGGTCTCGACAACCTGTAGTACATACATGAGTCAGTTAGGACTAACACAAACTATTAGAAATATATCACTGTCTGACAGCCTAATGTTGGAGGAAATTCCAAACACATGCAAGTCATGTTTACATTCAGAATTTCGACAAAGCCCATGAGTATTGGGAGGAGCTGACAGCTTGTGGCAAATCCGGGTTTCTACCCAAAGGGATCCTGGCAGGACTAAGAGAGACAACTCTGCAGAGAAACAGGTGGTGCCTTAGAGTACTTGGCCCTTCCCATACTATCCTATCCAGGAGCCCAATCCCCGGCTACAATATATATATGATGTGAGAAACACATGCTCTTCAAATTGAACATTTTTAATGGTCAACACATTTCCTTGAGGTTACTCAACATAGATAAATGTTTCAATCCATCCAATGATCCCTTTTGACTCCTGTCATCCAAACTTCAAAATGCATATCAAAGAAAATAATCAAATTCACCTTCTCAGCACATTCATCAAAGAAAGTAAGGCTGGCATCTTTGTCAGACACGAAGGACCTCTCTTCGATGAATCGGAAGAACATCTGTGTTTTCATCATCTGATGGAAGAACTTGGCATAGGCTTTGTCTCGACTCTTCTGGAAGTCTGGAATATACACAAGTGTAGACAAAGAGTCAGGAAAGTTCTCATTACACAATAAATATCTGCTTAAAATGACCTAAGGCCACACTTTTTTAAATTCATGTTTCACAGATTTATTCCAGCTTTTGCACACAAAGTCAGTTGAAATAAAACTAAAAACTTATAGCTATGTCAATCATTTATTTATTTATTTATATGAAAGTCATTATGTCATCGAATTAGAATTGCAGCTGGTTTCATGGAATTTATATATAACACTTTAGATTGTGTATGTGGGTCTATATTACTAGCGGGAGACATAATAAAAATAAATATTTTAAGGTTTAATTTATTTCTTTTCCAGCTGCTTTTCAGTAGGGGTGGTCAGCCCATGAAATGAAAAATAAAAAATGTGTGGCCTAAACTAAATAAAGCCGATATTCCAGTCATGGTGCAAGGTGTTCATGACAGAAATCCATACATGGAAGGTGATAAACATGTGGAAATTTGTGCTAGCTATCAGCAGAACAGTTGCTTGAAGAAAATTATTTTTGAATAGATATCTATCTGACCTATTTAAAGGGGGTAGTGGGGGGAGAGACGATGATCTAGACAATAAGCATCAAACACAAGAACCACAAATTCCATTCATCTGTAGTAATGAACGGTGAGGCTTCTTCCTAACTAATTACATCTGCAGCAAGTTTGTGTGTGACAGTGGGACATACTCACTCTGCATGTCAAAGAGGCAGGATGCGTCGGTGGCCGAGAGGGTGGGCTTGTTCAGGATAGGGTTGAGGTAGTTCTTGTAGTCTTTGAGCAAACATGCCATAAACCGCAGAAAGGCTTCCTGTATCTGCAGCTCCATCTGCATCTACAATCACACAGACATGTGTAATATTCCATGACCACTGGGCAGTGGAAGACTATTATCCATACGACTGATTATGGATATAGCAGACAGGGAAGAGGACTTCTGTGTTTATAATCAAACAACAGTAGGGTATTTGGAGGAATTAGTGTAATATTCAAGGCATCAACTGAACAGCTGGTCCAACAGGTAGCACAGGGACAACTATTTGTAAAAGTTAAATTTAATGTCAGTGGCCCAAGGAACCAGTCAATGGCCTATACTCATATGATTGTAGGTAGTAGTTACTATTATTGCATAATATTCAAGACTTGCCTTCCTCAGATGAGCAAATAGCACCAGAAAGAACATTTGATTTGTACATAAGACCCTGTTGGCTAGTCAAATGTTGAGGGCTGGCTATATGTTTTAGTCAACTGACCCTAATGGCCAGTTGATGCTGTTTTTAAGAATCTCACTATCTGCTATGTTCTATCAGGAATTTCAGATTAATAAAATACAATATTGATCATCTCGAACTTGTTTCCATGGAGATATCTCTTGGGTGAGATCAAGGGGTAATATCTCAAAGGAGATATTGCTAATATCTGTACTCTTTACACTCAGGGTTATTACTGTCATAGATGATAAATAGAATCTTACCCTTGTGTCTTTGGACATCAAATATATCAACACTCATCAATATCAAAAGACACAAGGTACATTAGAACTCACAAAAATGTCAATTTGCACACATTCCAAATTCTCTCCAATAATACCGTATTCAACGTAATAAGCGCCCAGGGTGCTCTCAAAATTAGAAATAGGGGGCTCTTATTAGAATATTCATTTGGTGAGAGAAAAGACAGAGTTAAAAGATTGTAAATTTTGTGGTTTATGCTGACAGCCTGAAATGATATAAAAGAAGAATGTGTGTGTATTATACACGATAGATATATTTTCGAGAATTTAATTGCCCATAATTAAGGGTGCATACAACACACGAGTGTGTATTATACACGAATAAATATGTCTTGTGTACATTAATCAATCGGAAGGGTGCTAATTGGGATTGTTCACTAGCCAATATATTAGCAAATATCGCCATGGGCGCTTATTAGAGCGGGGCGCTTATTATGACGAATACGGTACTAACTTCCAACAGATTCTGTACATTGTCACCTTTAACCCAAGCCATCTAACAATATAAAGGCATACCTCTTTCTTCTTCCACTTAAAGTCGTGATCAATGGGAGCCATTTCCAGAGACACCTCGTCAGTGGTGTGAGCCTGGTCTGGGTGCAGCGTGATCACGTCAAACAGACTGTGGAGCGTCTCCAACAGGACCCGTGCCGCTTTCTGGAACAGCAGGTAGAAGTTCAGCGAGAAAATCAAGGCTGATGATCATCTTACTCAATGTCTCCAAACACATCACACTTCAAGAAACTGCATTTGTTGTCATTGTCCAAAACTTATTACGTCAAACATTGCTGATACGTAAATGTGCCATCACCATTTAATAAAAGCATCCACTTTCCTATAGTCTGTCTTACAGACCCTGAAACAAATATATATCAAATACAGCCCATGCAAGTCTATAATGTTTGGCAAGGCTAGATTACTGCAGTATCAGGGTCACTGGGCTCCCTTTTATTATATTTTTATTAAGATAACTGAACAAGTGTTTTTTCTGTACGATATATTCATTTCAGAGACTAGATGTTAGTCTTACCTTCCTACAGTCATCCTCATAATAATAACAATGTACAAATAGGAGGGTAAAATGCTTTGTCAAAGTAGGTAAGTTAAAAAGTAACTGCAGCATCAATAGTCAATTAAAGTCCATTTTGAAGAAATGCATGTGTGTCTTGCAGAATTTCAGCAATTAAATTAGCTCAAATTCTCAAATTCAAGTATGTATCCTAAACTTTTGGAACCTTTTTAAGCCCATTGTAACTGTTTTAATAAATGATTAGTCTCTGGAATTTATACCAGTAGTATGTCTTCATAAATTACAATACATCCTATAGAAACATAAAGACATTATGATATGAAACATCTAGTCAAGAACATTTTCATATATACAGTAAACTACGTTCATAACAAACACGCTTATAACGAACTGACGGATAAAACAAACTGATTTTTTTATCCCGTCTATTTGCTCTATATATGCTTATATAAATATATATATGAGCGTAACAAACTTTGGTTATAACGAACTAAAATTAGTGGGCCCATTGAGTAGTACAAGTCGTCTTAAGCTCAGCAAATCTCACCTTAGGAAGCAGTTTGTAGTTTAACGTCTTTCTGTCTTCCGGCCTACGAAAACAATGTACTGGGTTAGAGAAAGCTTTCATCATAGTGGGTATGTCAATTATTGAACATCATACAGGCAGATACATTTAGGAGGGAAATCAGTTGGTCTCTTCACAGGCTTCAGAAGCAAAGGCCCCACCAACAACGTTATTTGTACACCTTTAAAACACGCAGAAATAAATGAAACCTGGGATGGGCTTTATTTATCAAAAATCGCTGTAACTGTCGAACACATGTTTACTCACATCCATATTCTGTTGGTGTCAAGGTCAACACAGATGACATCAGATGGGGGATCGTAGAGGTCAAAGTACCGAGAATCTATTCCTGTAGTACACAAGAAACACAATGAATAACATAATTTACCTCATGAACAACACAACATTCTTATAATTAAGAGAATACTCAAAATTGACCAAACATTAAAGACATTTACATTCAACAATCCAGTAAACATACATAAAGTGGCACCTCGGTACTAAAGTGTGGTAAATACGTACCTACGATGAATGGACAGGGGGCACTAATCACCTCTGACCGTCCGGGGGTATGTATGGACACTGAGTGAGGGTGGCCATATTGAGGGCATGGGAGATACGTACCTACCATGAATGGACAGGGGGCACTAAGCACCTCTGACAGGCCAAGGGTATGTATGGACACTGAGCGAGGGTGGCCATGTTGAGGGCATGGGAGATACGTACCTACGATGAATGGACAGGGGGCACTAAGCACCTCTGACCGGCCGGGGGTATGTATGGACACTGAGCGAGGGTGGCCATGTTGAGGGCATGGGAGATACGTACCTACGATGAATGGACAGGGGGCACTAAGCACCTCTGACCGGCCGCGGGTATGTATGGACACTGAATGAGGGTGGCCATGTTGAGGGCATGGGAGATACGTACCTACGATGAATTGACAGGGGGCACTAAGCACCTCTGACCGGCCAGGGGTATGTATGGACACTGAGTGAGGGTGGCCATATTGAGGGTGTGGGAGATACGTACCTACGATGAATGGACAGGGGGCACTAAGCACCTCTGACAGGCCCAGGGGGCAGAGGGGGATGTATGGACACTGCCAGTGGAAAGGGAAGATCATCTGAAACATAAATAAATACAATTAACCTACTGATTGGTAACAAAAAACTCTTGGTGAGAACTTATGGATTACAACTTTTTTATTATACATACACAACTTTTCAGAGCCTTCATATAATGTTAACATAGATGCTTTATCTTTTCTGTTGGAGCATGAAGCATGAAGCCTGCATGCTAGTCCACTAGCCTGAGATAATTATTTGACTACTTGACCCGTGAAGATCCGGGGTAGAAAAGGGCTTCAGCAAACCCATGCTTGCCATATAAGGCGACTATCCTTGTCGTAAGAGGTGACTAACAAGATCAGGTGGTCAGACTTGCTGACTTGGTTGATGAATGTCATCGTATTCCAATTGTGTAGATTGATGCTCTTGATATCAATCACTGGATTGCTTGGTCAAGGCTTGATTATTTACAGACCGCTGTCATATAGCTGCAATATTGCTGAGTGAGGTGTTAAACAACAAACAAAGGACTGAGTACTGACTACACTTGAGGGCTATATTCAGAACCAGTTCTGAATACTTCAAGATTCCTACAAATTGGAACTGAACAAAACTGATTGAAAATGTAAGCACAGTAAACACTGTTGTCTTGTCCAAGCAGGACTAGCTACAAACTCTGTGGACAAGTGAATTAAAGTATACACTAGTCCTCTGAACTAACTTTTACAAATAATGACTTTCTAAGGCTGAGCATGGTGTGACTTACAGTTGACACAGCCTCTGCGACGCCCGTGAGGACAGCGGGGCGGAGGGAGTGGATGAGGATCTTGTGCTCCAGCAGGATGTATCCCAGGATGCTCATGCAGTTCTCCGGCCCCATGTTCTTCAGCAGCGTGATGAAAGACGCACCACTGAAACAGTCAACAAACACAACACTCATGTCACTGTCCTCTTAGAAGAATACCGTATTCGCTTAGAAAAGTGACAGTGGGGGTGTTTATTAAAACCATACATAGCAAGTTAAATCTATTTCAGATATCAAGCAGTAGTGCAAAAACTTAGTTCAAATGACGATGAAACCGAAAAGTTTTTAATTATAAATACTTGGCAATTATACGCCCCTTCTGCACTCCTGTTTTCTGTAAAAAACAAAACGTGTAAATTTTGGGTCTTAAACTGTAGTGCTTAGAGTGAGTGAGTGAGTGAGTGAGTATGGTTTTACGCCGAATAACTACACATCCATGGACTTTTCTTTCAGTACAGCCTTGGAGCAAGGCTAAGCTTACCTCTGTGGGAGTGGCGAGTCCTCGGGCATACAGAGTGACAAAGCTTCATGGTTTAACTGGAATTGAATACAACATTTTATTACATAGACAATATGAAATATATCAATTATTCAACACATTTTCCATTATTGATCATTTCAATCTTTCCTACTCTCTGTCAGTGCTCAACGAAACCCACTGTACATACATTTGCTTTCAGGAGTGACATGAATCTTTTCTCAACTGACAAAGCAATGAAGCCAGGTTGAAGTACCTACCTGTACCAGAATGCGAGGCCTCTGTGGGGAGGGATAGGGGACGTCATACATGAAGTGGGAGATGTGTCTGAAACAACACCAACAATACAACCATTCCAGTGGAATAGACATGATAGAAGACCAACAGGAATCTTCAACACTTTCTAAAACTGCTATTATCCTTTATATTTAAAAAAAAATCTAATTCTTTTCTACCACTGAACAAATGAGTCTCATTGTGATTTCATCTAACTGCACTGAAAGCTTCCTCAGCTGATTCTTAAATATATTTTAATAATGTTTCAATATGTAGTGAGTGAGTGAGTTTGTTTTTACGCGGCTTTTAGCAATATTCCAGCAATATCACGGCGGGGGACACCAGAAATGGGCTTCACATATTGTACACATGTCGGGAATCGAACCCGGGTCTTGGGCGTGACAAGCGAACGCTTTAACCACTAGGCTACCCAACCGCCCCTTCAATACGTAGAAAACAATAACACCACCCAGACAGTTTCAAGTTTTTTTTTGCATCAACTATTCATCATTACTGTTCCATGTATTATTTCCTGAAGTTGCTGAGTGTTAAACAACAATCACAATTGCCTTAAGTCCCTTTACCTTTCTATGGGCACGGTGTGGGGGCCTGTGATAGAGATCTTGTACAGGTAGGACAGGAACTTCTTGAAAGCATCGAAGAATGGCCAGCGAGACAGCAAACAGATGCTCTTGTTGGCATGGACTGTCTTGAGGATGCGGTACTGCTCCCGGATATGTTTGTTCTTCAGACCCAAGTGACGCATTTGGAGATCAGAGAGTTTATCTTCATGGTACTCTTCGTAAAATGTAACAGCTGCCCCAAAAACCTACAACACATACCTCACATACAACTTGGGTTTGTATTATATATCCATGGCAAAAATAAGGGAATGTCCACACAGGGTAGCAGGTGTTTGGTATGAAATATTGCAGGTATCCTGAAAAATCTTGATTATTAGTTGAAGGTAATAATATTTACTGAACACAGCAGTAAATATCAATCAGCAGTAAATATGATTCAGCAGTGAAGATCAAACAGCACTAATTTGTATGTTCCTTTCGTTTATCATCAGTACAGCATCAAATCAGGTAGATATTCCTGCAAGATTCAGCACACCTGGAGATAAGTAATTGTGGCAGTTTTTAAGACAGGTTAGGTCATATCCTGTGATCAATTTGATAGACAGAAACAGACATTTAACCTTCAGAGTTATACACATGGAAGTGGAAAAGCAGCCATGCTGACAATAGCATTCACAAATGGACACACATTCACAATCAGTCTCCACAAAATGATTAAGCCATTGAATTGTACACTTAGGCCAGAAAGAACTCTTTAACATATGAACATGATGAAATTAAATCTATTTGAAATTTAGTTTTTCACCACTTTAGCCAGTATTTCAGCTACACCAACCTAATGTGGGAGAAAAGCACAAATGGCATTAGACAAACACAGGCAAAGGACTCACAATGGGAGACCAAAATAACTGACCTTACATATTGTATCCATTTGGTCATCCTAAAAAAATAAAGAGATAACTGTACTAATATATTTGGACTTTTTCCAAATTCCAAATCAAGGAAGAAAATTTCTAATTTGACTGCCGACATGTAGCACAGCTATGCAGACCCTCACCTTCTCCCCATTTGGTATGGTCAAGATGAAGGTGGAAAACACAGGCAGGGGGTGCTGGGCATTGGCTGGCCAGCACTCAATGGTGGCTCCCATAGGCAGGCAGAACATGGGCACCTGCTCTGGCAGTTGATATGTGTCCTGGTCATACATCGGATACCTGTCAATGATGCCTGCAAGCAAACAGACGAAGCGAGTTGTTTAGACATACAGGCTCCTAGTATTATTACATGATGGGAGACCCAAATAGTGTCCCCATAACAGCAATTATTAATTGTGTGGGTTCTTCGTCACTGACCTACCTTTGTTACTGATGCTGATGTGATAAACATCATGGACACTTCCATTAGAGGTGTAATGATATACGGGGTAAGAGGGACAATATATATCACAAACCTATTACAAGAGACGACATGGTGCGTTCCCTCTGTATGAATGAGACTGGGTATGGTTACATACACAGGACAACAATATAAGCAATTTAACTACTGGTTGGTTTCCATGTTGAATGTTGTCCAGTTTCGAAATTTCTTTTGTGGACTGTCATATGTTCAAGCTTTGATGTTCACGTTTAATTTCTTTTTCAAAGGTAGTCACTATGCCATACACCCCATGCAAATTGATGTGCTGTGTGTGAGTGACGTTGGAAAATGCAGCAATATTCCAGCTAAATCATGACAATTTGTAAATAGTAAGGATGTTAGAACCTACACCGAACCGTCGATCCTAATTGTAATATAGAAGTTGTTCATCCATATATCTTATCCTTATTTAGGACTCCAACTTCTAAAGGCCTCTCAAAGAAGGTTTGTAAACAACCAGAGTCTGAATTAGGCAAACCAGTGTCCGAAAACATGAGCAAAGATCCATGCCATCAGGGCAGGTTGACACAAAGTCAGCCAATCACAGTCTGACTACCAGGTCCACGTTAGTCACCTGTGCACTCAGCCACAGGGAGCTCAGGGCCTACTCTATCCTGGATCCCCCAGGGGTTGATGGAAATTACACCCATATTTGTTGCAATTATTAATTTCACCCATATTTGTTGCAATTGTTAATTACACCCGTATTTGTTGCAATTATTAATTTCACCCATATTTGTTGCAATTGTTAATTACACCCGTATTTGTTGCAATTATTAATTTCACCCATATTTGTTGCAATTGTTAATTACACCCGTATTTGTTGCAATTATTAATTTCACCCATATTTGTTGCAATTGTTAATTACACCCGTATTTGTTGCAATTGTTAATTACACCCGTATTTGTTGCAATTGTTAATTACACCCGTATTTGTTGCAATTATTAATTTCACCCATATTTGTTGCAATTGTTAATTTCACCCATATTTGTTGCAATTATTAATTTCACCCATATTTGTTGCAATTGTTAATTTCACCCATATTTGTTGCAATTGTTAATTTCACCCATATTTGTTGCAATTATTAATTTCACCCATATTTGTTGCAATTGTTAATTTCACCCATATTTGTTGCAATCGTTAATTACACCTGTATTTGTTGCAATCGTTAATTACACCTGTATTTGTTGCAATTGTTATGGATGTGTGACCGAGTGGGTTGAGTTTAACAGAATTTCTACATGAAATGCAGTGTCGATGGGGTCACAAATACTTTCAGTCTAATACCTGACCCTTTTGATTCTTGTAAATTGTTTGATTCCCAAAGATACAATGTATCACAACACAAGCTTCAATCAGAGACATGCATCATATCAAATTGTAAGATATTTAAAGAGAAAAGCCCGATACCACATGGGCCATGATGGGCGTTTGTTTAGTTTTCTTTCTTTTATTTACCTGGTTTGTAAGCAAGGAGATCCACTTTGTTCATAGCTTTCTTGTAGCAGAGAAATACATCTGAGCCCACCTGAAACAAACACAGTGACCCGTCAAAACACGTGAAACACACTGTGACCTGACAGAACACTTGAAACATATACACTGACCCGTCAAAACAAGTGAAACATACACAGTGACCCGTCAAAACACATGAAACACACTGTGACCTGACAGAACACGTGAAACATATACACTGACCCGTCAAAACAAGTGAAACATACACAGTGACCCGTCAAAACATGTGAAACACACTGTGACCTGACAGAACACGTGAAACATATACACTGACCCGTCAAAACAAGTGAAACATATACACTGACATGATAGAACATGTGAAACATCACTATGACAGGGTCAAAACACGTGAAACATATACACAGACCTGACAGAACATGTGAAACACACCAAAATGACACGTCAAAACATGTGAAACATATTCACTGACCTGACAGAACAAACACTGTGGATTGACAGAACATGTGAAACACTGTGACATGACAGAACTTGTGTTTGTTGTTTAACGCCGCACTCAGCAATATTCCAGCTATATGATGGCGGTCTGTAAATAATCCGAGTCTGGACCAGACAATCCAGTGATTGACATCATGAGCATCGATCCACACAATTGGGATACGATGACATGCATCAACCAAATCAGCGAGCCTGACAACCTAATCCTGTTAGTTGCCTTTTACGACAAGCATAGTCGCCTTTTACGTCAAGCATGGGTTGCTGAAGAACTATTCTACCCTGGATTTTCACGGGTCGACAGAACATGTGAGATATACACCATGACTGACAGAACATGTGAAACGTACTGTGACCTGACAGAGCATGTGAAACATACACTGTGACCTGACACAACATGTGAAACATACACTGTGACCTGATAGAACATGTGAAACATACACTGTGACCTGACACAACATGTGAAACATACACTGTGACCTGATAGAACATGTGAAACATACACTGTGACCTGACACAACATGTGAAACATACACCATGACCTACAGAACATGTGAAACATACACTGTGACCTGACACCACATGTGAAACATACACTGTGACCTGACACAACATGTGAAACATACACTGTGACCTGACACCACATGTGAAACATACACTGTGACCTGACACAACATGTGAAACATACACTGTGACCTGACAACATGTGAAACATACACTGTGACCTGACACAACATGTGAAACATACACTGTGACCTGACACAACATGTGAAACATACACTGTGACCTGACACAACATGTGAAACATACACTGTGACCTGACACAACATGTGAAACATACACTGTGACCTGACACAACATGTGAAACATACACTGTGACCTGACAACATGTGAAACATACACTGTGACCTGACAACATGTGAAACATACACTGTGACCTGACACAACATGTGAAACATACACTGTGACCTGACAACATGTGAAACATACACTGTGACCTGACAACATGTGAAACATACACTGTGACCTGACACAACATGTGAAACATACACTGTGACCTGACACAACATGTGAAACATACACCATGACCTACAGAACATGTGAAACATACACTGTGACCTGATAGAACATGTGAAACATACACTGTGACCTGACACAACATGTGAAACATACACCATGACCTACAGAACATGTGAAACATACACTGTGACCTGACACCACATGTGAAACATACACTGTGACCTGACAACATGTGAAACATACACTGTGACCTGACAACATGTGAAACATACACTGTGACCTGACAACATGTGAAACATACACTGTGACCTGACACAACATGTGAAACATACACTGTGACCTGACACAACATGTGAAACATACACTGTGACCTGACACCACATGTGAAACATACACTGTGACCTGACACAACATGTGAAACATACACTGTGACCTGACAACATGTGAAACATACACTGTGACCTGACACAACATGTGAAACATACACTGTGACCTGACACAACATGTGAAACATACACTGTGACCTGACAACATGTGAAACATACACTGTGACCTGACACAACATGTGAAACATACACTGTGACACGACACAACATGTGAAACATACACTGTGACCTGACACAACATGTGAAACATACACTGTCACCTGACACAACATGTGAAACATACCACATATACACCGAGTGATACAGTAACAACTTATCGTACTTTACAATATACAGGTAACCAACATCCACAGTAAGATGTAACAAGGGATCCTGTTAGATCATGAAACAGCAAGTGCATATTGTGTATCTCCATGATACTTTGGACATCAAAAACGCATGTGTAGTGCTGATATTGACTACAAATGAGTTTATTTCAAAGTGCTGATGATTCACTAGTGCGCAGTGTTGCTTGTGCTATACTTGGTAATATTCCAGCAACATTTCCGGTAAATAATCTGTGTCACACAAACCTGTGGCTGACAGCAAGAACAATGCATGATCTGCAGTGTCAGGGTAAAATCAGATCAGACATAACAACCATCCGATCCTCATTTTAATAAGCTCTAACAATAAGGATAATGGAGACCTTTTCCGACTGTGACCGGTCACACAAGAGATAAGAGATATACAGATCACATACATCTTGTATTTACCTATGGTCAGCACTGTACAACAATACCCTAACAGATAGAGACATGCAAATTAAAACACAAGCACAGACATTGACTGGGATAATGTGTACTATCTTCACTTAATGTCTGCCTTCAAGGCAACAAACATCCATAGATTCAATCTTCTCTGTACACTGGGAGATATATTTGATTCTTGTCACACCTTGACAAATGCAATGGGTGTAATCAACAGAATCTATTGACTCCACAATGTGCGACTTATGTGTCCATCTACCTCTGTTGGTGTCATGGTATAACCAGAGACTGTTCTCTGTCAATTCTCCAGGACCTCCTACTGGCCTATACATAGTCAGCTATATGAGGTCTTCTGTGTGACTCACCATTCCTTTGTTCAAGTTCTTGTTGATTCTGTTGAATGCTAAAGGAGGATCTTCACCCTGCAACAAAAGAACCATGTGATTAATGTACAGTCAAACATTGTTGTGTCGAACAAGAATGTATCAAATTCCCAGCTGTCTTTAACTCACTTTCCGGTCCCTGCAAATTTCTCCTACATTTATCATTATTTATACTCAGATCTGTCAAACTGTATGTGTCAAATTCCTGGTTGTCTCGAACTCATTGGGCGATGCATGCTGGCGTGCGCTCTAGTCTGGACTAAGCTGATTTTATAGTGCCAGCCCACTGAGATACCATGCCACAAGTTTGACATGAATACCCCACCCAGACACAGTAAACTGACTCCGAGCCGACCAGTCCTTGTTTTAGTCCCTCAATGATGAGTGCCAGGCAGGGTAACAATAAGTGCCATCTTCTCTTTTGGTATGACATGGCTGGGGATCGAACCCCGACCTTCCGCTCTCCAGGCAGACGCTCTACCACTAGACTACTGAGGCGGTCCCTTACATCAAAGAAGTGAGCTGAATACTGTTTGTACATCTCTCATGATATGTTTGTTTTTCTGAACTTCACTTGTTTTGATTCCTAGGTAACTTGTACATTTTTCCTGGTCCCCATGGGTTTCACACAACAAGGCTTGCCTGTATTTGATGCCTGGTGCGCACAGTTCCCAAGATGAACAATTATCAAAGACCACCCACTCCACTTTGTTATCAAAAGGAGTGAGTTAAGTGCGTGAGTTAATTTTTAACGTCACATTGGCAATATTTCAGCCATAACGTGACAAGAAGTTATACATATACTTAGTCTTGATAAAAACCGAAGGACAGTACGAATACTAGAATATCACTAGTTGAGGAACATTTAAAAGCAGACAGAATGAGTTAACAACACAATAAAAAATGGGCTAGAGATCATCAGTAACTAAAGGAAGATCACCATACTAGAGACCATGGGGACTTACAGTGCCTTTGCTTCCTACATGGACCCCGACAGGATTCTTATCATTCCTTTAGTCACTGCCGACAGTGTACCAGTTAACAGGTTAAGGCAAGAAACGTCCTTCATGCATGCATGTGAAACATTCAAAACAAAAAGGTTACATAATACAATCATATAATTAGAATTCAGTTTTGCGTAAAATGAAGTCAGAAAGAACAATGAACCAACCTTATTGATGAGAATGACACATATATCCATGACAGCCAAGGTATCACTGGATGCAGCATTGGATGCGCGACGGAATGTGATGTACGTCCTGTTGTTGCTGCTGTTGTTGACGTTGGCAGGGTGACCGAAGGCGGTCGTGTGGACCACCTCACACCCCTGTAGGACCTTCTCCTTCCCCTCATAAAGCACCCTGACAAACAAAGTCACTGACTCATGAGTCCGATAGTCATTTCAACAGGTTCATTTATAGTTTTTGTTTGTTTGTTGTCTAATGCAGCACTCAGCAATATTTGAGCTATATGAAAGCGGACTGTAAATAATAGCATCTGGACTAAGCACCTTGACAAATCACACAGTCAGTGAATCAAGAGATGGAGGGTCATTTCAACAGGTTCATTTATAGTTTTTGTTTGTTTGTTGCCTAATGCCGCACTCAGCAATATTTAAGCTATATGAAAGCGGTCTGTAAATAATAGCATCTGGACTAAGCACCTTGACAAATCACACAGTCAGTGAATCAAGAGATGGAGGGTCATTTCAACAGGTTCATTTATAGTTTTTGTTTGTTTGTTGCCTAATGCCGCACTCAGCAATATTTGAGCTGTATGAAAGCGGCCTGTAAATATTAGCGTCTGGACTAAACACCTTGACAAATCACAGTCAGTGAATCAAGAGATGGAGGGTCATTTCAACTTGTTGTACACTCTTTCAGTTATATCATGGAGTTCAGCGTTATGTGGGAGGAAAGTGGCATAGGTCGGAGATGTTAATCACCAAGGTGAAACCATTTAGCACAGAATTGGTGCCGAGGGAGCAAAGAACATACAAGGGTTTTTCTAAAGTTTGAAACCATGACCTTTGGATCCTGGGACAGTTAAGGGACACAACTCTGAACAGCCTACTGCATTGTCTTACAGGGCCAGTATGTCGATGGTGAGTTTGACCATCGGACATTTTTACAAGATCTCTCAATATTTTTTAACATTCATGGAGGACCGATTGTTTTGAGTAAAATAATGCTACGCAAAGATCTCAAAGTGACTGGAACTATGATGGTAACTCCTCAATACAGAGAAAATCTATACTTGGTTAGAGTATCTTACTTCATCTAATTAAGGTATTTGTAAACACATAATTTAGTATACCATGCTAAAGGTATCAACACTTTCAACTTTTTTATTGGCATTAGTAAGTGAGTTAGTATGGTTTTATGCCTCTTTTAGCAATATTCCAGCAATATCACAGTGGGTTACATCAGAAATGGGCTTCACACATTGTACCCATGTCGGGAATCAGGTATTCGTGACAAGCAAACGCTTTAACCACTTGGCTACCCGACCACCCCTTGATTGGCATCATGTTGTACGTTTTCTTGTTAACTTGGTTAATTAATCATTTCATATCCATATTCATTGTTACTAAAAATGTTGAGATTATTGCAAAATAACTAAACAGTCAAAGCAAATTACATCAGTAAAATTACAAACTTATCTCTTAGTAAATATCATAAAACAAACTGCGGTTCAGATGGTGAGGACTACTTTTCCTCAATCGTTATATTTAAATAAATATTTTCCGAAGACACTGACACGAACATAAGGTTCACAATTTCTTTCACATTGAATACTGAAACAGTCATGGCATATGGCAGATTCCGCATATAACCACTCATACTATGTGGGCTTCAAAAGCTCATTTCCATAGTTATTGAATTATCTCAGAAAACACAATACAGCTCTCAGGTTAATGGAGGTGGACATGAAACAGCCTGACTCTCTCCTCCCTCCCGTAATCCCAAGCTCTATCGCTCCTGCTTCTACCAGCTCAGCATCACGGCAATCCTAGCTCCAAAACCTGACCATATTCTCGCAATTATATCAGCACAACACCAACCTATCTGCCTGTTTGTCAAAGGTGGATCAAGCCCCACAGTCACGAACCATATTTTTTTCCCTTTCACCTAGCCCTTACTGTAATGCTGTATCCTCCATGGAGCAAAACTACCATGTCACTAAGGCTCCTTTTCAATCTAGATGTAGTTGCTTGTTTATACATTTTGAGAGACAAAGCATTCGTCAAAAGGGGAAAAGTATCAGTGTCTGCAGAATGTGACATTCTGATAATGAATCCATAGAGTTAAGCCCTTAGGGTCATAGTGTTAGGGGCACATTATTCTGCTGTATTCAGAATGCCATCTACTTCAAGGCTCTGTTAATCATGTCGAACGGAAGCAGCAACAGAACAGGTGGAAATAATTACACTCTAAGCAAGCCTATGCTTATTTGTCTCTGAACTTATGTATAGATATAGAGATTGCTACATGAGTGTCTTGTCAGATACCACTTATCTTAAAGTTGAAAGATACATTGTATATGAAAGGCACAACTGCAGTAATCTGTTTCTTACTCACTCTTACTCACTCTGTAATTGCATAGTTTGTCTGTTCTCATGACCGCAGCAGCGTATTAATGCATAACAAACTGTCACAAGTTGTCGGAGTACTATTCATACCTTGTGAGATCATGAACATTTATTTAGAACTCTACAAAGATAAAGTTTCAACAGAAGTACAAGAAACATTCAGGAAAGTTGTCCATCATAATCCGACCTTAGGTCATCTCAATGAAATAGTCAATCACGGACCTGGAATACCATCTCACATACATGTTTGATACCAGTTATCTCAAATTGGCTTCTTAGCGACAGGGTGTGTTAGAATCTGCAGTTTGCCTACCAATCCTGTTACATTGCTGTTTGTTTGTTTGTTGTTTAACGCCAGAGCAATAATCCAGCCATATGCCGGAGATCTGTAAATAATCGAGTCTAGACCAGACGATACAGTGATAGACATCATGAACATCCATCTACGCAATTGGGATACGATGACATGCATCAACCAAGTCAGTGAGTCTGACACCTGATCCTGTTAGTCGCCTCTTGTTGCAATGCTACCCAGAATTCTGTGCAGTATAGAAATGTAGGTGGGAAATGAGGAACTTAAATGAAACTATTCTCGCTATTCAACATGAGTGGTGAATGTTGTTTTATTGCCAGCATCACTGCAGCATAAATGATCCAGTCAGGGCGAGGTGGTGGCTAGTTATATGAGGAACGGTTCCCACTGTCAAGGAGAAACAACACAATCAGGAAGATCACACATTTTGACCACCCGACCCTCATTCTGACAAACATGGGATGCTGGGGTCCTTTTCAATTCAAATTCCCATGGGGTTGTTGTTCAACAGACCAAATATCTCTACAAGGGACAGGAATAAAACTAAATCAGACCCGGCATTATTTGCATGACAGACACCTATTGTTGCTCCCATCTCTGGCAACTTGATTTCCAATCTATATAATTCCTGGCACTTAGGATACTGATCAAATTCAACACTGCATTGGATGATCAGCCGATGGTCTAGTTGATAATACACCCTCATTGTGTAATCCTGCAAATAACTGCATTGAATAACTGAGTTACAACTTCCATAGATGAGGTAAATGAATTGAATGAACCGCCACATTAAATATTAACGTGTCAACACAAGGTCCTTCTGCAATCAGTCCAGTTTAATGTCATATCCTCGTACAGAGAAAATCAAATTATTACTTCCTAATGTTAGCTCAAGCTGAGGTTAAACAAGATATCAGATTACATAAACTGAAATGTGATTAGACACAAGTGAATCAATGATAATTTGACTTCCAAATGTTCTCAACAAACATGGCTTTATTGATTACGCCCTATTTACAAAGTGGTTAATCACAGATTGCCATATTACGGAACGGAGAAGGACCGGAAAATAACTATTGGGTTATTTGCCTTATCAAATACAACTGAAGACACAGGAAACACAAGAACCTTTCTCTGAATTAAACAGAAGGCCTTGGGCATCCCAACTCTTAATGGTCAATGAACAGACTCACCCTAGGTCAGTTAAAGGTGGCTTCTCCCGACTCCGCCTGTAGCAAAGGAACATTTCAGGGCAGCGTATAGAACCATGGTTCAGGTCAGCGGGGAACCCAGACGGAGTCCTCTCGATGCAGGAGAATCCCTTGGGGATCTTTTCACCCAGACTGCGGTTGATGACTGCAATTTCAGTGATAGGGTCTTGTTTGAAGGAGGGTTTGATGGCTGCCTCGTTGGTGAATTCTTCCAAGGGGAGAGGATTGCTGGGGAGGCCAGCCACCACAAAGTAGTCCACCACCCTCTTTTCATCCATGGTTCTGGAAAAAAACAGCATATAAAAAACAAATAATCACATATCAACATCCTTGTTGGAAATTCACTACATTTATCACTGGATAGAATCGTGACCTGAAAAGGCTTGACTAGCTTGAAATTCTTGCTTTTCAAGGAAGTACACCTAATTATCAATTTTGGGTTTAGAATCAGTGAGTGACATGGGTTTAACGCCGCTTTTAACAGTATCCCAGTTACATGACAGCGTGGGGTTTAGTAACAATCCATGGTAGAGTTCTATCCCTAAGCATTTTGACTACTTAAAGCAACCACGATTACAGAATGGACACAATGGTCTGCAACCAAACTTACAGCTAATGATGGAAGCTTATGACATTTTTGATAAACCAATGTCAATCGAACAAAGGCTCTTGTAACTATAAGAGGTCATGTACACCAGGTGTTGCAGTGGGCAAAATGGCTCTATTTCCGCAACTCCATACAAAATGAAACGGATTAATCCTAAAATACCGTATTCGACGTAATAAGCGCCCAGGGCGCTCTCAAAATTAGAATTAGGGGGCTCTTATTAGAATATTATATTGAGTTGAAAGATCGTAAATTTCGTGGTTTATGCCGACAGCCTGAAATGTTTATATACGACAGATATATTTTTCCAGAATTTAATTGCCCATAATTAAGGGTGCATATAACATACGAGTGCGTATTATACACAAATAAATAAGTCTTGTGTACATTAATCAATTGGAAGGGGTGCTAATTGAGATTGTTCACTAGCCAATATATTAACAAATATCGCCGTGGGCGCTTATTAGAGCAGGGCGCTTATTACGTCGAATACGGTACATTACATAGGAATCAAAATATCACAAAAGGACAAATTTGTTCCTTATTTCAAAGCCACTCATTGCTCATATCAAGGTTATATTCAACAAATCCTTGAAAATTTTATTGAGGAAAGTTGACAGGATTTCCTTGTTTTTTTCAGACAGATTTAGTGAGGAAACAATTACAGTCCATTTCAATGAGTGCAGCAAGGAATTGCATGAAATGGTGTAAGATGCTCTTCATTATTATCATAATTAAATTGAAGAAAACAGAAAACACAGGTCACAAGCTCCTGTTTGCAAACTAGCAATACAGTACTGTAGCTCACCTGATACAACAATGTTCAGAGAAATGCCTCAATATTGAGAAGGAAAGAAAGATGAAGCGTTGCTTTTATGCTGGTTGAATAACCTAAATACCCCTCTTGTTAAAAGACAGTGTGATTAGACTTATTAATACCATATACCCTCAAACAGCAAGTTATTTGTAAGCCTCTCAGGGTTAGAAACTAACCGTTTTCGTCCACTAGTCCTTATAATGATAACATATAACAAAACCCTTAAAAAGGGCATATTTCTACTAGTCCTTATGATACCTTTACAATTGGGCAGTTTGGCAAGGACTATAGGACTAGTGCCAATTTCTAAAGCTGCCTCTGCTATGAATTACCTTAAACAAAAGAGAACATTTGAAGCAGTGTATGACACCAAGAAGCATCACATGTAGCCAATTAGGTTGTCATGAAATATATTCTGGTAGCCTCAGACTTTGGAAGGTGGACCAATCCATACACGAAACGCTATTTAATTCGGTCCTCCAGGGGAGTACAGGGGCATGCACCCCTTGAAAAGTTTAAGACTGCAAAAGGCATAATCGAGAACAAGAATGAAAGACCTTTTTTGAACATAAGTTTTGTTGCAATTTAAGTTGGGTAAATGAATAGAAGTTGTCAAACCAAGAAGTCTGAACAAGGTTCAAATGTGTAAACAAACTTATCACTACAATATTTGCCCCAATGTTCTAACTGATCCTTCAATTTAATCATCATAGACAATCAGTCTAGCTTAGTTTCTCACATCAAAATTTAGACCGATCAAATTTTTGACAGCCACAGGGCATGGGTTGGTTGGTTTGTTGTTTAACGCCGCACTCAGCAATATTTCAGCTAATTGACGGCGGTCTGTAAATAATCTAGTCTGGACCAGACAATCCAGTGATTAATATCATGAGCATCGATCCTTGCAATTGGGATCGATGACATTCATTAACCAAGTCAGAGAGCCTGACCACCCAATCCCGTTAGTCGCCTTTTACGACAAGCATAGTCGCCTTTTATGGCAAGCATGGGTTGCTGAAGACCTATTCTACCCCGGAATCTTCACGGGTCCACAGGGCATGGGTCTACCATTTGATTCGCACACTGTTTGAAGTCCATTAAAACTGTGTTAACCATGCAAGATGCGACAATGCATTGCTTCAACAATGTAAGCAGCAGAGGTATAACTGTGCTGCAATGTTGACTACAAGAGTAACCTTCAAGCATACACAAACCACTAGACTAACACCATGTCTCAGAAAATATATAATTTTATCTCAGATCCAGAACCAGTGGAAAATATAGACTTGCTTCATTTGAGGCTATAGCATTACAGTAAGGGTGGGGCGAAAGGGAACATGGTTCAGGGACAACCCACTTCATATATATGTACAATACATGTCCATTGCCCCTTACTTACGACACCATTAAACATCGAGACACAAAACATTAAACCACTGAACACATTTGACTTGAGCCAGCTCATAAGTACTTAACATGTTTGAGGTCAGTGCTTCAGTATAAACCTTGTTATAATAGCGTCGGCTGAATGCATCTACATACCTGATGTTTTTTATAATTGTTCATAAACCTGTAAAGTGTGTACACACATCATCATCCTTATTGCATATTTGTTCAGCAAGTCAGCGTTGGTTCCTTATGAGTTATGTTTGATGTGAATCTGCCTGGTCATAGTTTATGACTCAGTACTGGCACACTTTGCCCTGAGTGATTGAGTGAGTTAGGTTTTACGCCGCTTTTAGCAATATTCCAGCAATATCACGGCGGGGGACACCAGAAATGGGCTTCACACATTGTACCCATGTCGGGAATCGAACCCGGGTCTTCGGCGTGACGAGCGAACGCTTTAACCACTAGGCTACCCGACCGCCCCACTTTGCCCTGAGACAATTTCATCCAACAAAGTGTAGCAACAATTTTTCCTCACTTTCCCCAGTGGCCGATGTTTGCTGTACATTCTGGATCAAAAGTCACTTAAAATTCCAAATTTGTGCTTTAAGATTTCCCAATGGTACATGCAGTTATTTGCAACCTAAATAAAGTCCATTAAGTTAATGTGGTGAATTTAAAATGCTAAACCCAAAGGGCAAAAAAACCAACCCCTAAAAACTGTGTACACTGTATTAAACATACGATTCAGGGAATACAGGTGCCATTGCAGACCAAGCAAAACAGAAACAACTGCACAATGATGAGGATTCTGAGCAATGACCCTGACAGCATGTATAACAAGTAGACAACAGCTTTGGCACAGTGGACGTCACGATGAGGATGACTGATTTTAAGTTCAGTCTAAAATGACAATCTGATTTTATCAACTCCAAAAACACATAAATACTCATAAATACACATGAATGCACATATTGCAGTGCCATTAATTAGAACTTGCTCATTTTTTTTGTGCATTACAACCAGTGTGCATACTGTGTAAATCTGCATAGATGATCGACTGATTTCACGTTAATATCTCCATAAATGCAAATAATATATTGAAGACAATTTTAAGAATTACTAATTAATACTCTCATGCTATACATCCTGAGACCATCAACACATAATGCACCATACATGCTATAGTGAAAAACACAGTGTTATACTGTGACTGAGCCCATCAACACATAATGCACCATATACACTATAGTGAAAAAAACAGTGTTATACACTGAGCCCATCAACACATAATGCACCATTCACACTATAGTGCAAAACACAGTCTTATACACTGAGCCCATCAACACATAATGCACCATACACACTATAGTGCAAAACACAGTGTTATACACTGAGCCCATCAACACATAATGCATCATACATACTATAGTGAAAAACACAGTGTTATACACTGAGCCCATCAACACATAATGCACCATTCACACTATAGTGCAAAACACAGTCTTATACACTGAGCCCATCAACACATAATGCACCATACACACTATAGTGCAAAACACAGTGTTATACACTGAGCCCATCAACACATAATGCATCATACATACTCTCATGCTATACATCCTGAGACCATTAACACATGTTACGTACACTTTATACAGTTATAAAGTAGGGGAGACATTGGCAGGCCACAGTAGTAGGCCACAGTAATGTGGAATGTATCACCTAAGCCATGTTTGCTGTCACCCTAATGAAGGGATGTTCAACAGGTGCTTGTTTCCTGATTCCATGACACTAGCCTGCATCAATGGCATGTCAACATCTTCATTGCAGTGCCACTGATGTCTGCCAGCCAGCTGCCTTACAACACAGTCTGGGCAGGTCCTGGGCACAACATCCACCACAGGTTGGACATAGTGAGAAAGGGAGTGAGTGAGTTGGATTTATTGTTGCTTTGTACGATATTTCAGTTTTATCACATAATCATGATTATGTCTGCTTAACGTCCGAGAAAATCCCAATATGACATAAAATCATTAATGTTTTTTTATCACTTTTCTGAAAATAGCAAACCAAGGTTGATAATCACAGTGAATATGAAATTCAAACCCACAAAAAGATTTGCAGCGCCCTAAACCACTGTTCTCTCAATCTACCACGAGACTGAAGGCATGTCAATGGGATCATTGAGTAGTTGTGGTAACAGCAGTGAATATAGCATCATGTCTAAAGGTCAAACGGACAAATGAAAGCTGACACATCAGCTGTGTTTTGCATATCTTGCTCAACAGTTGACAGGAAACATCTGACATAAAGCAGATGTTTCCCCCCTCTTCATAGCTACGGTCACATTTTCAAGACAAATTAAGACTTAATAAAATACATTCATGAAAAACGTGTAACCATCATGAATGATGGCACTTTTTTGAATATGACAACATATTTGAGTGATAAATTGTGTAACGGGAA